ACCCCCCTCCACTTGGGCGTGCAGCGAGCGCCCCACATGTGCTCCTCGGTATGCGCAGGTGTGTTCATGACTGTCATTAGTATAAGTCTCGGCCGGGCTAATTGGAGGCACGTGAAAATTACGGCAATTAGGGGAATGTGCTCGCACATACCAGCAATGAGTTGGGTACGCGGTAAAGCCAGCGATGGATCCCCCCCCCCCACCTTCTTCCCAACGGAATGGATCCAGTTTGGCTGCTATGACGGTAACATGCCTTGTCGAGTGTCAAACTAACTCCGACCGGAGCCTTCACACACACACACATCGCTTGCTTCAGCCACGTGTTCCATCAAGATCATGACGATCATCCGATTGTGCGTTGTTCGTTGTCACCGCGGTCTCGGGCTTCACACGTGGGCGTGATGACGGCGCCCTTTGCAACTGGGGTACCGCAACTCTGGCAGTCGTTGCCCCTTCGAGGTCGGGGGAATTAGAGACACTTACAAATCCTGAAATCTCGACTGAAGACGCATCTATTTAAAACTGTTTTTCTCACTTCTTCTTTACTTAGTTGATGTTAAACTATTGCCCCCCCTCTCACCCTTTACAAGCACAGCGCCCTGAGAACGATTGTTTAAGGGCGCTTTATACATTTAAATTATTATCATTCTGTCGCTACATCCGTGGCCTCTGTTGCTGTCAACTTTCGCTCGTTGATATTCGTCCACCCACGTTGAGAGACGCGGCCTTACCACACTCTGGCTGTTTCGTCACATGCACCACTCTTCGTTCAACCTCCACCAATACCTCGACCACACCAAACGTGTCTCTCTATCTATGCTTGTTCATCAACCCTTGCAATTCCCTCCCATCGTCTCTTCTCCCCAAGCTCTCACAACCTGTTAACTCGTTTGTCTCTTGCAACTTCGATGGTTTCCTTCATTGCGGGTGGCTTGATGTTGCGGCCGTTTGAAGGCATTAAAAATACAAGAATCAAATATACTTCCTGTGGATTTTCATCAAGACCTTAATTATAATATGTATTGGGGGGGACACCATCCCCCACTCAATATTCAAATATGCTCAAAATGTCCCCCATAATATATTGCTATTAAAAAAATTATTGCTATGCTGTGTAAATAAAAAAAATACAATTTGCTAAAACTTGGCCACAATATCTGGACTTGTCTTCATATGAATCAATGCATAGATTTCTGTTGATATGATTGTGGTTATGGTAGCACATTTAATCCCTAATCTCTGCCATTACATACAATGAAACAAGAAATGGTAAAAAAGTTAAAACAGAGCAATGTAATACAATACACTATTAGACATTATTGTAAAAAAATAAAAGTCCATCCCATGTGTTAGTAAATTTTGTAATATTTTAGGCAGGAAATGAGTTATCAAATTTAGATATTTTTCTGGGTTGGGACCCCAGACACCCTGGAAGATTTGGTCCCCCCCCCCAATGTTGACTCCGTGGCTACAGCCTTGATTTTCATAATAAAGGTTTTTTCTTTGGGCTCGATCGCGTAAGTATAAATGTGTCGTGAACCCGCCACCACCCGACACAGCCAACTCATAAGGTTTGGCGTGTTAAAAACACGTGTCGATGAGTGACCACTGTTGGAGAGTACATCCACAACATTTACAATTTGTAAGCACTGTAACGTTTCGCTGCTAATTAAATCCAGCATTATTGGGCAATTTTTGTGCTTGTGCCAGAATTGTGGATGCTACTCGCAGCCAGTTGTTAAAGTGCAACTCGCTGAAATTGTCTTGTAAAGCAAGTGGCAACAAAAAAAGCACGCCTTTCCTCAAAGCCTTCGGGGTAAACTGAACTAATTTGAACTGTATTTACCGGTTTCTCAGTAACTCGGTGGGCAACTCGGCGTCCGTTCACAGAATTCCGTCTGGCTTTTTTAATTGTCGCGACCTCGCCTCCAGTAAAGTTTCCGATTTGCGTTGTTCCACTTTTTTTGTGGGTGATCGCCGGGGGGTCACGTGGCTCCCTCGGCGTCCCCCCCCCCCCGTAGAAACACCAAACGCTACTCGAGAACGTAGCGCGGCTGCTACAATTCAAATCGCCTTGTCCACATGTGGGCCGTGCTCCTCTGGCCTCAGTCATCGACGCACGTTTAATCAACGTCCGCACAAAATGCAGCAAGCGCAGCATTATTATTTTGGCGTTACATGATTTAACATTCCTGAGTAAGGGCTCAACATTCGTCCGTTGAGCAAATCGTTTCTGGAAGTTTGACAGTTTGTTATGATTTTTGTTGTTGTTGCCGCGTATCGTATTGTGTTGTGGCAACGTCCAACATTTGCCCTCTGGGTAATAAATCCAGAGATCTGGAAAGAATCATTTTTTTGTTGAAATAATGTGGGGCTTTTTTTTTGTTCGTTTCTTTTAAAGGCATGAAATCAGCTAAATGTACGGTTAAAAAACACGAGAACGCGTGAACTTGTGACTTTGTTGAGATGCTACTGGAATTCCACGTGGCTAAACGGTGCCGTTGTGTTTTTTGTTGTTGGGACGTCTCGTTTTTTTCTCCTGCAAATTTACCGTGCGACGGACGGCTTTCAAATGATGGCAGATTGTGGCATCTGAGAGCAATTACTGCGGCCACTCCCAGTCAGCAAAACTGCCGAGAAGAGATTCGAATCTGTGGGCTGCCGTGAGGCCCACGGGTGAAAAAACAGTCTGGTTGGAGAAAGCTCTGCGTACAGTACTCAGGATGTGAGCGATTGACACGCGTAGCTCACAGCGGACACACAGACACACTGCTCACAGCTTAGACTACTTATAAACTTAGACTACTTCCGCAACAAGAAAAAAATCAAGTCGTTTCTTATTTGAAATAGGCTGTAAAAGATACATTGCAGGAAGTAACAACAATTACTGCTGTCGGAAGTTGAGGAATATTAAGGGGGATTAAATGAGTCATGTTTGTAAAATAAAATTTTATAGGATGCTTGTGGGTGCTTTAAAATCCGTTTTTTTTACAACGACACAATTAAGTTGTGTGGCACAGAATACGAGCTTGGGCCCTGGCGTTTCTCTCATACAATTTGTTGTTTTAATACAGAACAGCCAGTCCCGTTTGACTCGCTTGCAAGTTTGCGGTGACAAAACTCAAGCCGAGAATCGAGCGCCGCACCTGGCATGAAGACATTGTTACAACAGAAGTCAAACATTCAACGTGTATCCCTTTACCCGTTGCGTGGGGCAGGGGCCACGGATCTACACCAGCCACCTTCAATCCACTGCCGGATGGAGGGCCTCCATAAGACACCGCCGCCACAATCTTAAGCCTGTGGTGGCAATTCCGCATTCCCATTGTGAGAGCCAGCCTCTCCGTAGCATGATCACTGTTGACTTCCCCAAAGTGGTACTCATTTTGTAGGCACGGGCGGGATGATAGGTTGCAGTTGACCACCATCCAAATACCCCAATCGGTCAGTGGTCAACTGACCGGTCAAGGCACCTGTAAATAAGTGTGACTGTTCCTGCCGATGCGGGGAAGGAACCCCATCTCTACTGTCTGCAGTTATGATTGGGGTTTGGGTTTCGTGTTTTCGGGCTAAGGGTTGGGGTTAGGGGTTAAGAGTTAGGATTAGGGTTTAGGGTTATCGAGGCTAGGGTTCGGTGTTAAGGATCGGTTTTAGCGTCCGAGTATAAATTTATAGTGGTTCTCAAACTTCCATTTCTTATCACCGTATCTGCACCCCCCCACATCACCCCCCCCTACATCACCCCCCCCCACATCACCCCCCACATCACCACCCCCAAATCACCCTCCCCACATCACCCCCCCCCAAATCAGCCCCCCCACATCACCCCCTTACATCACCCTCTCCCCCACATTACCCTCCCCCCCACATCACCCCCCTACTTTACCCCCCCTACATCACCCCCCCCCCACACACATCACCTCCCCCCCCACACATCACCCCCCCCTACTTTACCCTTCCTACATCACCCCCCCCCCCACATCATCTCCCCCCGCAAATCACCCCCCCCCCGCACATCACCCCCCCCCCGCACATCACCCCCCCCCCGACCCCCCCCCGCACATCACCCCCCCCCCGCACATCACCCCCCCCCCGCACATCACCCCCCCCCCGCACATCACCCCCCCCCCGCACATCACCCCCCCCCCGCACATCACCCCCCCCCCCCGCACATCACCCCCCCCCCCCCGCACATCACCCCCCCCCCCCCGCACATCACCCCCCCCCCCGCACAATCACCCCCCCCCCCGCACATCACCCCCCCCCCCGCACATCACCCCCCCCCCCCGCACATCACCCCCCCCCCCCCGCACATCACCCCCCCCCCCCGCACATCACCCCCCCCCCGCACCACCCCCCCCCCCGCACATCACCCCCCCCCCCCGCACATCACCCCCCCCCCCCGCACATCACCCCCCCCCCCCCCGCACATCACCCCCCCCCCCCGCACATCACCCCCCCCCACATCACCCCCCCCCGCACATCACCCCCCACATCTGCACTATGGCCACGCGTGTTTGGTGTCCCACACCGGGCAGGCACACGCCCCCCCTCCAATCGAGCCTGCCGGCACGGGTCCCCCGTCTGGTCGAGGCAGTTATCCCTGCCCGGAGATCTCCTCCTCCTGGTGAGGAGCCTTCATTCCGTCGGCGGCCTGCCACCTGTGGAGGCAGCGATTGCTACCATGTGCTGGCGTGGGTGGCCACATTCACGACCTCGGAGCGTTCACGCGGATCACAATGGGTTCATTATTGGCGGCGTCGTGATGATCATCAACCGCTCAAGTGAATCGGGTTTCCTAACACAGCTAAAGGGAACACCTGCGACTTTCTTGATTGGGATTTGCAGCAGCAGCAACAACATCACCCACGACTATGAAAACTTGGCAGGATCCTCCTGAAAATGAGTCTTGAGGCTCAGCAAGGCTTTCCTGGGTAAACAAGCTACAGCGATAATAAGAATACTAATTTTGGTTTGCGTTGTGTGACCTTCGCCTGCAGACGTGGGGCCCGCCAGCATCACCACCGACCCGGAGCGGTTCCAGCAGGACTTGCGAGACCTCTACGTGCAGGTAGAGATCGGAAAGAGTGCTGACATACAGAGTGGGAGCAACGTGGACCGCCAGAACAAACACCCCCTTCGAGACCAAAGCATGGCACCTCGCTGGCTTGGACAAGTCCTCCAAGCAGACACTTGCCACAGTGCGCTTTAACACGTAGGCTTTCGCGACCAATATCATCTATTATAGAGGTTTTTTTTGGGGTTAGATCGCGTAAATATATAAATGTGTCGTTAAAACCCACCACCACCCGACACAGCCAACTAGTAAGGGTTGTCACGTAAACAGAACGTGGCCAAATTTCGATGTAAAGCTTTCGTGACTGCAGGGATTCATCTTCTTGGTTTTTTCGGTAAAGTCACATACAATGGAAATAATAAAATAATAAAAATAAAACATAATAAAATAATTCTCATAACGTTTCGGCCACAACGCAAGCAGCCGTCCTCAGGTGAAGAACAGGTCTATTATTTCCATTCTACGTGACTTTACTGAAAGAACGTGGCCAATTCGTCACCAGTACAGCACACCGGTGTGTTGGAGAGCCAAGCCACAACATTTACAATCTACGACGTTTCGCCAGTGATTACAACCAGCTTCATCAGGCGACAGCCAGATTCGTGGAGAAGTCCAGCTGTTTCATTCCCTATATTTAGCAGGATGGCTCAGTGGTAACTCTCCAACCTCGCAGAAAGGAGGTCCTGTGTTCAACTCCTAACTCAGGAGATTCTCTCTGTGTGGAGTTTGTGTGTTCTCCCCTCCCTTGCCGCATGGGTTTCCATATACAATGTCACCGGTGTTTGGCAAAACATCCCGATGCTTAAAAATTACCTGTAATTTCTCAGCTGGGATTACTCGTGGACACGCAGTCCACCCCCCCCCCACCCCCCTTTTGTGGAAACTTGGCTGGATAATAACGAGAAGGTCAAACGACAGAGCGTGTGCTCTCCGTGTAAGGCTTCCACGATGCCAAAGACCTTGTCGTTGAAACTTAAAACAAAACACGTGTTGGCTAACACCATGGATAGATTCAGCGCGGAAATGTGGGGAAGACATTCGTTTTTTTTATGGAGAGCGAAGTCGATTTATTCACAAGCTTAAATTGTTTAACTAGGTGAGGGCTCGGGAGACGAGGATATGTTTTGCAAGACTCATTTGGTCTCGATCACTAACAAAGACAGGAAATACTTAATGATGTATTATTTAAAAAAACGTAGAAAAATATACTTGATAATAGTGAGATTGGTAGCATTTTTTTTCATTGATAGGAATCGTAACTAGTCTTGATTGTCTGTCTTGATGGATGATCGATCCGATTCAATTGTTTGCAAATCCTCTGGACCACAGCCCGAAACCGCCTCCACACAAGTCATGGCAGCAGATGGCGGACACTTTGATGCTGATGAACTGATGATCCTGATGATGATGCTGATGATGATGATGCTGATGATGCTGATGATGATGCTGATGATGATGCTGCTGATGATGATGCTGATGCTGATGATGCTGATGATGCTGATGATACTGATGATGATGCTGATTATGCTGCTGATCATAATGATCGTGCTCCTGATGATGATTATGCTGCTGATGCTGCTGCTGCTGATGATGATGTTGATGATGACGCTGCTGATGATAATGATGCTGCTGATGATGATGATCCTGATGATGCCGATGCTGCTGCTGATGATGATGCTGCTTATGATGATGATGATGCACATATGGAAAAGTAAAAACTATCCGGTCTGCAGAGACTGTGGTCACCCAGAACACAGCCATGGGGCACCGAACGGTTCAACGCCCAATTCCCAAACACGAAGGAGGAGGAGGAGGCTTAATCACAGCAGCGATGGTTCATTCACCACTCCGCTGCTGCTGACGCAATCATCATCGGGCTCATCCACCACCCCCCATGTAGAATCACAGCGGCTGTTCTACACCAACGGGCAGCTGTACGAAATGAGATGATCGATCTGTCATTCTGGCTACAACTATGAATTGGCAAATGATTTCACTGAAGAACTTCTCTTAAGCTAACCTAGCTCAATCTCCAAGACTCTTGTTCGGGAGGAGTTGAGGTTCTGTAATGTTTGGCCGAGGTCTTTGAAATCGTTAATTTTATGTTGTGCGTCTGTCGCAATTGGAAGTGCAGGAAAGCAAGTAGGACTTGGGGCAATTCCCGACTTGGGTGCCCTTTCTGTGTCGAAGTTGTATGTCCCCCCCCCCCTCTTCTGCATAGGTTTCCAAAGCAAAAAAAAATCTTTGCAATATGACCGGTATTGTTCAAACAGCCCAATTTGTAGAAATTTCCCTGCACATTTCTCAAATAGGACAAAGACAAAGATCCCCCGTGTGGACTTAACAGACTGTTGGGGCAAGTGCTGTTAGCGAGCACCTCTGAAGGTCGGCACGGTGGCACACGAGGGGGTGTGTGGCCGACACCACGCTCGGCCGCCTTTGTCTCCCGAGTGGCGATGTTTGCACACCGCACCAGGTACTCGTTTGAGGCTGAGTCGACGGTGACGTCACCTTGGCGCTTGTGCCAGGCTAGGTGCACTTTGGGGCCACGTGAAGTGTCGAGGTCACAGAACGGACCCCAGGTGCCATGGGTTGACTGAATGAGATGACCGGCAGATGCACCAACCGTGCTCCCCCACTGTGCCAACTCGCTGCATTTTATCAGCACGGCGCTCAGCTCGTTGTTGTGAGAGTCGCACCTCCGTCGTTGCTGAAAGGGCGACTGCCTCCAGCCCCCCACCACACGCACCCCTGTTACCGCCGTCACTCTGACGAACCCGTTGCGCGAAGATAAGGGGCCGTCCATAAATGACGTCACGCACCTATGGGTGGGGGGGGGGTCAGACATTTGTGACGATGTGTGACGAGAAATGTGACGTAACATCGAAATGCGCAACTTTAAATAAATATAGACAACACGTTATTTTTTATAAATGTTTTCTCCTACAACATCAGAGTGCAGCGCCACATTAAATACGCACTACAATGACAATAGTTTAAAGCGATTTGAAGCATGTTTTATTTTCAAAATGGAAATATGGTTTTGGGGGGGGGGGGGCAGAGCTTTGTGACGTCATATTTGAGGGGGGGTTTTGAATTTTTGTGACGCCGTGTGACGAGGGGGGGGGGGGGGTTAAAAATCGTCAAAAATCGCGTGACGTCATTTATGGACGGCCCCTAAACGCGCGGGAGCGGCTGTCTTTTTTTTTAAAGATCCGAAATGGTTTATTTCTTTACCGAAAGAACCAAGAAGATGAATCCCTGCAGTCACGAAAGCTTTAAATCGACATTATATTTCACAAGTATTATTTTACACATCCCATCAGCCACGCGCGTCCTTCTGTTAGTGAGTTGAGTGTTTTTTTTTTCCCCCAGCAGTTTTGCATCAACACAAGCAAACATTCTGGGCCGGTTTCGACACTCTCTCTCTAACGCCATCGGTGCACGTCCGCCTCCAACTCGATTGCGATGATGGGCGAGGGGGGGAGAGGGGGGTCGGTGGGGGCGAGGGGGGGAGAAGGGCGAGATGGGGAGATGGGGCGAGAGGGGGAGATGGGGGAGAGGGGGAGATGGGGGAGAGGGGGGCGAGTTGACTGCGTTCTGCCGCGTCCTCTTCCTGCCGTGCCCCCGGGCGCGCGAGACGGCCCCCACCACCACCCCCCTCCCCTCCCGGCGTTTCGAGTTTCGGATGCGGTCGCTCGCCCACGGGCGACTCACCCCCCCACCACCGTCCCACCCCCGGGGCTGTGGGAACGCGCGCGTGGGCAGGGAAGTTCTTCTCCCTCCCGTCCTCCAGACCCCCCCTACCCCAGCCTCCTCCCTCGCTGCGTCTCTCTCTCTCCCATAGACTACGAGCCCGAGAGAGAGAGAGAGACCCTTGCAACGATGATGGAAGAGACTCGACGACTTGCGTAGAGGCCACGTGGCCGTCAAATGTGCTGGCGGCGAAGAGATGGGCAGCAAATGTCCAGACGGGGGGTGGGGGGTGGGGGGGCAATGCCCTGGGTCCCGTGTGAATCACGGTACCGCCACTGGCGACACTGCAGGTTCTGTGTCTGGAGCCCACGACCACCCACAGGGGTTGCCAGCCTTTTCCAACGCGGGCCAAACTCGGACATATTTCTGAGATGTCCATGGGACCCGCGGGGTGTCCGTCAAGGAAGTCCAACGCGGTGATACCGGGAACTCGGCACACATCGATTGCAGCCACCCGACACACAGGATGGGAATTCACGCTCGTGACCCACAAGCAAAGACAAAGGTCCCCCCCCCCCCGTGTAGCCTTAACGGACTGTTGGGGCAAGTGCCGTTAGCGAGCACCTATGAAGGCCGGCACGGCACACGAGAGGGGGTGGGTGGCCAGCACCGCGCCTGACCGCCTTTGTCTCCCCAGTGGCGATGTTTACCATACACCGCACCAGGTACTCATTTGAGGCTGAGTCGACCTAGGATAGACCCACGACCGGTTTTGATAATCGTCACCAGTTTAGTTCCATTCGCGGTTAATCAACCTCGGGTAGGCCGGGTTCGTAGCGCAGCGTAGCGCTAACCACGATCCTACCGCTCCCCACCACCACCAGCACCACCCAAGATCCGTGTTCACCAGCGCAGGGCGTTACGCGGCACTCCGTGGGTCACCGCCAGAGTTTCCCGTCCCGCACAGCCGCGGCGAGGGAGCTGTGGACCATCTCGGAGCGGCTGCACCGTCTGTGTGCCACTTGTGTGGCAACGCAAAGAGCCAATGCCTGCATGCCCCCCCCCCCACAACACCCCCCACACGGCGCACGAAAAAAAATCCCCATCACAAAAAAAACCTCTCCCCTTGTCTTTACAGCAGTGTCGTATGGTTTTACAATTATTCGAAAGTGGAATGATTACTCCAGCAGAAACAACAAAGATAATTCTAGGATTGTATTCATCGGGTCTTTGACGATGATGAATGTGGAACTCCTCTGTGGTGCGTGGCTGTCGAGGGCACGTGCGGTGTGGATGATGATCTTGATGCTTGCTGCTGATGATGATGACGGTTGTGGCTATGTTGTGCTGATGCAGGGCGACGGGGATGATGGTCATGATGCTGCTGCTGCCGCCGATGATGTTGACGGCAACTGCTGATGCTGGTGATGGCTGTGGCACTGCCGTGTTGACGCAGGGTGGCGGAGATTGCCCGGAGATGAGCGTGGGAGCGGTGCGCCTGGCGCTAGATGTCTCCCTCCCGGGCTCCTTCATCTACGTGTTCACCGACGCGCGCGCCAAGGACTACCGCCTCACGGCTGACGTGCTGCAGCTCATCCAGCACAAGCAGTCGCAGGTGGGCATCGCTGGCACAGCCACCACCACCACCACGAAAAAACAAAAACAACAACAACAGTTATCACACAACTCTCGCATGACAAACAACGGCCACTACAACAACAACAACATACTTGCTGTATGTTGAACTTCTTTCGCACCGTACGTAGCCAACCGTGCTAATTGGAGGTGCGGGGGGGGGGGGGACTGCAAGCCAAAGAAACTAAACAGACAATGAACTAAACACGGCATGGGAAAAAAAACTCAACAGATTCGAAAATAACACGACTCGAAAGGAAACACGTTTAGGGCATAATCGGTGCCATTTCTGGCGACCACTCTTCACAGCACGAGAGGTGACCCATTGCCCCAAATCATCGTCTGTTTGTGTAGTTAGTTTCTCTTTTAAGGCCATCGTTATTGACGAACGCGTCGAGGGCACGTTGTCATTCGCCGCTGTTGCACCGTCGCCAATGGCAGCGCCGTCGTCCGATGTTCGCGACTGCTTGAGGTTGAACATCGCTGTCAGCCCGTACAGGGACATTGAGTAAAAAACATGTTTGTGTCTACTTGTTTGTGTTTCTCCCCCTTGCAATGGGACTTTGTAGGATGAACGTTGAGATTTATAAGGGCACGGAGTGACCAATAAGGTCTGCATTGGTCTGTACTAAGGTAGGGCACTGATAAGGGGTTGACAGGTATGTAGTAGTGAAGTGTATAGTAGCGTAGTGTATAGTGTAGTGTAGTTTATAGTAGTGTAGTGTATAGTAGTGTATTGGATGAACGTTGAGATGTATAAGGGCACAAGAGTGACAATAAGGTCTGAATTGGTCTGTACTAAGGTCGCGCTCTGATTAAGGGTTCACAGCTCTGGGTTGAATCCCCATGGAAGTGCGGTGACGGGGGTTTGGCGGCGCGCGACGTGACCCCGCGACCTCTCTGCCAGGTGGTGTTCGTTCTCACGGGTGACTGCGGGGATCAGAGCCACCCGGGGTACCGCTCCTACGAGGAGATCGCCTCCACCAGCTCGGGCCAGGTCTTCCACCTCGACAAGAAGCAAGTGAATGAGGTGGGAGTGTGCTGCGATCGGTGGGGGGGGGGTTGACCGCTCGTTTTGTCTCACCGGTGGCAACGCAAAGCATCCAGTGTAGCGCCTCGTTTGCAAGGGGCATCCGAATACCGCTGGCTCAGGGCTGTACACGGGAGATTTTCAACATTGATCGATCATCAGAAATATACCTGTTCGTGTCATCATCATCAACATCATCATCGCCACCGTCATGGCATGTGGATTCGTTTTAGGATTATACCGCGTGATGTGCTCCGGCATCTTCCTAATACCTGTGAAAATTGGATTTCATAGAGAGACACAAAAAAAAACGTGGATTTCATCGGACATCGTTGCCAACCGGCACGCGGAACGACCTGGCACGCACGGGAGGTCTGTGCATCATCACAACCGCGGGGCCCCACAGTCAACGGATGGCGTAGTTCTTGTGAGGTGCCCTTGGTCCGATGTTCCGGCAACACGAATTCCCAGAGCGTAATCATCGTGCAGAGTTGTGCAAACAGTTTAAACAGGTGATCCACATGCCACGGCAAAGCCGCCGAGGAAATTCTCGACGGCGATTAATTATTTGTCTCTCCGAAGCGTGACAACGCGTTTAATCACGAAGACACGCTGCCTGTAAGGAACTTAAAGATTTACCACATGTTAGCATGGGTGCCAAACTACCTAAACGCTACAGTGTTTTTGTTAGGCTATGCCAGATAACTTATAATGAGACTCGCATCCCCCTTGGCTCGCTTGTTGACAACTTTAATGTTGCTTCAAGTCACATTTGCTACAATTATTATCATGAGAATCATCATCAACGTAGTAATGTTTTTTCAACATCCACCCTTTTATTGAACACTCAATCACAAGTTCACTGGGTATACAAATGCGAAGCGCCGCTTTCAGTATTTACAAGACTGGATTTGTGTTGTGGTTGCCACGTTACCGTGATGTTTCTGGCGATTTGTTGTTGAGCAATCTGTTTTATTAAAGAATAACAGCACCCGTTCCATCAGCAGGGCAATTTGACGGGACCTTTGTGTTGTAACACGTGCATAGTCTCCTTTGTTGCAGCTTCGGGCTAACCGTTGTTCAAGTTTTGTTTTGGCCTTCGCAGATTGGCCAATTGCTTGAGCTACAAATATGTTCGCCCACGTCACTTTGTGTTCGAGTTTGTGTGCAGGGGGCACCGATGCACGAACGTTACGCGTGCAGAAATACAAAATTCAACTATTTAAACTATTAAATAATTTACCAGGTAAGGCCCTACTGACTTATGCAGCTATTTTTTCAGAAGCGACCTGGCCGCAAATGATGGCTCAACAAAGTTGCCATTCACTTAGAAATGTATAGCAGTCAAATACTCTAAACGCGTGACGTTGATTTTGAATGTGGAGGGAAAAACCGAAGGACCCGGAGAAAAAAATCCACGCGGCCACGGGGAGACAGACACGCAAACTCCAAATACACAGCAGGCGTCAGGGTTGGGATCGAACCCACGACCTCCTGCATGCCAGGCAAGGCAGTTAACATCTCGCCACCCTGGCGCGCCCCCACAATTATCAGCAGGGAAGCGGTTAATCAGAGCAAGTGTTTATTTTCACGCGCGCATAAACACCGGCGACCAAAAGAAAACAGCAACAGCGGCAGTGGTAGCGGCGGTGGTGGCGGTGGCGTTCAACTGTCGGGCAGCAGCTCGCGTCCGTAAGGGGGTGGGGGTTGGGAAATTTCCAGACGAAGACAAAACGTTCTGCTGGGATTTGTTCTCCGTTCCGTGCGGCTGCCAAATGTGTTTGGGATTTTGCGAAGCTCGCCGTGGTAATGCCGCGCGTGGTCGGCGAGGCAAGCTCGTCGTCGTGTGCGCGCGCGCGCGCCCGTAAGTTATGTCTCGCGATCACGCCTGTAAATTTATCCGCGCAAAGCCCCGCTGACTTTACGGAAAGCCAAACATGTGTAAAGATCAACCCCCGTCTGTGAGCATTGAGCAGACTCATGCTGCTGCGCATGTGATCGCAGAGACGTAGGCCTTTTATCATCATGTCGTCAGCTATGATCAATCCACTGTTGAATGAAGATCACCCCCACTGCAGCACCACTGCCCTCTCACGAGATTGCGATGCACCAAGCACTTGCACCTGAACCGCCGTTGTCCACCATCTATTCCGGCCATGGTGCGTCCTGGCCAAAGTCCACTCACAGTATTCATGGGTTCACCACAGTTAGTTAATTGGCAGGCCATGCGTGTCGATCAGTGCATTCGTTATTAACATCCTCCTCGAATTCGGTTACCGATTCCTGACTTTTGGAACCGTCTCTGAAAACGATAACTGGTTTCCCGATCATCGTCTAACAAGCCCGGGCACGAATGCCCCCAGATGGAGCCTCGTAGCTTGAACCTCCACCCTCCATCATCAGCGCCCGCTGTTATATCGCTCTGCGAGGCCGTGCAAATCCCACCGGGCGCACCGCTCGCCCACGGCTAACGTGCCACGGAGTTGGGGCTCAGGGAAGGGTGCACGGCAGAGGCGTTGGGGGGGGGGGGGGCTTCTGAAGGAGGAAGCGAGAGTAGAGGGTTAGGGGTTTCCCCTGCAGCAAAATGCCACCGAGTATCAAAAACAGCTTCCAAGAAGACCCGCTCAGGGCAACGAACTCCATCAACTGGGCCGCTTTGCCAGATTGGGAGTTGGGGAAGTGGGAAAGAGAGAGGCAGGGGGTGGGGTGATCCCAAGGATTGGAGGTGGCTACTCTGGCCGACGAGTGTGGCACCGGCAGTCAGGGAGATGGTAGCACCGTCATTTCAGCAGCAGCAGCCGCAGGCCTGGCGTGTTTGGGAAAACAAGACCCTGAAGCAGCAGGGGCGGGTTCCCTGGGGGATTTGCCCGAGACTCGGCACCGAGGGGCCTTAGCACGCAGCAGGGATAGGCGACGCATTGATCGGATACTGGAGTCAATGACCCCACCAGCTGGGGCCACTTTGGCTCAAAGAGCCGGCCGAGCTGGGACTGGCTGGGAGAGAGCGAGGCGGTGGCGGCGGTGGCGGCAGTGGCTGACGTTGGCTGGAGGCGCACAAAGCGAGGGAGCTCGGCCAGTTTACAGACACATCGATGGTGCAGAGGGTTTCACTGGCCAGGCAGCTCAGTTGTAGAGCGAGCTGCCCGCAATTGGAGGGTTGTGAATTCACATCCTGCCTGGGAGTTGTCTCGGCCCATCATCCCTCCGAGGTCGATAAAACTGCAAAACTACTTTGTGGGGAAGTCAATAGTTGGTTGTCTTATAGATACACTCAACACTGCCATGGGAATGAGGAATTTCCACCACTGGCTCAGGGTTCAGAATAGGAGATAAGCACTGCCCCAATCTCCGTTTGAGCAGGAAGTCATTTAGACTTTTTTTAATTCATGAAATCCTTTCCAACGAAAATGGAAAGTGGTGCTGCTGTGTGTACTGTTGCTGTCTTTGTGTTGTATTGTTGTACCATTCCCATACTTTAATCTCCTCTAGCTCCCAGCCTGTAACCTCTACCTGGATTACTCTCTCCATCATCGTCATCATTGTAAATGCGCAAACGATGAAGACCCGTTGCGCCAACCGGAGGGGTGCCCACGTGTCACTGCACTGTAGGGTTAGGCCTCCTGCAAGGTTAGGCCGATGTCACGACAGATCTCACGCTGCCTCCCATCCACAATTGCTCCTCATGCCCCACCTATTCCATACCTGTCAGCCCCTTATCAGTGCCCCTTACGTATTACAGAGCAATTCAGACCTTGTCGGTCGCCCCGTGCCCTGATGAATCTCAAAGTTCATCCTACAAAGTCCCATCACAAGGGAGAAACACAAACATAATAGCTAAATATATAGATATATATATATTTATTTCTCAATTTTCCTGCACAAGAATACGGGTAAACCGTATGGTTTAACACGTAGGCTTTCGCGACCCAAAAACCCTCTATTATGGATAAACCGTATGGATTGACAGGTAGGCTATTGTACAACGTCTTGACGTGTGGTCAGTCACGTGATATATACATCCAAGCTGCATAGCATACCACTTATTTGCGCTTCCCACGTTGGTCATTCAGACCTGACCAACACGTGGAAATTTTCTAAATAACAAAGTGAGCAATATGAAGGCGGAGGTGGCCACGTGGTGGCTTAAGGTCAGAGAACTAAGCCGGCACTGCTGCTGAGATCCTGAGTTTTGTTCTGGGCATGCGCCCGTTATTAAACTGGGTCCCCAGGTGTGGCTCGTCTCAACCTGGTCACCAATGGTCAGGTGTAACCAGAAGATGATCTCAAGCTGGTAACCGATGGTCAGGTGTAGCCCGGAGATTATCTCAGCCAGGTCACCGATGATCAGGTGGAGCCAGGAGATGATCTCAAGCTGGTCACCAATGGTCAGGTGGAGCCCAGAGATTATCTCAGCCAGGTCACCAATGGTCAGGTGGAGCCAGGAGATTATCTCAGCCAGGTCACCAATGGTCAGGTGTAGCCCGGAGATGATCTCAAGCTGGTCACCGATGGTCAGGTGGAGCCCGGAGATTATCTCAGCCAGGTCACCAATGGTCAGGTGTAGCCCGGAGATGATCTCAAGCTGGTCACCGATGGTCAGGTGTAGCCAGGAGATTATCTCAGCCAGGTCACCAATGGTCAGGTGTAGCCAGGAGATTATCTCAAGCTGGTCACCAATGGTCAGGTGGAGCCCGGAGATGGTCTCAACCTGGTCACCGATGGTCAGGTGGAGCCAGGAGATGATCTCAGCCAGGTCACCAATGGTCAGGTGGAGCCAGGAGATGGTCTCAGCCTGGTCACATCAATGCCTCCAAAAAAAACCCTGCCACGTTAAATTTGGTTTTGATTTGATTGGCTTCATCCATTTCAGACAATGTAAAATGTCGCTTTGGCTATCACGTGACAGTCTCGTGTGTTCATTTCCTCATACAGTATGTTAATTTCTGTTACTAGTAAATGGTTTAATTCCCAGGACCTTAAAAAGCCCAAAGAAAACTTTCCAGCGGCAATTCATGGTAAAAATAAACACGTGGCACAACTTATGTACATTAACTCTAATTATATTTAGCTTAACATGAAACTGAAATGACACATATAAACAAATTATCGGTAAATTGCCACAGTCTATACTTGCAGTCATAACATGATAATATGGAATTGCAAAAGTACCGACAATTTAGGTCAACAATGTGATATACCGTGAACAATCACGTCAGTGCAGGTCCGTGAAATCGGGGGCCCAGGATTAGTGCCACTAATATCAGCTGTGGCTGGGAATCGAACTCTGGGCGCCAGGTTCATAGTGTAGTGTGCTAACCATTGGGTCACCACTCACGTGGTGTGGGGAGGCCTTTGGAGAGAGAAATGTCTGCAAATTAATTATTCTTCAATATTGAAAACGATATTTCACAATGATAGATAATTTTGCATCATATTGGGTTAATGTTTCTATTTTAGGTATAATAAATAAGTCGAAGTGATTTTCTGTTCAAATGGGAACAGAGGCGATGCTTATCTCCTGTTTACAGCCCTGCGCCGGTGGTGGTAATTCCTCATTCCTATGGTGAGGCGAGTCAATCCACAGAACAAGACGACTGTTTAATACCTTCTTAAATATAATTTGTACCAGCTTGTGCCTGTTGTATATTTTAATCCTGAACATGTGCTGGAAGTTAAGTGTAGGTCAACTCCAATTCCATGTGTATCGTGATCTGACACGGATTTTCCACATAGCGCATGCCAGCTGCTCGAAGCCAGCTGTGGTGTGGCAGTATTAGCATAAATGCAATTTGACCCCAATTGCACCTGGAAATTGACAATTTGGAAAACCCAAGCCAGCTTGCCTAATGCTGGAACCTGGAGTTGAAGCACAATGCTATCCAGGGGCGTCGCGAGACACCAACAACACAGGGAGGGAGGTGACCAGGTGTTTCTTAGGTCAGAACATTGAGCCAACACCGTTGAGATTCGAGGTTTGAACAGGGCAGCTGTCCATGATTATACTGGGTTCTATAGTGAGTCAGCAGTCTCGGTCTGGCCACCCAGTGACTGCTGTGATGCCCCATGTCACGTGATGCCCCATTTCACGTGATGCCTCATCAGACGAGATGCCGGACTAATCCAGGTGAACTATTTTAAGTGAGAAAAAAAGGCTTTTCAAACCACACGTCTTCTGCCATGGTGTCCTCACGCCCACGGGGACTCGCCGGTCCATGCAAGTCAATTGGTCTGCCCTTCATCAAGATTCACCCGTAGTGTTATTTATCATGGTTATATCAAAGTGTGGATTTACCGAGAAACCTAAACCACCTGTACTAGGCTTCTCGGGAGACATACCAGGCAGCGAGAGAGGATACCTCTTCCTCCTCCACCTGCTCTGAATGATCAAAATCACAACAGTTTGGATTCCACGTGAATTGGGCCATTACACGAAGCCGTTTGAAATTGGATACGGCTTTGAGTTGATGCGCGTGCATCGTACCTGCAATTGCTTTTCACTGCTTATCCATACTGTGCTCAATCATTCACACAGTCACTCACTAACCTAATCCCTTGTTCACCCACTCATTATGCCATCAATTCACTCACTCATCCACTCACTCACCACACTGCAGGTCACAACACTTCTCTGTCTGCTTGTTTCTCTGTCTGCTTGTTTGCACACTTTATAATTTCCACCATCATATTTTTTCTTAGCTCTTAGGTTTTTTCGGTAAAGTCACGTAGGTAAAAAATTAAAATTAATAAAAGTAAAATAAAAATAAAATAAAAAATCACGACGTTTCGGAGGCAACACAAGCTTCCGTCTTCAGGTGGAACCGTCACAGCACGCTTGCTGTATTCATTTTAATTTTGTACCTACTTTACCGAAAAAACCCAAGAATATGAATCCTTGCAGTCACGGAAGCTTCAAATCTAGAATATGTTTTCTTAGCTCTTAAAATCCCCTTACTCGTTGCTAAAATATGTGTTGGGTTTTTTCTTTATCTATTACAACTTTGACAGTGCTGTTAGAGGTTGCGGTCTTCTGGGCCGCCTGTGCCCAACAACTGTGTGAGTATGTAAGCAATAAATAAATAGGTATTTAACAAGTAATAAATACACACAAACCCCACGGCGCGTGCGGCAATCCCAGCGTGTTTAACTTGCGGCGCTCCCCCTGTGAGTAACTTGCCAAGATTAATTAGGGATCCATGGATGCCCCCCTTTTGCCAATTTGCGCGTCCCTTAATTCTAAATGTCAGCAATCGGGTGCAATTAAGTTAGGCCGAGTGGAAACGTGGATTAGTTTTGTTGGTGCCGCGGCAGCGTGGATGCCCCCCCCCCCACCCCGCTTTGAACGTGATTCGTTGTGGCTCGGAATGTCTCTCCATGCCCGCGTTATGCAATAATTTAATCACTTTACATAAGCGGCCGATGGGGGAATTTGTAATTATGGAAATCTCGCGCTGGCAATGTGGTTTAATATTTGAGTTCCGTGATCTATTTTTTGGGGGGGCGGGCGGGAAGGGAAATGCCAAACATCCCCAAGAAGGAGCCTTAAGCTAATGTATATTGAGGAAAGTAAATAGTTTGCAAATTCGACTCTCCTGGTCTCTTCAGTTCTCACCCTGGTCAAACGAAATTAACTTGAAACTTAAAAAAGCATAACTCGGTGATGGCGCTGGTGAGTAAAGCAAGAGGAATCGTGGGGGGGTGTGTGGGGGTGTGTGTGGGGGTGTGGGGGGTGTGGGGGGGTGTGTGGGGGGCGTGGGGGGGTGGTATGGGGGGGGGGCAGTTATTCAACTTGGTTGGAGAGCCACAAGGAGGTTTGGTGGTGCAGGGCCCCACCGCAAGACCAAACCAGGAAGGGCTTCTTAACAATTCTGGCACTTCGCCCGATGAAGCTGGCTCTAGTCACCAGCGAAACGTCGTCCTCAAATTGTAAAGTTGTGCATTAACTCTCCCAACACACAACCGGCGTTGCTGAACGAGTAACTAATCTGGCACGTTCTGTTTACGGGACAAACCCTTTACTAATTGGCCGTGTCGGGTAGTGGTGGGTTAACGACACATTTATATTTTACCGTGATCTAACATTTATTGTGGATAATATTGGTTGCGAAAGCCTCCTCCTCCTCCTACTACTAATACTGCATATTAAACCCCCAAACCACGTGCCGGCAGAGCGCCGGCCCTCCCGGTGGCCCACTCGGTGTCGGCCGTGCCTGCCCTCCGGTTGACCTTCCCCCGTGGTCTCGCGGACGATCGCCGGGGTTGACGCCGCCTCCTCGCGGCTTCGCTTTCCGCAGGTCCTCAAGTGGGTGGAAGAGGCCGTGCAGGCCTCTAAGGTTCACCTCCTGTCCACCGACCACGAGGAGACGGGCCACCACTCCTGGACCGTGCCCTTTGACCCCAGCCTGCGGGAGGTCACCGTGTCTCTGAGCGGAGCAGCCCCCGAGGTGGAACTCTGGGACCCGAGCGGTAAGCGGGGTTGCGGGCGGCGCTGACGACGGGAGGGAGGGAGGCGGGCGGGGGTGGACAAAGCCCCGTTATTACCGTGGAGAAGGAGAAGGGCGATGTCTGTTGACGCCGGGTGCCGTAAGTTCTCACGAGTGAGGAGCGGGAGGAGGGCCTTCTCTGCCACTGCTTGGGTCCCTCCCTGTGGATCACTTAAAAGCAGGTGGCAGACTTCAATACTACGGCTCCTTTGTGGAGCCTCGTTGTCGTTTCGCAGTTGAATGTCGCGAGCTGGTAGAGTTAAGCTGGTGACAATAATGAAAGAATACGGCTCGGTGGCTAAGCGGTGGAGTGAGCGGGCTGTTCACGCCACTCCATCGATCGCCGTGCCAGCCCTTAATGTTCGCAAAACAGCACGTGGCCACGACAGTCTATAAGGCTACATGGGGGATCTTTGTCTTTACATTTATCCACGTGTGCCCCCCCCCCATAGGTAAGCAGATCAAGCAGGAAACTGGACTGAGTGAGCTCCTGCACCTACCCAACTCCGCGCTCATTGTCAGCGTCAAACTACCCACGCCGGGACTCTGGACCATCAAGGTGCCACTCACTCACAAACCGGCTAACAACACCACCCCACCACCACCCCACGACCATTCCACCACCACTCCACCACCACCCCACCACCATCACTCCACTACCACTCCACCACTACTAAACCACTACTCCACCACTACTCCACCACCACCCCACCACCATCACTCCACCACCACTCCACCATTACTAAACCACCACCACTCCACCACCACTCCACCACTGCACGACCACTCCACCACTACTAAACCACTACTCCACCACCACCCCACCACCACCCCACCACCCCACCACCCCACCACCCCACCACCCCACCACCACGAAACCACCACTCCATCACCCCACCGCCACCCCACCACCACCACTAAACCACCACCACTCCACCACCACTCCACAACCCCACCACCACTCTACCACCACCATCCCACCTCCACAACCCCACCTCTACCACCCCACCACCTCATACATTAGATATAGCTGCTATCCTATGACTAAACTGGCCTCCGCTGTGGAAATGTGGAATTTTCACCACTCACCAATGGTTGCCAGTGTAAATAAGTGCTGTCCAATTCCTCATTTGAAGACGAAAAGGCTAATGCTTTTTTATTCTTGGCCGGACAGTTCATTTGTGGCAGCGTGCACACATACCAGTGCACGCTTTTCCAAAGCTCGAGTTACAGAGTCTGAGACGTCACACGGGGGCACATCGTTAATAACAACGCGTCCTGCGAAAGCCATCTCCTCCTGCCTCTCCGCTTGCTGTGGCCTGAGACGGACGCGTGATGGGGCGGACGTGATGGGTGACGTGCGCCCCGTCAGACTCATCCCGCCCCGCTCGGTGGACTTCAAACGCTCGCGCCATCTCCGCTCGTCTGCTATTTTCCTCCTTCGGGGACAGGGAGAGCCTTTGAAGCGTGCAAGGCAACGTAATTATACGTCTTGTTAAATGTGGCGTCTGATGTCTGCGCTGCAAACGAGCGTGAGATCACAGGCCCCCGACTTGATGTCAGCCATTTATTACGTCTTGTCTAAAAAAAGAATCGCTGTTATGGATTGCATTTTTTTTTTTGCTCAGAGATTGAGCTCACCTTTACATTCGAGTGTAGTAAAAACATTTTTAAAACGATAACGCACAGCCCTCTGTTGGCCACTGCTAGACATCGGTCTTCCTATGCTCAGTCAGTCGTTGGGGGGGTTTGTCCATACTTGGCCATGATGCTAAGTGTGGCCTGGCAACGATGGGGGGCGGACAGCGGACAAGGCTGGTTCAGTCATCAAAAACACATTTTTTGTGTGAAATACATGGAGGCTGTTAGCATTTACAATGTTAGTTTTCAGTCTTCCTCGATGTCTATGAAATGGCATAATTGGGTCAATTTGATGGAGCAATTTATGTAATGTAGCAATATATGTAGCATTCTGGATTGTGGCAGAGAGTTGCATTTATGTTTGATTATTTTTTATTGTAATACTCGCAGCGGATGCTGTAATTTGTCATTTTGAATCTATGGTCTATTGGTTGGCATGGATACAAGGCATACACACTGCTGCTTTTTAAGTCGCTTTAAATTTCATACTATATATACCTATAAAGCAATTGGCCTAACATTCCAATCAGGAATGTTTCAAATACTCCTTGTAAAAACTGTGAGGTTTTATTTTTTTACGAGAAAGACTCCAGGTCATATCAAGTGTGTGCATTTGTTCATAGGTAGCTTTACAAAGTTTAGTTTAAACAAAAAAATAATTTGACAGCAAAAATAAGTTGTTCTGAGTTGGAAATAACAAAGCAAGGATCTCCTTTGCGGTTGTTCATGATGTCGGAAGGAAGTCGTTAACCTTTGGCCTTTAATCTTGAAGCCCTCTATTTTCTTTGCAGGCTTCCCATTGGGCTCAGCCGCTACGGTTCAGCCAGGGTCACAGTTCAAAGGGAGCAAAAGGGTCAGCTTCAGACCATGTTGTCTTACAAGCCAGCGGGGTTTTGAAAGGGAAATTCCCCCATTTAGTGATTCTATTATTGCACGGTGACAGAAAACTTAAGCGAACTGTTACGTGCCGCCAATCATAACGTCGGTAGCCTCCGAGGTTGAATTGTAAGTTGTAATACGATTTGGCACTTATGGCGGATTTGATGATCCTTTGGTAATGGAACTTGTTCTGCCAGTTGGCAGTCTCTCATGGTAGTTTATAAGGCTGGAGGGTGTTTGTGTTTCATTAAGTTGAGCTGTACATTTTTTTTTATTCATTAGAGTTGCTGAGCACAAGGATCAAAGGCCAAAAACACCATGCAGCCAGCAACAAACAGCACAATGAGATGTGCAATAGAAAAGAGTTGACATGTTTCTTGAATAGAGTAAGTTCCAAAATTAAGTTAGAGTAAGTTCATTGTCAGAAACGTGGGCAAATAGACGGTAGGAGGGAATTCCAAAGTGGAGCAGCTTGAGGGAGAAGCAGAAAGAGAAGTGACCTGGCCTGCAGTGTGGTTAGTGGGTGGGTGAGTGGGTGGGTGGGTGGGTGAGTGGGTGGGTGGGTGGGTGAGTGGGTGGGTGGGTGGGTGGGTGGGTGGGTGAGTGAGTGGGTGAGTGAGTGGGTGAGTGAGTGGGTGAGTGAGTGGGTGAGTCGGTGGGTGAATGAGTGAATGGGTGAGTGAGTGGGTGGGTGAGTGGGTGGGTGGATGGGTGGGTGAGTGAGTAGGTGAGTGAGTGGGTGAGTGAGTGGGTGAGTGTGTGAATGGTTGAGTGGGTGAGTGAGTGAGTGAGGTAGTTAGTGTTGTGAACTGCAGCATGATGGTGGTGGTGGTTAAACACAGTCGGGATACCGCGGGCAGTGTCTGGTAAAGACCGAGTCCTCAACGCGGGTGGAGGAATCAGTTAGCGAAGTTCATGGGAACAATAACCATGGTGAGGAATACTGGAAACACTTTTGACAACATCTGTAGCAGCCACGTTAATTTACGTATTTTATGCACCGTATATTGCAATTCACCGTCCCAGGCTTTGCGCCCTACATAAGACTCCATCCCTAAGTGCCAGACGCCATTCGTCATTCGTAGCGCACCGACCCACTCGTCTTGCCTTTTCGTCGCCTCTCAACTCGTTCATCTCGTCGAGCGCCCCCGGCCGACCGGTCGTCCTCTCCCGCTCAAGCGGCCGGTGGCTTCGTGACCCCGTGGCACGGGCGTCGCTGAGCCCCAGAGCAAAACCACCAGGACGCCCCGAGGGGGGCGGCACTACGCGAGCGGGACATCGCCTGCGGCACGGCGTTTTTAGAGGCAAACCGGGGTCACGATCTGCCTCGGATCACGACGGCGACGCGGCAATGACCCAGGAAATGTTCGCGAGGAGCTGACAGCTGCGTTGACGTGTTTTGCCCCTCGTTTCTTTGTTGATGTTTCCTAATTGAGCGATGCGAACCATGTTGACCCTTGCGAAAACGACACCAAAGATTGCCACAAACCTTCAGACAACAGGATGGCAAAGTGGTAACACTTGTGCCTCGCAGCTAGAGTCCCTGGGTTCAACTCCTTGCTCGGGGGGGCGTCCTTTCCATGTGGAGTTTGTATGCTATCCCCCTGTTTTTCATCGCTTTCCTCTGGGTGCTCGTAGTTTTCTGCTGCAGCTAAACAAAACAATGTCAACCGGTATTGGGCGAACATCCCAACACTGAAAATGTACCTGGAAATTACTCAATTGGGATCACACACAGCAGCAGCAGCAGCAGCAACATTGCTCACTGCTGTGGAAACTTGGCAGGACCCGGCTTAAATGTTTTTTGAAGCTTTCTTAGGTAGAACAAGCGTAATAAAGACAATAAAATAAAACACTCACTGCAGTTGCACCTTGCAAATTCAATCGTAGGAAAGTCATTGATTTTTTTCACACAATCAGGCGGCAATTGCAAGCGTTTTGAAATACTGCGAGTATCGTGTAGATAGGTTTAATTGTTGTTTTGTGATGGTAGTTTATAACATCGTACTTTATAATGAGCCCATGGCAATGTAGAACTTTCCCTCCAAAAATCCGATGCCAATTCTTTGTGAAAAATAAACTACATGGAGAGAAAACGTCGCCGCTGAACGTAATCGGCACACACGCAAACTCTTCCCCAAAGTGTTGCTCGCTGTGCCAACAACAAAGTGTTTCCTCAAATGCGATACTTTTACAGGCGCTTGTAAAGATTCGTGCCAGTGGGATTTTTGTGTGTGGGGGACGGTGGGGCGTTTGATTTTGGATGAAGGCCTATTGGATCAGGCTTTGGCCATTGTCTCCTTTTGCCAGCATATTTGCAAATTATGTAAAAAAAAAATACAATCTGACAAAAACACGAGGTGGAAAAATATATATCTACAGGAAATGCTTATGAAGCATTGGTTGGAACACTGGATGATATTACACATATTTACTTGGCCTCCGTTGGATATGTTCAACTAAAAGCTCTCGTTTCTCTCGTGAGTCGCTGGGTGTGATGGTCGCGCTTTGTTAAGTACCAACATCGCTTGAATGAACCGACGAGCTTAAACGAGCCGAATGCTTGTGTTATATAGGCTTGGGCTGAGAGGTGGGTTTTATCTGGGCTGTACAGTTTTACCCATACCCAGGAAAAAATAAGTTGGTCAAACATCCCAATGCTGGGCCCTCTTGATTTATGGATAACTGCCTGCATTTATATTCTTAAAAAAAAAAATTCACGTGAATTATTTTTTTGAAAAGGTTAGTGCGACATGCACATGCGAATATCACTTGGCGTATCTACTCTTTTTGAATGTACTACAACATACGACATCTGTCACGCAGCGTAATAAGTACATTTTTAGGTTTTTTCGGTAAAGTCACGTAGGTAAAACATTAAAATTAATAAAAGTAAAATAAAATAAAAATCACGACGTTTCAGAGGCATTACAAGCTTCCGTCTTCAGGTGGAACAGTCACAGCCACGACAGCTGTATAAAAAAAAAACTGTCGTGGCTGTGACGGTTCCACCTGAAGACGGAAGCTTGTGTTGCCTCCGAAACGTCGTGATTTTATTTTATTTTACTTTTATTAATTTTAATGTTTTACCTACGTGACTTTACCAAAAAAACCTAAGAATATGAATCCTTGCAGTCACGAAAGCTTCAAATCTAGAAGTACATTTTTATCAGGGCGGATTGTTTTCGAGAAGTTCCTCAAGATTACATCGGGGGGGATTTTAAATCCTGTGCTTCGTTCGGTGCCCCTGGACACTTTTCGCGGTTAAATCGCCGAGCGGTTTCCTGGAATCCGTCAGGGAGAGATATACGGGTTTCAAATTCCTCACGTGGAATTTTATTTAAAAAAGAACAGCAGGGGATTATTTTTTAAAGGGCAAAAGTGTCACGATTCTTCCGCGAAGCTTGCATCTCTCAACAATGAAGCCCTTAAATTTCGATTTAAAGCTTTCGTGACTGCAGGGATTCATCTTCTTGGTTCTTTCGGTAAAGTCACGTAGAAGGGAAATAATAAAATAATTGTCACGACGTTTCGGCTACAACGCAAGCAGTCGTCCTCAGGTCGTGAGAATTATTTTCTTATGTTTTATTTTGATTATTTCCCTTCTATGTGACTTTACCGAAAGAACCAAGAAAATGAAGCCCTTCTTTCCTTTTAATACTTAAGCCCAAAATGAAAAATATATATAATTTTTGGACCTACTTTCAACATAACTTACATCCAGGAATTTACAGATTTCACATCTCCTGGAATCTCCATTGGGCATGAGTTATGATTGCTTTGAGGAGACATAATCCAGGGGATGGTCTCAGACGCAGCTACTGTGATGAGGTAATTCATCCCAAATGCACGTGACGAGGTCAAGCAATGCTTCTGTGTTATTTCACAAAATCGCTTTCCCTTGCAGATTAGCAAATGTCAGATTGTGCTTTCTTTTTCAGTCTGCGCAACAATAACTGGAAGCCTCAGCTCCATTTAAACTAAAATTTCACTCTGAATGTTCAATCAGGAATTGACCACAAATCCAAGTCAGAAACCCTACTGGCAAAAGTCTGCGGACGCTTTTGTGAATTATTTATTTGCAAATATTTTACTTCTTTTACAGCCCTTTGTCAATCCACTTGCTGGTTTAAGGCCTCCCCACAGTGTGTTAAGCTCTCAGCAGTGAGCTGACGAAGGGCCGACTTATTATTGTTGTGTTTGTTGTCGTAAATGTAAGGTTACATTGCCGCGTTAATATTCAGCCAGTCTGCATGTGAGTTGCGTTGTGGCACAGCGTTCGACTCACAGACGGTTGCGAGCTCAAATCCTTGGTTGGGGAATGACTTGGCCCATCATCTCTCCTGCGGTGGATAAAATGAGTACCACTTTGTGGAACGCTACCAATTGTCAACCCTTGGAGCGAATGGCCCCTGCCATTGGAATGACAAAAATGAACCATGGCGGCTGGCAGAGATGCCCATTAACTTTCCTTTGAGCGTGGGAGGCCTGTTGAAGTTTTGACATACACGGTTTATTAACCACACCGATGATGCGTGGCTTTCCTCCGTGTATCTCTGTGAGAAATAATCCCGGCACGATCTGCATGGTCCACTGAAACCCGCAGGGAAAGACACGCGCATTTGTAACTGTCATTGCGATGGTGACGGTGAACAAAGACCACGGTTGTTGGACGCCTGCGAAATTGATGACCGTCGTCGATGTAGCTGCAGGTGCAGCGGGGCACGCTCTGATCGCGATCTGCAGTCTGGCCCGGGCGCCTCTCGGTCGGCAGGGATGGCTCTTCGTGAATGGGGATGCCTTCTGTGATGAGAGGGCCGTGACAACTGCAGCCGAACTGGCGCTCCGTTCACAGCCAGCGGAGCCTATCGTTCATATCCCTTATCGTTCATATCCCCTATCGTTCATATCCCCTATCCCCCTGCTCAAGCTCTGCTTGCTCTCTTTGTGCAACAAGACGTGGAATTTCCCAGCCAGTGTTTTTTGTCTACATGGCATGCTGCACTTTTGCTTTTAGTTAGATGCTTAGGTTTTCTTTCCTGTCCACAGGTCACAAGCTCCGGGCGCCACTCGGTCCGCGTCACGGGGCTGAGCACCATCGATTTCCACGCCGGCTTCTCCCGCACGTCCACCGATGACTACAGCCGCACGGAGCGACGGCCTGTCCTAGGTACCGACACTTTACTTGAGATCGACTCCTGGCATCCCTGCACAGAGAAGCGTGAAGGCGGGGTGGCTGGTGGGGGGGGGGGGGGGGGGGGGGGGGGGTACTCAATGTTGTTGATGGTGCCTGAGTCAGTGGTGTGCAAGGAGAGATTCACAGAGCGCACGAGCTGATCTCAGCCCTCCATCTCTCCATGTTGGTTCCCAGGTGCAATTGGCAGCACCTGGTCGCAGTTCCTGCGTGAGTGACTCATGCACCCTGCGCCCCTCCCCCCCACCGCAGGCCTGCCGACGCACATGCTGCTCAACGTGACGGGGCTGCGCGTGCCGGGCCGCGCCGAGCGCGTCGAGCTGCTGACGCCGTGCGGGCGCGCACTCAAGGGCCTGCCCGTCGCGCCGGCCGCCACGGCGCCCTGGGGCATCTGGAGGGTGGCGCAGTTCGTGTCGCCCTCCGAGAAGTTCTTCGTGCGAGTGTCGGGCGTCGACCGGGCCGGATTCTCCTTCCAGCGATACTCCAGCGTGGCTTTCTCTAACATCGTACCCGGTGCGCACCGCACGACGTCACTCACAGTCCGGTTAAGTCACCGGTCTGCCCACGCTCATCTACAGTATCTCGAAAGACCTTGGCGAGTTTTACCGCTGTGAGGCCTTGCGGGTTAGGCCACGTGCTGAGCAGTTCTGCTTTCAATTTTTTCACCACATGCTACTGCAGGCATCTTCAGGAGCTGCTGAACGTTCAACTGCTCAAGGTGGTCAATACGCGAACTAATCCGATCGGCCGCATGTGGGCTATGAGCGACTAATCAAATCTGCGTATGCGTCACGTGCTGTGAGAGCAAAGCATCGGACATCGTGCAGAACGACACGCGGATGTCAGAGTTATTCTAAGTGCTGCGCTAATGCCTTCCATTGGACAATTCGCGCAGAGCATAACATTTGCTTCGAGTCCTGCTGAGGGTGTTTTTAAAGAGGTCACCCAAACGTCACTGGCTTGCAACACACTAACGAAAAGAAACACGATCATCAGGTCACAAGCATCTGTTCACTTTAACCTGTTTCATTACAAAGCCGAATGTACATTGATTACCTTCAAAATCCACGTGCGTTATGAAGACCGGCCATTGCCCAAAAACGTCGCCGATTCTAGATTGTCCTGATGAAGGCCACGGTGTTATTGCCGTTGAGTTTGCAGCCAAATTATGATTCACGACGTATTTTTTTGTGTTTGGCCACGTAATGGTCCGGACCAAAATTCGTGCCGTTACTTTCTCCTCCACCACCGGACGTGGCCAATCAAATTGCGACGCGCACGAGCGTTGAACGTGCCGGCCGCCACCGTTTCGCCCGCTCGATCCGACGGACAAATCCTCGCGCTTGCGCAACCCACGGCCTGCCGTCCGTTCCGCGTGACGTGCGCTGCCCCTGACCCCCCCTCCACCCCTTCCCTGACCTCGCCGCCGGTGCTGCGTGGAACAGATCTCCCGCGCGTGCGGATGGCCGAGTGGACGGCGGCGTTCTACATGCAGGCGGTCGCCATCACCTGCTCCGTGGAGTCGCTGATCCCCTACACGCTGCGCTTCACTCGCAACGGCGCCCCGCTCGGTCGGGAGAACTTTCTCAAGTAGGGCTCCCCGTCATGTCATTCCTTTATTCATTCATTCGGTGGTTATTTATTCATTCGGTTGTTCATTCATTTATTCACTCAATGATTTAATTGCATTAATTTATTAATCCATGTGATGCGAAGTGAAGAGTCATCAGTGGCCAAGACTGCCGTGCGTATTGAGCCAGAGGGCCGCCGTCCACACGGACGTCCGAAGAAGCGATGGATGGATCGAATAAAGGAAGACTTGAAGACGGTCAACGCATCCCCCGAAGATGCCCTGGACCGAGCCAAATGGAGAAGACAATGCCGAAAAGCGGACCCTGCGCCACAGCGGGAACAACGCTAGGAAGAAGAAGAATTTATTAATCCATGTAGTCATTCGATAATGTTTATCCTTTCTGCCATCGTACAATTTATTCACGAATGCCTCTATTGATTTATAAATTCGGTCATGTTTTTATATTTTCATGCGTACTTTCATTTATTCAAAAGTTCACTTAGAGTACGGTGCAGTCAGGCGAGCCTCAAACCAAATCAGCCATGCCGAAAGTGAGTCTCGGGACTCAACGGGGCTCTCGGGGATAAATTCGGGACCTTATATTACAGACAACTTGTTTATCCGAAGCACATTTGTACCGGCTGCTGCCGTCGCTGAGATAGCCAAGCCGGTTGCTGGCTCGTGGCTGGGTCCACGCTCAGAGTTTACAGCCCAACGCAGCCTCCTCCCCCGTGTCCACATAAACCGCTGTCTCCATATGTCAGCCTGTGAAAGCAATCGCCTGCATAAGGTCAGCGACCTTGCAATACCTAGCCCTTAATGTCGGATTCTTTTAAATATTTGCGAAGGTCGCTGCATCAAATCGTTTTAAAGTATGACGGTACTTATATGGTATAGGCTTATATGCTTGCCCTTGGGCTACACACCCCCTCCCCCCCCCCTCAAACATATATTACCCCTTGTTGTAGCAGCTCTCTCGCTGGTTCAGCAGTTCCACTGCTGGATGATTTTTTCCGCCTGAGGACGACCGCTTGTGTTGCGATCGAAACATCGTGATATATAATTTGTGTTTTATTTTATTTTTCTACCTACGTGACTTTACCGAAAGAACCAAAAAGTATGGATTCCTGCAGTCACGAAAGCTTCAAATCAAGATTCAAATCAAGATGGTAGAGGCTGCCGCTGTGGGGCTTGGTCGTGGGCAGCGCGGAGATGTCCAGTTGTACTGTACATCTATGTTCCTCAGCCTATGCGCCCTGCTTTTGCCGTCCTGTTTAACCCAGCAGGAAGCCCTGGTTACTGCTGCCGGTGTATTAACCGCAGAGTATGATGCACCGTACATTTCACAGCGGACGTCACCGTCGCGATGACGGTTACAAAAGATTCCTCGATGCCGTTCGAAACGAGTGTCGGCCATCGTGTGCCGGCGTCGCGGCCCAAATTTGCTTGTTCGACAAAACGACGTAGCAAATTACTTGATTGGAATCAGATGTGGCAATCGCCGCCCCCCTTACTTTTACATGACCGCAGGCCGCGTGTCCGCGCAGCCTCGTATCTTCGCTAGAGCCTCGAAGAGTGTCAAATGGACGCCCCCCAATGTGCCCTGCTCCGCCGTGTAATTATTATCGTTGTCGCCGCCACCCCCTGCGTGTGCAGGGAGTCCGGCAGCGCGAGCTGGGAGATCGGCGAGGCGACGGCGCGCGACGAGGGCCGCTACGAGTGCGTGGCCGTGAGCCAGGCGGGAGCCGGTCACGCCGCCACCTACCTGCAGGTCACAGGTCAGCGACTCGACCCCCCTCACCCCCGCGCCTCCGCAGGGCGGCCGTGTTGCCTCCCTCCGAGAGTCGCTCAGACAAAACAATCCGGTCGTGATCTCGAGCAGACGGGGATGGGGATTGTTGCGATATTCCGGGCCACGCATTCCGGCTGGGGGGTTGACGCAGCCCCATCAATCCCGCCACGGTCGGTAGAATTGGCACCACTGTGAGAAAATTAACGGTGGTTGTTCAACGAGATGACTTCCCCCCCCCACCATAGGAATGTGGAATTTCCACCACTGGCCTCGGCGGCTGCGAAAGGGAGACGAACACCTCCTCAATGCTCACTTGAGCAGGGAATCGCTTCGTCGACTTTTAGAGACTCACGCCTACACACATAACCACGAAGGACTGGTTGGTAGGCAGCGCAGCAGGTTAGCTGCCGAACTCTCAGTGCTGTCTGTTTCCCCGAGGCTGCTCAGGCTTTCTTGAAGCAAACTCCGTCGAATGTTTATAAGCGAGCCCCCCCCCCCCTCGCCATGACAAACCTGTCCCGGTTCGACGCAAAACTATTTGTGTTTTGCCGGGCTCCCTTGTGCGGTGAGCAGAGCCGGCCCCGGAGGTGCGCGCTCTCGGCAACGTGACGGTTGCTCCCGGCGAGACGGCGACTCTCGCTTGCCGCGTCGGGGGCCAAGATGTGAGCTACAACGTGACGTGGACGCGGCACGTGGCGCATCGAGGTGAGCAGGTTCATGACGATGACGCTGCCACCGCTCATTATCATCTTCGTCATGATCATCATCGTCGTCGTCGTCGTCGTTGTCGTCATCATCATCATCATTCTCATCATCATCATCGTTGTCATCATCATCATTGTCATCATCATCATTGTCATCGTCGTCGTCATCGTCATCATCCCGCAGCCATCCGCAAATCCTCACACAATTAAACCTGAAATATCTCTTCGATTCTCCTCTCCACGGCACCTCACCGACTCGTACAGCCAAGTGAACTCACTCGGGTATGGTCTCGGAACAAAACCTTTTAACAGCAACCTTAAGCGCGGCCACGAACGTCGTAACCATCGGCGTAATAAACAAACTCGGCTTGCAGCACCCCGTGTCGGCCCATCTCTCATCACGCGCTCACCAGCGCTCAACCGACGCTCGTCACGTGACTCCTCACACCAACCCGTGCAATCTCAACCGCCGGCAGTACACCTCCTAGCTTGACGCGGCCAGCACAGCGGGATATGACGTTTTGGAGAGAGACCCCAGGTGGGAAAGCCTAGCCGCGGGGCTTTGCCAATCCGACTCCCCACGCAGGAACGCCACCGCACTCCGTCGATGCCCTGGCGCTCCTGGGCGGACGCGGCCGCTCGCCGCTGGAGAGCGGCGCGGGGAAACGAGCGACGCTGCAGATCCGTGACGCGCGGCGCGGGGACGCCGGCCGCTACGACTGCACCGCGTCCAACCGCGGCGGCGCCAGCACCGCGTCCGTGTGGCTCCACTTCGACGGTGAGGGTCGCGCGGCGATGGCGTCGCCACCTTCCGGGTTGCACCAGGGTGGTGGGGCGGCAATGTCTCTCGTGCCTCGCATGGCAAGAAGGGCTTGGGGGAAGTCCCGGCTTGGGTGCCCTTTGATGTGTAGAAGGTGTATCTTCTCCCAATGTTCTGCAAAGGTTTTGTCCAGGTACTCGGGTTTCTTCCAAAGCAGAACAATCCTTACAATCTTGATTTGAAGCTTTCGTGACTGCAGGAATCCATACTCTTTGGTTCTTTCGGTAAAGTCACGTAGGTAGAAAATAAGCAGCTTTCCCACCTGATGATAGACGCTCGTGTTCCGCCCGAAACGTCGTGATTCATTTTATTTTATACCTACGTGACTTTACCGAAAGAACCAAAGAGTAATCGTTATAATGTGACCGGTATTCGTCAAACACCACAATTTTCAGAAGTTACCTGCAAATTTCTTAAATAGAACAAAGACAAAGATCCCTCGTGTAGCCATAATACACCATTGGGGCAAGTGGTGTTTGTGAGCACCTATGAAGGTCAGAATGGCACACGAGGTGGTGGGTGGCCAACACCACGCCCGGCCGCCTTTGTCTCCCTAGTGGGCATGTTTACGGATTGCACCAGGTACACATTTGACACACATGGCCCCCTACTGAACAAACTTGGCACAACCCTCCTAAAAAATGTCGTAAAATTTATATATTTTTTAAATCCTATATAACTGGGATACTGAGACGCACGCCGGACCGGCACGGCCCGGTTCCCCGGCGTCGGTGCACGCCGATGCTCCCCGGTAACCCCCTGCGCCCCCTCTCCTCCGCACCGGCCGCTCCGCAGACCTCCCCAGGGCGGCCGTGTCGCCTCCCTCCCAGACGTTCGTGGCGGGCGCCGAGGTGCGGGTGGCGTGCCGGGCGGCGGGACACCCGGCGCCGGCGGTCACGTGGGTGCATGGGGACGCCGACGTCATCGACTCTCCCAGGTGCGCCGCGCCGGGTCGCTGCCCTCTGCTGCAGACGCATTTGGTGTAGAGAGAGGGCCCCCCCCCCCCCCAGCCCTCGCTTTTCTCCGACGAGTTCCGGCAGTGGCGCCAGCGAAGTGGCCCTACAGAGGTTTCTATGTTCGAATCCGGCAGGCCACCCCGGTTAACATTTCTCCAGCGTGTACGTAAACCATAGAGTGCGCACCGTCTGCTTCATGGCAGATCTTGGTGATCCCATGGCATAATTCACGGCGTCATTGGTCCAAATATGCCAAATTTGCGAACCTATACCACATATTGTTTAATTGGGAAACATGTATCAATAGCCACTCCCTTCTATGATAACTTGGTAAGGCCCTACTGATTCTATAGACTCAGTGGGGCTCTCCATGGTAAACAACTGCATGGTGCAGCCAGAAATCTGTGAAAAAAATAGCTTTATAGCTCAACTGATTCCTCCAGTATGAATATGTTTTCCGATTCTGATTCTGCTTATAAACTGGACGACAAAAACGCCACCTCAATTCTGATGTCGTCCCCGCTAAGTTCCAGCTGTGAATAATCGCAGCTTGCAGATCCCGCATTGCGAGCCACGGGGCCCGGGATTGTGAGCAGTGGGGCCCAGAATTGTGAGCCGTGGGGCCCATGATTTTGAGCAGCGAAACCCAGGATTGTGAGCTGTGGGGCGTGTGTGCGTGCCCGCCGGCTCTCCGCAGGCGCTCAGTGCTGTCGGATGGCACGCTGCTCATCAGGGCAGCGGCGCGGCTCGACGCCGGCTCGTACACCTGCACGGCAAGGAACCGTGCCGGGACGCACAGCCAGACCGCCGTGCTCACCTACACAGGTGAGCAGGGGCACGCGCACGGCGGATCTCCGCCCCCGCGGGGCGCTCGCGGCAGTCAGCTGGCTTGGTGGCGTGAATCACGGTGTTCTTATGCCGGGGCATCTCAGGGCAACTTCGATCACACATGTCAGCTCAGATATTTCAAAGGGGCACCCCCCCCTGGGCACCCCCCCCTCCCCCCACTGCGGCATCTGTCCCTGTGTGGCACCAGGTGACTCAGCACCCTGGCCTGCAGGTGGCCATTCGCCGGCCAGTGGAGGGGGCGATGATCGCAATTTTAGAATTATATTGATTTGGACATTAACGCCAACACACAGCGGCTTGTTCGTTTTGTTTGACAAGTTCGGTCCTCTTGTCAATCTAATTGCTGGATGAGGGTATCCCTCCGTTGCGTTTGATTACATGGGCTATTTAACCATACTTCTTCACGCTGGACTTAAGGGATACCAACGCATCAATCGTCACACGAGGCAATGTGGAACTCAGGGACGTGGTTCCCAGGTGGGCTGGCAGGGGGTGGGCGGGCGGGTGCTAGCGACCATCGCTCGCTTTGACTTTCTTCGTGTGGAGTGAAAGGGTCGCCCATCACAGCTCATTGGCGGCCACGATCAGTCGCCCCACTGGCTTCTCTCTGCCGGTGCAATTAGGGGCGCTGCAATTACTAAAGTTTCCGCCGCGCCGTCGGCGCACAGTTTGGCTGAAGCCGACCACCACGTGGCCACCGAAACAAAAAAGCAGCCCTTTGTTGCTGGATGCATCGAAGCGCAGCTGACGATCCGGGCCAAAAACAACCGTGTGCCAACAGCAGGAAAAAAAAACAACAACAATGGCAATCGCCATGGCGGTGGTGACAGTGGCGGCGGTGCTGTTGGTGGTTCAACATGAATCTCGCCATTTTTTTGAATTGTGCTCATGTCCTCCGTCGAGAGGTGTTGGCCGCGAGCGTGATCGTGACACCACCAGCATCGCCTCCTTTGATTAAAGCTTTGAGCAGAGTGCAGATGTGAACAATTCTCACGACAGGCCAGCTGTAAAATGTTACCGTCTTGGATGTTCCATTACACCCATCATGGGGCTGAGACCAAATCACCCTGGAAGTGTCCAATCTCGTCGGATCTCGGAAAGCCGAGCAAGTTTTTAGCGTGGTTCGTGAGTTGGATGTGAGACTGTGCGGGAACGTTCAGTGTTGTTGTAGGTCTTTGTAGGGGAGACACCACTGTATTCTTGAATCTATCTGTGCAGAGTTCTGAGAGCTATCCCATCGTACGTGCAGGGTTTTTGTTCGCAGCTACTCTGGTTTTATCCCGCAAGTCACACACTCGTCAATGGGATTGACCAAATATCCGATTAGCGGGACACTGCTAAAAAATAGTCTTGCAACTCAGTGAGGCATTTGTATTTACGTATGTACGTTGAACTTCCTTCGCACCATATGTAGCCAACTGCGTTAATCGGAGGTGTGGGGGAAGGACAACAAACTATGGGTCTCTGTGTGATGAGTCGTTAGGTCTCTGTGTGATGAGTCTATGGGTCTCTGTGTGATGAGTCTATTGGTCTCTGTGTGATGAGTCTATGGGTCTCTGTGCGATGAGTCTATGGGTCTCTGTGTGGTGAGTATATGGGTCTCTGTGCGATGAGTCTATAGGTCTCTGTGTGATGAGTCTATGGGTCTCTGTGTGATGAGTCTATGGGTCTCTGTGTGATGAGTCTATGGGTCTCTGTGTGATGAGTCTATGGGTCTCTGTGTGAAGAGTCTATGGGTCTCTGTGTGATGAGTCTATGGGTCTCTGTGTGATGAGTCTATGGGTCTCTGTGTGATGAGTCTATGGGTCTCTGTGTGAAGAGTCTATGGGTCTCTGTGTGATGAGTCTATGGGTCTCTGTGTGATGAGCCTATGGGTCTCTGCGTGATGAGTCTATGGGTCTCTGTGTGATGAGTCTATGGGTCTTTGTGTGATGATTCTATGGGTCTCTGTGTGATGAGTCTATGGGTCTCTGTGCGAGTCTATGGGTCTCTGTGTGATGAGTCTATGGGTCTATGTGCGAGTCTATGGGTCTCTGTGTGATGAGTCTATGGGTCTCTGTGTGATGAGTCTATTGGTCTCTGTGTGATGAGTCTATGGGTCTCTGTGCGATGAGTCTATGGGTCTCTGTGTGGTGAGTCTATGGGTCTCTGTGCGATGAGTCTATATGTCTCTGTGTGATGAGTCTATGGGTCTCTGTGTGATGAGTCTATGGGTCTCTGTGTGATGAGTCTATGGGTCTCTGTGTGATGAGTCTATGGGTCTTTGTGTGAGTCTATGGGTCTCTGCGTGATGCGTCTATGGGTCTCTGTGCGAGTCTATGGGTCTCTGTGTGATGAATCTATGGGTCTCTGTGCGAGTCTATGGGTCTCTGCCTGATGAGTTTATGGGTCTCTGTGCGAGTCTATGGGTCTCTGTGCGAGTCTATGGGTCTCTGCGTGATGAGTCTATGGGTCTCTGTGCGAGTCTATGGGTCTCTGTGTGACGAGTCTATGGGTCTCTGTGCGAGTCTATGGGTCTCTGTGTGATGAGTCTATGGGTCTCTGTGTGAGTCTATGGGTCTCTGTATTGATGAGTCTATGGGTCTCTGTGTGAGTCTATGGGTCTCTGTGTGATAAATCTATGGGTCTCTGTGTGAGTCTATGGATCTCTGTGTGATGAGTCTATGGGTCTCTGTGCGAGTCTATGGGTCTCTGTGTGATGAGTCTATGGGTTCCTGTGCGAGTCTATGGGTCTCTGCGTGATGAGTCTATGGGTCTCTGTGCGAGTCTATGGGTCTCTGTGTGATGAGTATTTGGGTCTCTGTGCGAGTCGATGTATCTATGTATAGTGAGCTTCTTTTGTACCGTATGTAGCTAACCGCACTCATCGGAGGTGTGGGGCCGCAGTGTGATGTGGTTAGTTTGAAGTCACGTGATGAGCCAATGAACCATTTATCATGCACGCACCTAGTGAGGCTTTCCTGAATGTCACAAAGGGGCGTTATGATTGTGTGGCAAATGCATTTGTGTATACGTCATTATGATCTATCCCTGGACGTCGCGTGGCTCGGCAGTCAAGTGAGCAGCTTGGAAGTTTGTCAGTTGACGAAGCCCATCATCCCTCCTGGGTCTCTAAACTTCTAAACTTGGTACCACTGTGTGGGGAAGTCAACAGTAGTTGTCCTCGCCCCCGCCAAAGGAATGTGGAATTTTCACCACTGGCTCAGGGCTGAAGGCAAGAGATGGGCACTGCCCCAATGTTCTTTTGAGCAGAAGACTACTGACTGTGACTTTCATTTGACTGATTTGACTAGAACATACGGATGCAGTGGGACTACAATTGATATCCTATTGGTTTGCATTCCCACGTGTTACCGGTTAAGAGAATGTTCACACTCTATTACACCGAAAGTGACAATGAGTGAATTGGAAAATGAGTAGTTGATGAAGAAACGACACTTCTGCTGGGGTAATTGTCACGGTATGCATGACCTCACCGTGCTCTGCGCAGCACATGGGCATGTTGTATATATGTTGTATATATGTTGTATATATGCGAAAGCACATCACACTGGGGCCATAGACAAGAATTTAATCTCGGCGGTAGCCTATCGGGACACTCGACTAGGCTGTGAACCTAAGATAGGTTCTATAGTTCAGAAGGTCAGAGTATGAATCCTTATCGAGGGGCATTGCACCAGCCGGTGAACTGTATAGGCGTCGTCATGAGTGAAACACGCCCAACAGGGCTTCAAGACCGCCTGAGATGCTGGGTTTGAATCAGGTCCAAGGTTAGAATCAGGTTCCAGCCACCTTTGATTATAACTGGGTTCCCAAGTGGAGTGTGGAGCGGTGGCGCAGCGGTGAGCGCGCTGCGCTACAAACCCGGCGAGCCAAGTTCGATTCCCACCCACGATCAATATCAGTGACGATTATCTGAACTGGTCCTGGGCCTCGCCTAGGTTGACTCAGCCTTAAATGAGTACCTGGTGCGGTGTGTAAACATCGCCATTGGGGAGACAAAGGCGACCTTCATAGGTGCTCGCTTCCAACACTTGCCCCTACAGCCTCTTGAGGCTATACGGGGGATCTTTGTCTTTGTTCCCAAGTGTAGTGAGTGACTGTGCACACAAGAATCAACCCCCAGTACATTGCATTGATTTCCGTGCTTAGTTTGGCTGAGTTCCCGGCTCTGGAAATGTAAAATATCAGTTTGACTGCCATGCGACAAGTAATCTAACAGCGGAGCGTGTGGAAGAACGTGCTCTCCCGCTGATAATTTATGGAGATGCACGTTACCCAAGAGGTTAACGGCTCAGTGCGTCGCCTCGTCAACGCCGTGAATGCCGGCGTCATTGCCGTGAATGCCGGCGTCATCTCCTCCGCGTCTCTCGTCCCCAGAGCTGCCTTCTGTCGCCCCGGTGAGCGCCGAGGTGCTGGTGGCGCGGGGAGCGTCGGCGCGTCTCGAGTGTCGCGCCACGGGCTCGCCCGCGCCGCGCTTCACCTGGCACAGAGGTGAGGGTTTGCCGGCGCAAGGCCAGAGAAGTGCGTTGCCCGTGTGGCACAAGGTGATCGCTATTTTTTTGGATGGTGTGTGGGATGCTTCGCTGTGCTCTGGCGGCCACAGGCCACGTGCGGTTAGCCGAGCAGGCCACTCAAATACCAGGTAAAATTTGCAGGAAATCAGGCTACTGCCGCTCGCATTAAATAATGAAGCAATCAAAATAAAATAACTGCGGTATTTTTTTCATTTTTTTTTACATTATTTGACCACTAACACGGCCGAATGTGTGTTTTCTTGAGGATTTCGTTTGCCGTACCCACGCACGATGTGCCTCTACTCCGAGAGTTGTTGTTGGGGGCGCAGAGGAGCCAAGCCAGCAGCCAGCCAGGCAATATTATTAATTCCAAAGAACAAAAGCACTCCCCAATGAGGCTTGTGCCTCACGGCAAGGAGGGCCTGGGTTTGATTTTCCGACTCGCGCACCTTTCTGTGTGGAGATGACATCAACTCACCCTGTTCTGCGTGGGTTCCCTCCGGGTTCTCCAGTTTCCGACCTTAACTTAAAAAAAACACACCATGCAACTGGTATTGGCCAAACATCCCAATATTAAACATTACCCGCAAATGACTCAATTTTGAATTCCAACAACATTTGTAATCGGTAGCAACATTGCTGCAATAATGATAACAACGATGACGACAACGATAACGACGATATCAGCAATAATAACGATGACGACAACGATAATGACGATATCAGCAATAATGATAACAACGATGACGACAACGATAACGACGATATCAGCAATAATAACGATGACGACAACGATAATGACGATATCAGCAATAATGATAACAACGATGACGACAACGATAACGACGATATCAGCAATAATGATAACAACGATGACGACAAAGATAACGACGATATCAGCAATAATAACGATGACGACAACGATAATGACGATATCAGCAATAATGATAACAACGATGACGACAACGATAACGACGATATCAGCAATAATGATAACAACGATGACGACAAAGATAACGACGATATCAGCAATAATAACGATGACGACAACGATAATGACGATATCAGCAATAATGATAACAACGATGACGACAACGATAACGACGATATCAGCAATAATGATAACAACGATGACGACAACGATAACGACGATATCAGCAATAATAACGATGACGACAACGATAATGACGATATCAGCAATAATGATAACAACGATGACGACAACGATAACGACGATATCAGCAATAATGATAACAACGATGACGACAACGATAACGACGATATCAGCAATAATAACGATGACGACAACGATAATGACGATATCAGCAATAATGATAACAACGATGACGACAACGATAACGACGATATCAGCAATAATGATAACAACGATGACGACAACGATAACGACGATATCAGCAATAATAACGATGACGACAACGATAATGACGATATCAGCAATAATGATAACAATGATGACGACAACGATAACGACGATATCAGCAATAATAACGATGACGACAACGATAATGACGATATCAGCAATAATGATAACAACGATGACGACAACGATAACGACGATATCAGCAATAATAACGATGACGACAACGATAATGACGATATCAGCAATAATGATAACAACGATGACGACAACGATAACGACGATATCAGCAATAACAACGATGACGACAACGATAACGACGTGGAGCGCCGGTTGCACGTGGCGACCAGGCGGCACGGAGCTGCGCGCGGGACCGCGGGTGGAGGTGGACAGTGACGGCGGCGTGCTCACGCTGCACGCCGTGGGGGACGAGGACGCGGGGGACTACACGTGCCGAGCGAGCAACCTGGCCGGGTCATCGTCCGCCTCGTGCCGCCTCACGCTGGGAGGTACGATAACGACGACAGCGGCGATGGCGTCTACGCGCCGCTAACGACGGTGACTGGTCGCAGCGGAGCTTGTGCCGGGCTAGGTCACTGAAGACGCCCACGTGCCCACGGGCCGCGCCGCCAACTCGCGCGTCGCACTTCGTGGGAGCTCGCTGACGGGACTCGCCTCTGCGGCTCGCGTAGGCCACGTGGGGGGGATCTTTCTTTCCTGTGTGCGCGCGTACAAGCGTGTCCCCGTGCACGCGCGTGCCGCGGCGTTGTAACACGCACGTTTGCCTACGTATGGTGCGAAAGAAGTTCAGCGCGCGTACGTACATGCGTACGCACATTCATACTTGGTGAGCTGACCGCAAATCCTCTCATTACCTTCTCGAGGTCTGTTTCGGATGAGACGCCTTGCCCGGGAAGCGGAGTGTTGCTTCGAGGGTTTGTGAGGTGCATGTGAGGGTGAGAGAGAGGGGGGTGGAGAAGGTGGAAGCTTCGTGTCTGGCCGGGGACACCGATGGCTCGCTCCACTGACGACGTTTTTGGAGGGAGAAAAAAACTAAATAAACCTTCATTTGCCAAATCCCCTTGCCTGTCCGACACGGCCAGCAGGCTTCACGGGCTCATGAGAAATATTGTTCATCCTCCGACACGGCCAGCCAACTTTTACAGGCTCATAAGGAACGCCGTTCATTTATTCGTTGAGTGAATTAAATCGGTTGCGGCTTTCGGAACACGCCCACTCGGGTTTTTTACACCCTTCCGGTTCAGATTACCACGCAAGGAAGGGGAAGGAATGGGCTCGGACTGACGACGCTCCACGTGCAGTGCTGCACGTCTCTCCTCGCGTGCTCTGCGTTGCCGTTGCAATCTCCACTTCGTGAATTGGCGCTGTTCCCGTGTCCACCTGGCAAAATAAATAAATGAGCATTTAATCTCTCGGCTTCAAATGAAAGTTGCCAGTCGTGGTGTCTACGTGCGCAATCTGGAAGGACTTCATCACAACTGTCATTAACGTGCGCTGTCTTATAAGAGGAAAAAACACGTGTTAGAACTGATATATTATTGGTTTACATTACATGAAAAGTTTGTTTATTATTATTTTACGGATGCAAGTGTCACAAGGCAGTACCAAAAGCAGGGGTAGTGGTACTGTGCAGATAGATTTTACGCCATTAACTCACCTACACCCGACAGATATTTTTTACACGTGCCAATGTGTTGATTGCATTCTGACCAATCAACCTGCTTATGGTGGCATTCGACTTTGTGCACGACTGAATTTAGCATCAACATTCGACGTTTCCACACAGATAGGCGCCTGAGTCGGGTGTCGAACCCAGGCCCTCCTTGCTGCGAGCGTTACCACCACCGCCCTGCCACCCACCCTGGCGTCCACATTTTTAAATCGTCGCTTTCTATAAAAATAAATTGTCATTTAAAAAAAAGAACAAAAATATAAACCGACGTAAATCTCTTTATTCGTTGGCTGCTGCGGAATTTGCGAATTCCTTCGGGCTGCACGTTTGGGCACGAGCTCCGAAACGCAAATTCACCAGACACGTGGCAGCGGGCAGCAACGCCCCCCCCCCGCTCCCTCTCCGGGGGGGGCTGCCGGGCAACGCTCGCAGCGTCTCTGACTCGAGCCGTGGCATTTCCTGTGAATGAGGTAGGGGGGTGGCGGAAGGGGGCAGGGGGCGACCACCCGTCGCTTGTGGAGTTATTGAACACCCGAGTGGCTCGGGGCAGGGGGAGGCCCTCCGTGGAGCTCGCGGTGCCCGAGACCCTGGCTAGGAATCCGTGTTCTTAGGTTTTTTCGGTAAAGTCACGTAGATAAAAAATTTAAATTAATAAAAGTAAAATAAAATAAAAATCACGACGTATATATACAAGGACTGTTTTCTTGGAATTTCTCTTACTTGATGCAGCAACCGTGCTGTGACGGTTCCACCTGAAGACAGAGGCTTGTGTTGCCTCCGAAACGTCGTGATTTTTATTTTATTTTACTTTTATTAATTTACATTTTTTACCTACGTGACTTTACCGAAAAAACCTAAGAATATGAATCCTTGCAGTCACGAAAGCTTCAAATCTAGAATTAGGAATCCGTGTTTTGGCCATCGGCGGAGGGAATTATAGCCGCCAAGTGCGGGCGGTGAGTTTTGGCGCAGTGGGCTTGGAACGAACGTACCGATCCATCCCCCCCCCCCACCCTGGCCCCTGTAGATTGGCACGATTCTCGGTCGAGGTTTCATTGATGGATTGAGTATTTATTTTAATGGTCGCATCTTGGTTTCTTGCACAGTTCTGTTTGTTTTGTTGACCTCGATATGAGAAGACCGTGACATTTGTATGGATTCTGACACGCGCAATTCAAATACATTTACCGCAGCGAGGGCCGTTCCCATCGAATTCGTGCGACGAATCTGCGCGTTGTTCCCTGTGCCGTTGAGTGAATGGTCCCTGTCTGGTCGCAAGCCACCCCACAATCAAGCAGCCGCATTAAATGCCGTGCTTCACTTCATTCCACACACTCCCACCTCCGAGAGATTGCTAAAACTGGCGCTGGATATAAATCCCTTGGGAGTGGCATCCGAAGCCCCTTAAAGCGAATCCAAGAAGTAGTTCAACAAATCAGCGTGATGCGCTGCTCGCTGCGAGAGTTCTACGTGGGGCATTTGCTTTGTCACATGACACCACAGGAATATAATAGGGACGTATAATTTTTTTCGGAGAATAAAATTGCTGTTCGGTTGGCCAGCGTTGGTAGGTGTGCGTTAATATATACGGAGGGTTAGCCGACTTGGTTACGTGTTAGTCCTGGTCTGCTCGTTGGTTATTTGTTGTTGTTGTGTTTGTTGTGGTATTTGGTGTTGTGCTTCTTGTAGTGTTTGCGCTGCTATTGTAGGAGCCGCTTGTAAACGCCCGCTCTGTCTGGCTCTGGCTCGCGTGTTCCAGGAGGGCCCTGTTAATGCCATTATTTATTTAGTCCTCGCTATTTATATCGCTATTTATATCGCCGAGGAGTGTGGAAACTTCCACGCTGTGGGAGGAATGCACGGGTCAGAGTAGAAGTGGTGGTCCAACTAGGCCAATTATATGAAAATCTGTTTATTAATTATTAATCCACTGCTAGATGGACCATCGGCTGCATTCAAGATGCAGGGGTTTGGAGCTTTGCCAAGAGGGATCCCTGGAATGTTGTGCCGAGTGGTGGCTGGGGGGGGGGGTGCCGCTACTCGCTGTCTCGGCATGTGGCCCCGTACCTCTGGGTGGCACGCATGCACCCCATGTGGGTGGCACAGTGGTGAAGTGGGTGGCACAGTGGTGAAGTGGGTGGCACAGTGGTGAAGTGGGTGGCACAGTGGTGAAGTGGGTGGCACAGTGGTGAAGTGGGTGGCACAGTGGTGAAGTGGGTGGCACAGTGGTGAAGTGGGTGGCACAGTGGTGAAGTGGGTGGCACAGTGGTGAAGTGGGTGGCACAGTGGTGAAGTGGGTGGCACAGTGGTGAAGTGGGTGGCACAGTGGTGAAGTGGGTGGCTAACTGGTGAAGTGGGTGGCACAGTGGTGAAGTGGGTGGCACAGTGGTGAAGTGGGTGGCACAGTGGTGTAGTGGGTGTCACAGTGGTGAAGTGGGTGTCACAGTGGTGAAGTGGGTGGCACAGTGGTGTAGTGGGTGTCACAGTGGTGAAGTGGGTGGCACAGTGGTGAAGTGGGTGGCACAGTGGTGTAGTGGGTGTCACAGTGGTGTAGTGGGTGTCACAGTGGTGTAGTGGGTGTCACAGTGGTGTAGTGGGTGTCACAGTGGTGTAGTGGGTGTCACAGTGGTGAAGTGGGTGTCACAGTGGTGAAGTGGGTGGCACAGTGGTGAAGTGGGTGTCACAGTGGTGAAGTGGGTGGCACAGTGGTGTAGTGGGTGTCTGGGTACCACTCGTGACTCACAGCCAGAAAGTTCCACAGTTGGATTCCTGACTCTGTGCAGGGTTGGTGCGTTCTCCTGCTTTTTATTATTATTATTACACGCTTTTATTTAACTCCGTCTGTTGTATCCTCGAAAAACTAAATTTTTACCCACTTCCCAATGTGATATCGACTGCTAACTTGAAATACCTATGTCATACTGATGACAATACTATATTCTATCATAAAAAAATCCAAAACATAGATTTTTTAAAACATTTTACACGCTTTTATTTAACTTACTCTGCGTGTTGTCGTATCCTAAAATCTTGTAACTCAATTTCAACCGTATTCCCAATGTCGTATCGACTGCAAACTTGGTATAGGTATGTCATACTGATGACAATACTATATTCTATCATAACAAATCCAATACATATTTTTAAACCTTTTACACGCTTTTATTTAACTTACTCTGCGTGTTGTCGTAACCTAAAATTGTGCAACTCAATTTAAACCGTCTTCCCCATGTCTTATCGACTGCAAACTTTGCATAGCTATGTCACACTGATGACAATACTATATTCTATCATTGAAAATTAAAAATATATATTTTTAAACAATCTTTTTTACGGCTCTAATTGTCGACGCTCAACTTAGGTTGGCTGTATATCACCACGTGGTCCCTTACGTCACGGCAAGCCTCGGGGAGCCACGCCGAGGGGCGGGGGATGTGGAAGGAGGGGAGGGGCGATGGGGGAAGGGGCAGGGGGAGGGGCAGCTCGGACAGTTCATTTCATTAAAGCGTGTTTTTTTTTTAAGTATTTTTTAATATTTTATCTGCATCGATTTTTTCTGGGTTCTCAGGGTTTCTACTCCCATAGCTAAGCACACACACACACACACAGGTGACCTGAAAGACAGTCCTAAGACTCGGTGAGGCTTTCCTGGCTGAACAGGCAAATACTAAAAATTAATCCATAAAAGAGGATTTTGGGTTAAATCGTGTAAATATAAACGCGTGGTTAAACCCGCCACCACCCGACACAGCCAATTAGTGAGGTTTGTCACGTAAACAGAACGTGGCCAGTTGACGACACACACCAGTGTTAGTTCAGCACACCGGTGTGTTGGAGAGTAAAATAATAACGAATGTGATGTTTGTTCCCGGCAGTTGCCCCGCGCGTGGCGCCGAGCCCGGCCGTGGTGAGCGTGGCGGAGGGGCAGCAGCTCTCGCTGCCCTGCGTCGTGCTTGCTGCCCACCCGCTGCCCCGGAGAGACTGGTTCAAGGACGGCCGCAGAGTGAGCAGCAGCAGCAGCAGATGCAGCTGTCCTCCAGCGCACGCGACGTTCTTTCACGGCCTCTTGCTGCACCCTCTCCCTTCCTCTCTACTCTTCCTCGCTCTCTCCTCTTCCTTGCTGTCGCCCAGAGGTCGCAACCGGGTACCCGATATCCGTACCCTACCCGATACCCGGCTACCCGTACCCGGCCGGGTATGGGTATGGGTACCCGTTTGCGACCCTGGTGCGGCCGGGTACAGGTACGGGTAAGGAATCAAAACCCGTTTGCGACCTCTGCTGTCGCCCCAAACAGAATGGAACTTTAATCTTGACTTAAAGCTTTCGTGACTGCAGGAATTCATATTTGTTGGGTCTTTCGGTAAATCCACGTAGATAGAAAAAATTATAACAAAAATCGAAATCACGACGTTTCGATCGCAACACAAGCAATCGTGCTCAGGTGAAAACGAGTGGAACTTAATCCGCATCACTTGAAGGATCGGTTCCTTCTCGCTTTTTTGGCTGCGAGTCTTGACGACATTTGTCTCGAAATAATTTGGACAGTTTGAGCCCCTTATTATCATGAAGATAACATTCATGATACCATTTGCGTATTCGGCAAAGTAATGCATCCTCACTCGCACGAGTCGACGCACGTCTCGTGAGCTTAGGAATGGGGAGGTGCCATCGCCCAGCCCGGGAGCCCGTTCGCCGCTTGCCACAGACTTTGCGGTTCGACTCCGGCAGGCCGCCCCGGTTATCACTGCGGGCAGTCCCGCTTCACGGTGGAGGCTAATAATCCCGCTGACGTCATTCGAAAAAGAGTCGGCCATCAAATTTGCAAAAATTACACGATTGGGATTTTCACGCAGCAAACGTTAATGCCCACTCGCAGGCCAGGTGCTGCGTCACCTCGTGCCAACACGGGGGACAGCTGCCACTTGGGATGCCCTTACAGATGTTTGCGGTGAGACGTTGAGGGTGCCCGAGATGCGCCGGCGTAAAGGAGGGCGGCTCGCGGCGTTCACCGCGGCCCCTCTGCCCGGTGGCGCCCGCCAACGCCGTCGCGATCCTCTCTCCTCTCAGCTGGCGTCGGACGGGCGCGTGACGGTGCGTACAGACGGCAGCGTCCACGTGCAGGGGGCGACGGCGCGCGACGCCGGCCGCTACTCCTGCCTCGCCACCAACCTGGCCGGCACCGCCAACAAGACGGTCACGGTGAACGTGTGGGGTGCGTGGACAGGGCCTGGGCCAGGGCACACAGCGGGGGACTTACGTTGAAGGTTTTCCGCAGCCATCGTTTTTATTATTTTATTGCTGTGTTTGTTGACCCAGGGAATCGTCACTGAGTCTCAAAACTCTTTTTCAGTAGGGTCCTGCCCAAGTTTTTTAGTTTTTTATAATCGGGGACGATGTTGCTGTTGCCGTGTGCGCGATCCCAACTTGAGCAATTTGCAGGTAATTATTTGTTCATGTTTTTGTTCTGTTGTGGTTGCACCCGAGTCAAGCGCCGCATGCCTCACAGGGTTATACCTAATAAATGAAAAAGTGAAAAATGTAGCATTGGGACGTCCGGCCAATATCAGTAACATGACTTTTCTTTTTTACTTTCGCTATGGGAAGAAAAAAGCAGAGAACCTCCACAACAACGGGGGGCGGGGGGGAAACCCTAAAAAAAACTCCACACAGAAGGTGCCCGAGTCGGAAATCAATCAAACCCCGAGGTGCCTTCTCGCGCGAGCGTTACCCGCCGTGGACCCTGCGACCCAACCTGTGCCCTGTGGTCTCTCTCTCGGCGATGCTCAGTTGCCCCAAGGATCACGACGAGTGGAGACAGCGTGAGCGCCATCGAGGGCGTCGCACTCACCCTGGCCTGCGCCGCTCAGGGTCAGCCTCCTCCCGTCGTCACGTGGGCCAAGGTGAGGGACCTGCTCCTCTCTACATTCATGACCTCCTTCAGCCACGTATATTCCATCGGGATGATTAAGATCCTCAGGTTGTGCATTGCCCGCTGTCCCACTCGGGAGTGATGACGGCGCATTTGCACCCAAAGCTCGCGAGATCCTACGTGTCAAACAAACAAACAGTGTGCACGAGTGGTCACAAAGATAAATATCCCCCATGTAGCCTTAACAGATTGGAGGGGCAAGTGCTGTTAGCGAGCACCTATTAAGGCCGGCACGGCACACGAGGGGGTGGGTGGCTAGCACCACGCCCGGCCGCCTTTGTCTCCCCAGTGGCGATGTTTACTACACACCACACCAGGCACTCATTTGAGGCTGAGTCGACCTAGCGGAGGCCCAGGACTGGTTCAGATAATTGTCACCGGTGAATCGAACCCGGGTCGCCGGTTTCATAGCGCAGCGCGCTAACCACTCCACCACCTCTCCCCACACGAGTGTTTACATACACAGACGTGCAGACATTGCGACACCAAAAACGTCTGTTCACGTGACACTGTGGCGTCACAGGGCCAGCCAGCACACGCTGCGGTACAGAGATGTCAACTCCGTTGCCTGGCATGCAGGAGGTCGTGGGTTCAACCCCGAACCCTCACGCCTGCGTATTTGGAGTTTGCGCGTTCTCCCCGTGGTTGTGTGGATTTTTCTCCGGGTCCTCTGCTTTTTCCCTCCACGTTTAGATTCAACATGTGTTTAGAGTATTCGGCTGCTGTACATTCCCACACGACAAGCCACTTCGTTGAGATATCATTTGTGATCGCCAGGTCGCTTCCGAAAAAGAGCTACATAGCTCAGTGGGCCTTACCTGGTAGAATACAAATTAGTTAAATAGTTCTAGATTTGAAGCTTTCGTGACTGCAAGGATTCATACTCTTAGTTCTTTCGGTAAAGTCACGTAGGTAAAAAAATGAAATTAAAATTTATAAAAAATAAAAACAATAAAATCACGACGTTTCGGAGGCAACACAAGCTTCTGCGGTTCGTAAGGAATCACAGTCAGGGAAACCTGGGTTCCCTTCACGGCCCCCCCCCCCCTTCCACCCCCACCCATTGTGAACCCCCCCTTCCACCCCCACCCATCGTGAACCCCCCCCCCCTTCCCCAGGGACGGGAGCCAATTTTTCCGCACGACCGCAGCTACCGCGTTGTGGCCGAGGGGCTGCGTCTCCCGGCCCCGACGGCGCGGGACTCGGACGTCTACACTTGCACGGCGAGCAGCCCAGCCGGCACGGCGACGGTGCAGGTCCACCTCACCGTGTACGGTGAGAGAGCAGCACGCCCGCCGGCACGCTCCGTTTGCCGGCCGCCCGCGATGCCACGTGGGGGAACGGAACGGTGTCAGAGGGGACTTGGCAGCGATGAGGTGAAATCGTTGTCGCATCGCAAGAGGAGGGTGGTGGCGGCATGGGGAGGCCTTCATCCAGCAGTTGGTTGATCATGGCTGATGATGATATCCACTTCACTTAATGGCATTCAACATCAGGCACTCAGGCAGATTGATGATCCAGCACTAATGATTCACCCAAGCCACTCGCTCACCGGCGATCGGACACCTCCTTTTCAATCTTCTATTGCTCCTACCATGGTGATTGTTCCCGTGAACTTCACTCACTGATTCCGTCACCCATGCTGAATGTACCGTCTATCAGATGGACATTGTGGTCTCATTCACACTCTATTCAACCACAACACTGCAGATAACAACTCACCCACTCACCCACTCACCACTGCTGGTCACGCCACTTTTCTTTCTGCGTCTTCCCTCGCACCGCTCCTCTTTGCAATTCTCTCCCATCCTCTGTTTTCCCCAAGCTCTCGCAATAACTCTGTGCTCAACTACACCCTCGTTTCTCTCCCACTTTGACGGCGCTCTTCGTGGCTGGCCGCATTGCATGCTGGGCCTTTAAAACGCCTGTGCCCAGCAGCTGTCCAAAAAAGAATGGGACGATGGTATCCTGAGAAGTGATACCGTGGCATTGCTCCTCCGCAGTGAAGCCACGCATGCGTGGCGGTGGTGGCGGTGGTGGTGGCGGCGGCGGCGGTGGTGGTGGAGGAGGAGGAGGAGGCGAGGACACCGAGCCGAGACGGAAGGCCCTCTCCGGCGAAGACGTCGTTCTGCCGTGCGACGCCGAGAGCTTCCCCCCTCCCACCTTCGCCTGGAACAAGGACGGACATCCGGTCGGCACAGGCCTCTCGTCTCGGTAACGGCAATGCTCCTCTTCGGAAACGTTTTACCCGCCGCCGTGAGTCACGAATCGTAAGGTGGTAAGCGGTGGAGGTTCATGGACCAGGGTTGAGGATGCTACAAACGCCTGCTCGGGATTTCCAGTCTCAGGTGGCCACGCATGCAAGTGGAACTAATGGATGTTAGAACTCAGAGGCCACGTGTGTTGATGATGATGTTGCCCTAGTGCTGGGCTCCCACCAGACCAGTCTATTGGTCCCTATGTGAGGCTATGGGTCTCTATGCGATTGTATTTGTCCCTATGTGAGTCTATGGGTCTCTATGCGAGTCTATGGGTCCCTATGTGAGTCTATGGGAATCTATATGAGTATATTGGTCCCTATGTGAGTCTATGGGTCTCTTTGCGAGTCTGTTGGTCCCTATCCGAGTCTATTATAGTCCCTATGTGCGTCTGTGGGTCTCTATGCCAGTTTATTGGTTCCTATGTGAGTCTGTGGAGTCTCCATGCGAGTATATTTAATAGTGGGTGTATTCAATACAATGAATGTACTGCAAATCCCACAGCAAAATAGTCTCAACAATCTTGGCACAATTGTTTCCTCCGCAAATGTGCTTGTATGTACGGCGAAGCAAATCTGCATCGCTTAAACAAAATAACCTAACTGCTCAGATGTTTATCCTGATGAATGTTTATGCTCGTGCAATTTTTGGTGAACATGTGCATTGCTAAACACCAGGGCAAATCGCCAAAGTGATGTGTTTTTGCCATTTTGGCACAAATGCGATTCTGGCTTCGCTTGTCCCCTAGAAGCATTGCCTCCTTCAACCTTAATCTACTCGTAAATCGAACAAGAAAAATTAAATAGAATATTTTTTTATTAGATTTTGGAAGGGGGAGGAAAAGCTTGTGCCTGAAATTCAACTTGCGGATAAATTATCGGCAGATGGGGAAACGCGAGTGGCGCACACGGAGGCGTGCTCACGTGAGCCTCCTAACGCTCAACGCGACCAATATCATTCATAATACAGGTTTTATAGGTTAGATCGCGTAAATTTATAAATGTGTCATTAAATATTGTGTATTTGCTCTCCAACACACCGGTTTTGCTGTACTCGTAACGAATTGGCCACGTTCTTTTTACGTGACAACCCTTACTAATTGGCTGTGTCGGGTGGTGGCGGGTTTAACTACACATTTATATATTCACGCGATCTAACCCAAAAAATCTGTGTTATGGACGAACAAAATGCAAAGCCAGGACGGATCGGCTGAGGCGGTTGCCAGGGCCTGTTTCCTCCAGATGTGACGTGTCGGACAGCAGAGCGAGTTGCAGCGGAGAAAACATCGCCAGCAAATTATACGTTCTGCAAGGCCGTTTAAAAAATCCGCACGTGTTTTACTGCACGGCGTGATTATTTTTGTCCGCGCGAGTTGCGCGTCCAATGGAATCCCCCCGATTTGTAAATAACGCCGTTATAACGATGTTATAATGCCGCTATAATGCCGTTATAATGCTGTTATAACGCTGTTATAACGCTATCATAACACCAGTATAACACTGTTATAACATCATAATAACATCGTTATAACACTTATAACGCCGTTGTAACACCGTTATAACACCGTTATAACTCTGTTATTACACCGTTATTATAACACCATTTGAGACCATTATAACACTGTTATAACACCGTTTTAACACAATTATAAAACAATTATAACACCGTGATAACACCGTCATAACACCATTGTTTACTTGTCTGTTAACTGAGATTTCCAATAAAAAAAAACGACTTTCCTACATCATGATGTGTGGGTGATTAGTCAGAGATGCCATCCCCCTTCCGAATCTTGTAATGTAACCGCATGCGATGTAATTTCGAGCACAAATTACGAAGCTTGTTTTCAATGAATTAGGATCAATTGTCTTTTTTGGCTATGCGCAAAACGCAGCTACGATAGCTGCAATTCCCGTTATGTTAAAGTGTGTTTCATTGTAGATTAATAGTACAGGGTATATATTAGCGTATCATGCATTTTATGTGGATATATATGTCAAATATAAAATATTGGACCTCAGTTTGATGTGGTCGCCAGGTTCATAGCACGTTACATTTGTGGCCTGGGTTTGATTCCTGGCGAGTGATCATCAGCACCAGGCAGACGAAGGCGGGTTTAGGCCTCCTCTTAGGTTGACCAGACCTTGAACGAGTATCGTGTGCGATGCATCAACATCAGTGGCCGGACTCTGCGCAGTACCCGCAGCTCCCTCACGTGCCGTGCCGGCCTTCATAGGCGCTCGCTAACAGCACTCTCCTTCCAACATTCTACGCAGACAGCACGGGGGGAGATCTTTGTCTTTTGCTGCCCGTGTGTGCGTGATGGCGGCGCTGCAGGCAAACGATCCTGGAGTCCGGCTCCCTTCAGATCAGCCGTGCCAAGAGCTCCGACAGCGGCGTCTACGCGTGCATCGCCTCCAACGTAGCCGGGAACGTCACGCGCGAGTTCCACCTCACGGTGCTCGGTAAGAATGGCGTCGTGTGCATCCGGCATGGTCTCAGAGGTCAGAGACGCTGAAGCGGGCCCCGCTGAGATCCCCACGATTTAATCCGGGTGTCAAGTCGCCTGCGATAAAGCCGGATTCTCACGCACAGCGGTTTTTCAGGCCGGTCACTAATGATCGCAACAAAGAAACCCATCGCATACATTTGGTTCTGCACTAAATCTGGCTGAATTCCAGCCCTGAGAATGAAAAGCATAAGTTTGCGACGAGTGTGTGGAAAAGTACTGCCTGCTAGGTTGTGGACCAGAGGTCACTTCGAGGGATTTTAGAGGTAGCGCTGTGATAACCACTTCTGTGGGTCGGTCTCTGACGCAAAAGGTTGCTCTGCTCTGCGATAGATCCAAATGGACACTTCGATATCACAGAAGTCACAGACGCAGCTTTTCCTGCATTTGCACATCTACATGCCACACTTAATTGACAAAATTTCGATGAGGACTTGGTGAGAGTCTGAGAGTTTACGGAGCGCCCTATCCTTTGCCACCTCCAGTGCCGCCCCGGATCCAGCGCGTCCCCACGGCGCTCAAGGTCCGCGCGGGTCACATGACGGACGTGCCCTGCACGGCGCTGGGGGAGCCGAGCCCGAGCGTCTCGTGGGTGCGGGCGGACGGCTCGGACGTGGTGGTGGCCGCGATGCCAGGGTCATCGCCGGGAGCGGCGTCGGCACGGCTCCTCATCCCACGCACACGCGCCGAGGACGCCGGCTCCTACCGATGCGTGGCCGTGAGCGTGGCCGGACGGGACCAGGCTGACCTCCACCTGCAGGTCCTCGGTGAGCGGTCAGGCCACCCCATCTGGGCCGGCTCAGGGAGCAGGGTGAAAACAGCAGCCGCGCAACGCACGAGGGGCACGCGGAGGTAGCCGGGTGGCTTAGAGGCCTCACGGTTTCACTGAGCCACGCTCTTCATCGTGGCTTGGCTTGGGCTATGGCTCGGCCTCTTAATGTGGCTCACCTCAGGCTTGAGCCGTTTCAGCTGCTTCCAAAGATCCATGGGGTGAGTGGCTCAGCCGTGGCCTGGCTCAGTCTCAGCTCATGGAAATCCTCAGCGTGGCTGGGACTGTGCTTCGAGTTGTCGTGGCCACGACTCACTTGAGCCAGAGCCAAGTCTGAGATTAGTCAAAACGAAGAATATGGGCCTCAGAGTCTGGGTTTGTAACAAGTTAGTGGTCTCGGCCAAGCCACCAATCAACTGCACTAATTAAATTGGTATTGTCTGGCTAATTCTAGTTCTGGAGATTAAAGGCCTTGCCTTGAGCAGCAACGCCAACGGTGACTGTGACGCAGGCTACGTGCGCCGCTGGTGGCTGAGATTCTTCTCGCTTTGTTCACAGAGCCCCCGTCCATCGTGGAGTCGGCCGACGGCTCAGTGCAGCACAGCGTCATCAACGAGAGGGTCACCCTGCCCTGCACAGCCACAGGTAGAGCTGCCTTCATCACCATCGTCATCGTCGTCGTTGTCATCGTCGTCGTCATCACAACTATCATCAAATATAAGCATCGTCACGACTGTAGTCATTTTTAAATCCTTTATATTAAGTTCACTTGCTTGCTTGCGCGCTTACGACCGTGCAAATCTTTCGGTCGTTTTTTAACCCACTTCCCGTAATCCAATCGAGCTGACATTTTGCACACAGACTCGTTGTGCGTGACAATTTATTTTCCTAAATTTTTACACTTTTTAGGAAAAAATAAATTATATTTAATTACCAATTGCTTAATGGTGGCAGGCAATCATCTAACCCATAGGTGGCAGCCATCTCAAGCCAGAGGACGAGAGGACTCTAGCCGCCACGCATATAAAGGATTTATAGTGAAAAACTTTGTTTTTACGGGTTAATTTTTTCACCATCACAAGTGCGTTCGAATATTATTGTCATCAGTTTAACGCATAGGTTTTCGCGACCAATATTGTTGGGTTAGATTGCGTATAAATATATAAATGTGTCATTAAACCCGCCACCACCTGACTAAGCCAATTAGTAAGGTTTGTCACGTAAACGAAACATTCCAATTCGTTACTAGTACAGCACACCGATGTGTCGGAGAGTAAATCTACAACGAGCACGGCGTTCCGCCACTAATCATGATGCCGTTTGTCGCCGTCGTCCCCGCTGCCCCAGGCGTGCCGCCCCCCGTGGTGAAGTGGCTGCACGACGGCGCCGAGGTGACGGGGCTGGAGCCGGGCGTCATCCTCGCCGACGACGGCGCCCTCGTGCTGCCCTCGGCGGCGCCGGCGCACGCGGGCCGCTACGCGTGCCTCGCCGTCAACGAGGCCGGCATCGCCGAGCGAGCCGTGCAGCTCCTCGTGGCCGGTGCGTGGCGAGGGACAGGGCGAGGGGGGGCGGTACCGGGCCCGAAGCGCGGGTTACGGCCATACTGGGCCGGTGGCGACGTGGCAGCCGAGCACACGCACGTTCGGCACAGACAGGCCACCCTGGTTAATATGAAAAAAGTAAAAACAAGTAAAACTTAGCCCATCTCCTGCTTCCAGGCCTGACCCAGGGGTGAAGATTCCACATTCCTACGACATGAATGAGTCTATTTGTAAGACAACTGCTGTTGACTTCCCCATGAAGTGGTGCTCGCGTTATTGACCCCATGAGGGAACATGGGCCGAGTCAACCCCCAAACGAGAGTTGAACTCGCGACCTTCCGATGGCGAGCCGCTCGCTCTACCGCTGAGCCACCTGGCCAGATCGTTGTCGCTGTGGTTGTACTCCACGCCGTCTGCTTTACAGTGGATGTTAAAGAACCTGTTAGGTCTTTCGAAGAAGAGTTGGCCATCGTGTGCTGGTGTCATGGTCCAACGTTGCAAAATAACAAAAAAAATGCCGTAAAATACTCATGGCTGTTTACTGATGTGTCTGTGATGCTGATGATGAACCGCACCAACCTGCCACCTCCCCTCCCCCCCCACCATCCCCCCCTAACCGTGCAGTTCCACCGCTGATCTCGGCCTCAGACCGAGTGACCAACATCTCGACCGTCGTGCTGCACCCCGTGACGCTGGAGTGCGACGCGTCGGGTTCCCCGGCGCCCGTGCTCACATGGCACAGGGCCGCCGTGCCGGTACGAGCCACTCGCTCTCTTCCTCTTCCACTTGCTCGTGCGAGCCGAGCCGGCATGGGGCCAGCATGGGTTCAGCATGGCCTGCGTGGTGTTCCACTGGCATTTTACCGAGCTCAGCTGAATCTGACCCGCACTACGCCGGCCTCATAGGATATCACCTGAACTTGGCTCGGGTCCGAGCCGTGCCCAGGGCGAGGCCGTGACACGTGCGATGCGTTAAACTTCGGGCGCGACTCAAACGCGGCACAGCCGTGTCATCCGCGTGCATCTTGATGTCGCTAATTACGAGCGACGCCGGTGGCATGGCACGGCTCGCGCAGTGGAAAAGCAACCCAGGCTTCCCTGACCCGCGCCCAACTGCACCAGCACGAGCGCGGCACGGCTCGGCACAGGGAAGTCCACGGGAACGGTAACCACGGCAGTAGCGACAGATGAGCGACGAGGAGGCAACTAGCCCACCTTTGAGCGAGCAAGTGGCCGGAGGGGATGGGTTCAACCTGACTGCGTGCGTTGACCGGAATGATTGAAACGATCTCCTCCTCAGCTGGTGGCGGGAGTTGGCGTGCAGCTGATAAGCGGCAGGCGGCTGCTGCGGCTCTCCAGCGTGGCGCAGGAGGATTCGGGGAGCTACACGTGCCGCGCCGACAATGCCGCCGGCACCGCGGAGAGGGTCTACCACCTCCACGTGCTCGGTTAGACTCCCCGTCACTTTCATTTAAAAAAAAATGTTTTTCACTGATGAGGGGAAACTTTGGTTCTGTAGTTATTCATAACCGATATGTAAATTACACAATCGGTTTTTTTTGTTTGCTGGCCACGGAGGTTCAGAAGTAGAACGAGCGGCTAGCAATGGAAAGGTTCAGCCCATTATCCCTTTGTGATCGATAAAATGGGTTCACTTCATTGGGGATTATGAAGAGACTTGCCCCTGCCATAGGATGTCGAATGGTCACCGCTGGCTGTAAACTGGAGATGGGAATTGTCTCAATGCTCATTCGACCAGGAGATCACTTTGGCTTTGGCTATTATTACGTGATTGGGATTAATAGTGGCATTTGTATGAATATAACTGTATCCATGTTGAGCGTATTACAAAAGTGATTTTGTTTTGTATGTAGTTCCACCTTCAGTAACGGGCGCTGGTGAAGTCACGGAGGTGGCGGTCGACGTGAGTGGCAAAATCAGCCTGGAGTGCCAGGCAGCCGGAAATCCACCTCCCAGCATGCACTGGTACAAGGATGGCAAGTGAGTGACTCAGGGGTATTAATTAGTTATCATAACCTTCCTTTCTTAATTGTTCTCCAATTTTATTCCCCAACTATCGGCATCGTCGCAGAGCAGTGAAACCCTTCGTTGTGAGAAAATGGAGGGCGGAAGTGGATATCACAGAGCCACCTCTGAGATCCGTTCGAGTGCCCTGGTGGGCTCATGGCATCGTGTACCCACGTGTCTCCCTGACGGTCGCCGTCATGGCCGGCAGGATCGTGGCAAGCGGGGATCTCCGCGTGGCCGTTGCTGGCCCCTCGGGGGAGACGCTGCGTATCCACGGAGCCCGCCTTTCTGACCAAGGCCTCTACGTCTGCACGGCCATCAACTCCGCAGGCCGGAACGGCCGCGAGTTCTCACTCACCGTGCACGGTGAGTGGTGGCGCCGCTGCAGGGAGCGGAGCGTGGGTGGCGACGGTGACGGTGATGGTCCCCGTTTATTTTCAGCCGGAGCGGTCCGGAACGCTCGGGGAATTATTTTGACACGTCACATCCGTCTCGCCTTAATGGTCATTGTGGTACTTCATTTGTCCACGTAGGATTATTGCTGGGGGAAGGCGATGACGTGGGAAGGCCTTCATTTGGCAGTGGATAGATTGTGTCCGATTACGAAATGACGAATTCTTTCCCAGTTGCTCCGAGTATCCGCGGGGGAGATAACGGCACAGGGGAGGTCACGGTGCTGCTGAACGGCGCCGCGACGATGGACTGCGACGTCCTGGGCATCCCCGCGCCCTCCGTCACGTGGCTCAAAGATGGCCACTCGATTGTCGCGGGGGGCGGTAGGGTCACGACCCCGGCGAGGGGGCGGCAGCTGCAGGTGTCGGGGGCCCAGCCGTCGGACGCCGGGCGCTACACCTGCCGCGCCACCAACCCCGCCGGCGAGGCTGAGAGGTCCTACAACCTCCACGTGCACGGTAGGCCACGCTCGCTCACTCTCCCATTGCGCGTGTGTCAACTGCTATCAGTGTGAACCGTGTAAGAGAGCGTCTGAAGCTGTACCTCCTGGGGGCTTCTGGCTGTGGCTACTATTCACCCACGTCAGTCTACCAGCGGACTGGGTACTCGCTCCTCTTCCAAGATGTCTTGACAGTATGGAAGAGTAGACCAAATACCCTCTCTAGCAGTGGTGATGCTGTAGGAAGCAGCCCGTGGAAGTGATGAAGGCACTGCTCCCGAGATGAGCTTTAATTTGGGGAAAGTCAGTCACCTGCGCATGGTGGCCCGTCACATTTGTTTGAAATGTATCCGTGGTTCGCGGGTCCACAAAGTTTGGGAACCTCTCCCCCAGAGGGAATCCCATGTATAGCGGAGGCCCTTCCCGCCAGCAGTGGCACGAGCAAGCAATTTCAGCGGTGCCCCTTTACCTACGGAGTGACGTCACCCACTTGCGATGCAGCGGCCCCGCGGATCGAGGATGGCGCGCGGGAACACCGCGTGGTGGCGGGCGGCTCCCTGGCGCTCGACTGCCACGCCGACGGCCGCCCCCCGCCGCGCGTGGCCTGGCTGCGGGATGGATCGCCGCTCGGGCCCGGGTCCCCGCTGGGCCCCGGCCGACCCCCGGGGGGTTCGAGGCTGATCCTGAGCGACGTGTCGCCCGCCGACGCCGGGGACTACGCGTGCGTGGCCACCAACGCGGCCGGCGAGAGCACGCGGCTCTACACCCTGAAGGTCCTCGGTGAGGCTTGCTCACCGCCCCCTACCTGCAGACCCTGTGCTACACACGGACAGCTGCCACTGGGAGTGCCCAATGCTGGACCGCAAAGCGATCACCGCTCAGTTTAACACGTAGTAGGCTTTCTTTACCAAAATTTACTTTTAGTTTTCAGTTTCATTTATTTGGTATAGCCCTGTGAGCCATTCGGCTCTTGAATAGGGTGCAACCGCAACAAACAAAAACGTGAACAAGAAAACATCGTTAAGTGACTACACGCAAACAGAAAAATCCAGAAAAAAACAGCAAAGTGCTGTGTGCAAAAATCCCAGTGGGATGAAAGTCAAACAATAATCTCTGTACTACAACAAACAAATTTGGCTAAACCAAAACGTTTTTGAAATCACCAAATTATCCCTGAGAGAGTTTTTTTGGGTTAAATCGTGTAAATATAAATGTGTCGTTAAAGCCGCCACCACGTCAACAAAACGTGTCAACGAGTTACTAGTTCAGCACACCGGTGTGCTGGAGAGTAAACCCACAACGTCTACAATTCGAGTAAGACGTTTCGCCAGTAATTATCACCGTCCTCTACCGGCAGACTAACTCTCGCGTTCAGGCCACTTGCCGAATCACCCTGTGCCACACACAGACGAGTCGTGCGATGTGAGTCGCTTATAGTGTACAATAAAACCGCCTGAGATGCGTGAAGGAGGGTGGCTCTGTCCCAAGTAACGCACGATCGTCGTTGCCTGAAGGCAGTCATGGCGCTCATTTCCTCGTTGTCTTTCGCCCCGCAGTGCCGCCCAAGATGACCGGGAACAGCACTCCGACGGAAAGGTCCGTCATTCTCAACGCACCGCTCACGCTGGAGTGTCCCGTCAGCGGAAACCCAACGCCAGACATCAGGTGAAGGATCGCACAGGCCTCAGCAAAGAACACGCATCTACTTATTCTTTTTTTTCATTTCATTCTTTGGCAATGTTAAGCAGGTGGAAAAGTTACGCAACTTCCGTCCATCCACCATTATCCCCATCACCATTTCATTCGCGGGATCACCATACATGACTCAATGTGCACTTTCAACAAAGTGGTACTCGTTTTATTCTCTTCCGGAGCGATGATGGGCTGAGTCCACCCCCCAACAAAGATTCGCACTCTGAAACCTACGGCATGCTCGCTCTTGCGCGGAGCCTCCTGGCCGCTTGGAATCTTGCGCCGTTTTACGAATGCGCGGAGAGCGACCACAGACCGAGAGATGGGAGGGGGGCGGGGGGGGGGCGGGGTGGGGGTCTCCGCACATCCACCACGCTGCAGTCGGCGACCTCTCTCTTTGACCTCCTATCCCCCCTGGCCGGGCGTGCGACCCCCCCGCCCCCCTGGCCCGTCCCCCCGCAGGTGGTTGAAGGACGGCGAGCCGGCGGGGCTGGGCGACGCGGCGGTGCGGGTCTCCGCCGGGGGGCGGACGCTGCAGGTGGCGCGGGCCCAGACGCCGCACGCGGGGCGCTTCGTGTGCGTCGCGCGCAACGAGGCCGGGGAGAGCAGCGCCGAGTTCCGCGTCGCCGTGCAGGGTGCGTGCATCGCCGCTGTCGTCGCCGCTGACACGGGAACGATCCAATCTTGTTTGATTGTATTCGTGGGGAGCGCCCCAAGCTCAAGGGGCGCTCTCCACGGCGTAGTTTAATAGCGGTGACAGAAGTGGAACGGTTTGGCGTGAAAGGGTCGAGGGACGAGTGAGCGTGACGGGGGGTGGGGGTGGGCACGAAAGGGCAGGGGAGGGACGGGACAGAGTGGAGGGCCGAGGGGAGGGAAGGGGACGGCAGTGGGCAATGGAAAAGAGGGGAGGATTTAAGAGTGGAATGTAATGAGGAGGACTCTGCTTTTACTCTACAGGGGGAAGGTTACTCCACTGGTAGAGGTGGAAGGAGGGAGAAAGATCGAGAAGGCGATTGGACAGAGGGAGAAGGAGGGACAGAGAGAGAGCGTATTACACCTGTGACATTACAATTGTGACATTACGTATGTGACGTGCTCAGTCTTCATTCACTCAGAGAGAGAATGATGTGTTCAGTGTGTGGGCATACACGGGGGCCCAGAATCGTGTACAGGGACTCCTCTACTTACGAACATTTGACTTACGAACTTTGGCAACTGTCCGTATGTCCAGTTGCCAGAGTCGTAAACTCAACCGCCGAGGGTGATGGAGGCATCTACATCTACAGGGGATTACACAACTTTTAAAGCCATTCTTCGTGTTTAACATACACGACGTACAACATGTTGGAATTGACAGGGGTAAAGTTGGACTTACGAACGTTCGTGAGGATGGGAGTCCCTGTCAGAGGTCGCAAACGGGTTTTGATTCCTTACCCGTACCCGTACCCGGCCACACCAGGGTCGCAAACGGGTACCCGTACCCTACCCGATACCCGGCTACCCGTACCCGGCCGGGTACGGGTAGGGTACGGGTATAGGGTACCTGATTGCGACCTCTGGGATGAAGCCATGTTGCAGGCGCGGGCAGGTTGATTCTAGGAACTTGAATTGTGAGAAGATACAAGACGTTGGGAAATGAGTGACAAACGGTTACTCATCAGTGACTCACGGTCTACCCGTACCCGTACCCGGCCGCACCAGGGTCGCAAACGGGTACCTGTACCCATACCCGGCCGGGTACGGGTAGGGTACGGGTATCGGGTACCCGGTTGCGACCTCTGGTCCCTGTATAATTCACGATGCACGTGACTCAACAGCCCATGAATCATCATCATGAACCCGCTCGCTGTGCGTCGCCCTCAGTGCCCCCATCGGTGCGGGTGCTGGGCCAGGCGGAGCGGGCGGTGCTGCTGGGGAGGCCGCTCACCCTGCAGTGCACCACCTCGGGGCTACCCCCGCCGCTCGTCGCGTGGCTCAAGGACGGCCGCCCCCTCTCCCCCGGGCGGGGTCACGTCAAGGTCAGCCGGGTGGGCAGGAGGCTGGGATGAGGGTGGCCGGCCTGGTTGCGTTTCCCACACGTTTTGCCCCCTTCTTTGTTAAATGCTTTAGACAATCCGGTAGGCTTGCGTGCGTGTGCCAGTACGATTATCTGAACCAGTCCTGGGCCTCCCCTAGGTTGACTCAGCCTCAAATGAGTACCTCGGGAGACAAAGGTGGCCGGGGGTGGTGCTCGGCACCCACCACCTCGTGTGCCGTGCCAGCCTTCATAGGTGCTCGCTAACAGCACTTGCACAAAAAGTCTGTTTAGGCTATACGGGAAATCTTTGTCTTTGTTGACGAGGTCTGTATTACTTTTTGTTTGACACCAGAAATTAATTTGGGAGAGCCTCTTACTTTCCAGAGCGTCTTATAATCTGGATACTATGCAAACAGCAATAGTTACAAGCACCCTGATCGACGATTGCGTCGAATTGAGTGCGGAGAAACTAAAGTAAAGCAACGTTACCGTATTTCTTATTCCACGCGTGCCCCACGTCGCGTGTGTGCCGCCCCACAGCTGGAAGCAGGAAACCGCACCCTGCAGGTTCTGCGGGTGCTGCCGGAGGACGGCGGGCGCTACGCCTGCGTGGCCACCAACCCGGCGGGCGAGAGCCAGCACGGACTATGGGTGCAGGTGCACGGTGAGGCCACGAGCAGCCGCCACACGACGGGGCCCTGCCCGGGCGTCATCCTAGCGGAGACCGCGGGGCTCATCGTAGCGGAGACCGTGGGGCTCACATTTGTCTGTCCATCTGTCTGTGTGTGTCTTTGTCTATCTGTTGGCGTGCCTACCTGTACATCTTAAACTAACGTTCCTCTCTGCTGAATGTCCTTATGTCAAACTGTCCGTCTGTGTGCCTATTGGACCATCTGGCTGTCTGTGTGTGCCTCTCTTGTCCTACTCTAACTGTCCATCCATTCATCCATGGTAACCCTTCACGCTAACACACCCCTCTGTCTCCCCAGTGCTGATATTGTTTACACACTGCACCAAGTACTCATCTGGGGCTGAGTCGACCCAGGTGAAGCACAGGGACCGGTTCAGATCGTGGCCACTGGTGTCGGTGGCCGCGAATGGGTATCGAGGTTCGTAGCGGACTTCGCTAACCACCATGCATTGCCTCCCTCCCCACACACACACGTACACGCATTGCGCGCACACACACACAGAGCCTCCAAGCATAGAGAGTGGCGGTGAGGGGGAGCGCAAGGACAGCGTCGTGCTCAACCAGCCGCTCTCCCTCGAGTGCGTCGCATCCGGGAACCCCCCGCCTGGTGAGAGCCGGCGGACGTGCGGCTACGCCGACGGCGAGCGTCTCTGTCGCGGAATGAGCTCACGAACGAGTGAGTGAACCGGGCTCCTGTCCCCCTCTTCCCCCCCGCCGCCATCGCCCGCACGCAGCGCTCACGTGGTACAAGGACGGGCAGCCACTGACGCCCATGGCCGGCGTGGAGGTGGCGCCGGGCGGCCGCGAGCTGCGCGTGGAGAGCGCCCAGCTGTCGGACGGCGGCCGCTACGCGTGCCGTGCGGCCAGCGTGGCGGGTGTGGCCGAGAGGGCCTTCCGAGTGCGCGTCATGGGTGAGTGGCCACTCCGCCGTAGCTCCCTACCTCCCGCCGCCATCGCCCCGAGTCGACGTCGGTGCCACGGGACGGCGGGCGGCACTGTCCGAGCCGATGAACGTTCCACTCACTTGCCCCGCTGTCATACCTCTCCATCTGCCACCGTCATTGTAAACGTTGGGCTGCGCCGTCACCCGTGCCACCGCACCACCGCCCCTTGCCCCCCCCCCTCCCCTTGGCCTCGCAGTGCCACCCAGCGTGACGGGGGGCAGCCCCCCGCTGCTCACGGCCCTGGTGAACGAGGCGGTGCGGCTGGAGTGCGACGCGCACGGAGACCCCACGCCCGGGGTCACCTGGCTCAAGGACGGCAGCCCTCTGGCCAGTGTGCCAGGGCGCGTGCAGGTAAGGGTGGGGGCTCTTAACCCCCCGCCGCCCCCCCCCCCACCCCACAGTATGGCCGTGCGCTTTCCCTGCAGCCAGCCACTTTTCTAATTTACTGATTTTGTAAGCTTGGTAAGCTTGGCATTTTTGGTAAAACAATTTGTTGAGACGTTTATAGATTCACCTGTGTTATTAATAGGGGGAGGAGGGGGCATGAACCCCGTTGTTGTTTTATTGTGCAATCTTTTTAGTATTTTCCAGATGTTATCACGAGGATGGCAGCAGCAGCAGATGTGTCGTGTGTGTTGGCCCATTAACAAAAGCTACGTTTGCTTCGGTGAAATACCGGGACCAAGCCACAAGGCGGCATCGCCGTGTCCCGAGAATAGTCAGGGACTGGCAGATAAAAGGTTTAAATAAATGGCTCAACCATTCCAGTGACCCTTCTGCCATGTAGCCAAGGGGACCCCCTGGTGGCAGCCGTCACTGTGTGGCACGAGGTGCGTGCAGCACCGGCCGGCTGGTGGGCATTCAGCCTCCCTCGGACGGCTGGAAATCCATTGCATTGATCGATAATGCCTGTGGCCTCATCGCTGTCCCATTGCACGATGAGCTCCACACGCCATTCCTGGTTCTACTCAAGGGTGTGACGGCATTTCAGCCGCAAAGCCATTGCCCCTGTGGCACTCTGGCTCTGACAGCGCTCCGTGTGCCACGCCATGGTCCGCCCCCCCCCCCCCACCGTGCGTCCCAGGTGCTGTCGGAGGGCAGGGCCCTGGCGCTAGCGGCTGCTGGCCTGTCTGACGGCGGCCGCTACGTGTGCGTGGCGCTGAACGAGGCAGGAGAGGACCGCCGCTCCGTCGAGCTGCGCGTCTACGGTGCGACCTGTGTGGGGTCAAAGGTTCACTCAGCAGCAGCAGCAGCAGCTGCCTCTGAGTCTTAGAGATGACAGTTCCATTTTCAAACTTGGTTACAGCATCTGAACAATAGATGCAACCGAAAGAACGAACAGCTGTTCTCTTGAGGGCCTCTCTCCCCACTCTGCGAGTCATGGGGAGTTGTGTGACCGTGCTTCAGTGCGCTGGTCAATGCGGGTTGGTGAAGGCGGGGAGTGTAGACCTGGGAGAATCAAAGCGAGAGTGCCTAGATTGGATTTTTGGAGCACCCACCCTGTACTGCCCAGCAGGAAGTCGCAATAAGATTCCTGACGCAGTTTCTAAACGTCGCAGCCGCCGAGTTTGGCCCTGAGAATTTGTTCCACAACGGATCGCTGTGAGCAAGAACAACAACAGTGGGCACGTCGGGCACCGGGTCTCAACGGCCGCCGCATGGCCCGAACCCGAACATCGACAGCGAACGGCGGATATCGGTCGCGACAACCTCCGCTGTCTGTCACCCCGGCAGTGCCGCCCAACATCGTCGGCGAGGAGCAGAACGTGTCGGTGGTGCTGGGGCGGCCGCTCCGGCTGGAGTGCCGCAGCGAGGCGGTGCCGCCCCCCACCGTCACGTGGCTCCGGGACGGCCGCCCCCTGCTCGCCGCGGCCGGCGTCGAGCTCTCGCAGGCAGGCAGCGTCCTGCAGGTCGGTGCTCGCCGTGCATTGTGGGGCCAAGCCATTTCATTATGGGGCATTGTGGGGACAATGCGATGCATTGTAGGGCTTACGTTGCATCGTGGACGCTAAGCGTCGCAATTGTGATGATGATATTGATTGCTCATTTACGATAAAGATCGTGTCTATTGCGCAATGATAATGAGCATGATGACAATCATCGTTATTGGATGGCCATGGCAATACCCCGTGGTCCTCTTCATGTAAGAGAGAGGGGACAGACCAAATGCTCTGTGCATCCGGGGGGCGGTGAGAATGGGCGCTAGTGGTAACGTTTGACACTGGTTTGCCCAGGTTCACGGTTCGAATCTGGCAAGCAGCCCAGGGTTAATATCGCAGGCTCAAACACCACCTACTTCACACGTTACATCCATCAAGGAAGAGTAGAGTTATTCCTGCAGTCACGAAAGCTCCAAATTAAGTTTGAAGAGTAGGCCATTGATTGACGTCGTTTAGATTCCATATTTGTAAAATTACTTAACAAATGCATTCAATCGTGATTACGCACCGCACGCTAAGTCTGTGAGACGAAGCGCCTGGACTTCTATTATCTCATCGCTGGCTCTGTGCCATTGTCCCGTGAGCTCGCTGCGATCTTCCGATCCACAGATCGGCAGCGCGCGCATCCAGGACACGGCGTGGTACACGTGCGAGGCGTCCAACGTGGCCGGGAAGACACGGCGCAACTTCAACGTGGAGGTGTTCGGTAAAGAGCCGACGACCTCCCCCCCCCTCGGTGACCTCTGCTGGGAGGCTCCTCAAACGGGGGAAGAGGCTCGGAGAGATCCCGCTGCACCTTGTTCTGGAGATGCATCTTTTTCAGGACAATGCAATGCTGTTTGGATTTTATAAACCGATTATCGTGTCACCGCATACTGCAGGATGAAGGCTTCTCCCCACCCCCCATGCCATGTCAGAAATAATTGTTTGACCATACTTCACAAGGCTGGTCAGTACGGCTTGGTGGCCTTGGGGGGGCAGGGGCCCAGAACGACTTCCGACATCTCTTTATGCCAGCAGTAGCTGCGAATCAAACTCAGGTCGTTGGGTTTATAGCATAGTGGGCTGACCGCTGCACCACCAGTTATAAGAATAACAGTTGTGTTGATTTTCAGCAAGCGGCCATTTGTTTTATCGAGGGGAAATCTGGAATCAGACGTGAACATGGCGTTTCCTTTGGATGTAAAATGTCTGATACGCAGAAGAACGTTGAGCCCCTGATGTAGTTAATCGATGCGAGTGCTGCATCGGAGGGTATCGGCTAAGTGAGTTGCTGTGTGTGCATGCCGTGTCACCATTGCCCTGCCAACAGTGCCGCCACTCATCCGCGGCCCGGAGGGGTCTGGTCACATGACCTCCACGGAGGGGGCGACCGTGAGCCTGGTGTGCGAGGCCAGCGGAATTCCTCCACCGATGCTCACCTGGGCCAAAGACGGTGAGAGCGAGCGATGTTGACATTTTCTTGGTTCTTTCGGTAAAGTCACGTAGAAGGGAAATAATAAAATAATAAAAAATATTACATAATAAGATACAATTCTCACGACGTTTCGGCCACAATGCAAGCAGCCGTCCTCAGGTGAAGAACAGGTCTGTCGGAAAGACAGCGTCTGAATGAACACCACCATGCTTGGCAGCGTATATTTAAGCTGCTGGGTTAGAGGAGGAAGGGCGCCTTGACAAAGGAATTTGCATATCAACAGAGGAATTTAGCATATTTATGGAAAATGCAGATATGGGATTAGTCACTACTTGTGGAATGCGTAGGAGGTGGGGGGGGGGGTCTTAAAGTCATACAGATGTTGACATTGCTAAATAACGGTCGCTACTAACAAGAGATTCCCGTCCTCTAACATGAAGTGACCAGCAACAGAGAGAGCTCGACTGAGGTCCGTAGGTGACAGTTGACGAGCCTCTTGCATTGAAGTCAGGTTGTCTGACGATGGAGAGAATGAAGAGAGATTTTGTAGCATAATAATAATGTTCAAGCTCATCCTCTACATCATACTCACCACCCGTATTACTTTCACCATTGCAATGTCCGACTTTTCGCTCCACTTGCCCGCAAACTCCCAGCACGTGGAGCGACACGCGGGACAACCTGAAAACCACAACGGAGAGCGATAGAGCGCACGACCGGGAAAGCCTGCACAGGAGCGAGCGATGTACGGACATGTGTGTGTGCGTGTGTGTGTGCATGTATGCGTGCATGTGTGTGTGCGTGCGTGCTGCAGGCGTGCGTGTCTCGGACAACGAGGGCCGCGTGCGTCTCGTCTCGGGGGGCCGTGTGCTGCTCATCTCCTCTGGCGTCCGCGCCGACAGTGGGGCCTACTCCTGCGAGGCCTCCAACGCGGCCGGGCGTGACCACAAGGCATTCTCCCTGCAGGTCCACGGTGCGGCCTCCTGCCTGGCTTCGTCGCTGGAGCACCATGTTTCTCGGTTGTAGCAATCGCTCGACTAATTGAAAATCTAAATCTTCTTCTATATGGCCTATTGAAGAGCAACTATTATGGGTGCACTTATAAGTGATTTAGCTATTCAGCTTTCTTGCTGAGTGTTGGTGAATTGCCAATACACCCAAACTCATCGCCTTCAAATTTATATTTTGGGCAGTCCGAAGTTACACAGTCTGCGAGTTCATAGCCCCGATTTCTTGAGCTCAGCTATGGATGTGGGGATGTTGTTCAGATCATTGTTGATTGACGGGATTGGATCGGTTTCCGATTGGTGCAGTTCATGGATCAAATTGTGTTCATCTCCAGGGAATTGTTAAGGGTGAAATATTTGAACGAATAAAATGAAAGATAGTTTGCTTTGTGACTAGTAGCCACAGCCATAGCAAGCGCCGCACAGGATGTGGCGTGCCGGTTGCTGACGTCGTGCGATGAACGTGCGCGGACATGGCCGGCGTTTGTGCGCAGTTCCTCCGACAATGCCGGGCAGCGGCGGCCGCCCCACGGAGGTGGTGACGCTGCGCGGGCGCGACGTCAGCCTCGAGTGCGACGTCTCCGGCGAGCCGAAGCCGAGCGTCGTGTGGAGCAAGGACGGCCGCCCCATCTTGTCGCCGCCGTCCGGATCCGGCGCGAATTCCGCCGGCGCAGCGGGGCCCTTGGCTCGCGGCTCCGGCTCCCGCGCGTCGGCTCTGGAGGAGGGCCGCGTTCTGCGCCTGCGCGGCGTCCAGATCTCGGACACGGGCCGCTACACCTGCGTGGCGCGCAACGTCGCGGGGCAGGCGGAGAAAAAGATCGACCTGATCGTGCAGGGTAAGCGCCGGCTCATCGGTTGGTTCTAGGGAAGCGGTGGTGTCGCCGCAGCCGCCGTTGCCGCCACCATCACCGTCTTGACTCGACGGCCTTATTTCTCGTGAACGTCTCTAGTTAGCGTTGATTTTTCTGGGTGCATGGAACGTCTCATTTGGCGAGGGTTTCCAATTGTAAGACTGTGCATGGAACATTGGCTCGACTAAAGTGGGTTTTCATGGTGGCGCTATCCCTCTCCCATATTTGATGATTCGCCTTGAGCAGGAATAGCAAGTGGTGGTGGAGGGCAGAGGCTGCAGCTCATCGTAGCGTACACGTAGAGGCATGAGCAGCTACGGGAAATGACAGAAGGACCCAAACAAGGTGGTTGCAAAGTTGGGCTCGAGGGAAATATGAGCAAAGCTCTAATGGTCATGCTTAACAAGGACTGGAAATAATTACTTCTTATACAAGCATGCATATATTTCTATACAATTCAGGGGGGAATACAATTGTATTAGTTGCACGTGTTTTTAGTATTTTAAAATAGTTTGGAGAATTTTACCCATTATTTCGCCTTTTTTTGCTTCAAGGGAGGTCGATTTCGGTAAAACTGTGATTCTGTTGGATCGGTGTCACTGCGCCGTTGCCGTCAAAGCTAATAAAACGAATCGGTCATCACCCCCCACGTGTGTGTGAGTGTGCTTGCTCGCCAGGGCTGACTCGAGCTATGAAATGCCATAGCTTAGCTCGTTCCTGTTGTTGGTGTTGTCATTCTGGGGGTCACAAACCCCCCCACCCCAGCCCCCCTCGCATTTCACCAGCGGCGTTTACGTAATCAACACGGTTTGAAAGGATCGTGATATTGATTGGTTAGTCGTACAAAGCGTGGCAGTCGTTGTTGTCGCTGTCACGATCTGTACACTGCTGGATGAAGGCCTCCCAAAGTCGGAGGGTAACTCAGGTGTTCGTCTGTTCCGTGACGGCTGCATTGGGACATCATCTGGGATGAGTTTATTTTCTTCCCCCCCCCACCGCCCCCTTCCCCAGCGTCTCCCTGCATTGCGTGAAGCCCCACAAACGATGACGAAGCCACGATGTTTTTTGCCCCATGTCTGCCCTTTGAGGACTCTCAAGAAATTTTAATCTTAGAAACTCTCCCGATTGGATGTTCGTAGTCTGTGAAGAGCTAGAATTGCAATGGGTGTTTTAGCTTAACACGTAGCAGGCTTTTGTGACCAAAATTATCCGTAATAGAGTTTTTTTTATGGGTTAGATCGCGTAAATATAAATGTGTCGTGAAACCCCCCGCCACCACCCGACACGGCCAATTAGTAAGGTTTGTCAGGTAAACAAAGCGTGCAAATTCGTTACTAGTACAGCACACCGGTTGTGTGTTGGAGAGTAAACCCACTAAAACATTTACAATTCGAGTACCGTGACTTTTCGCCGGTAATTACAGCCAGCATCATCAGGCGACAGCCAGAGTTGTGGAGAAATCCTCCTGTTTTGGGCTTAAAGAGAGGGATAATTGCAATGGCATCACTTGTGAGCCAATCAGGAGCGAAGGTGGGGTGGGGGGGGTTAATGAATGCATATCAATTACAATGGATATCCATTATTGGTTGGGTTATTCATAGGATAATCAACATACATAATGTGCATGCACAACACGCATGCACATTATGTATGGGATTTTTCCAATGACAGTGTTGCTCACCCACCATCACTGCAGTTGTTTGTAGTTAGGAAGCAATCGTTCAAAATGAAAACGTCATCTGTAGTTGTTTTTATTAGTGATTACATAGCCAGGATATTCCTGCAACCGGGGAGAATGTCCCCATAGTTTCAGGTGGACAAATCCATATCTAGAGTTAAGACCGAGGTGACGAACAGTTTACAGCAATGTCCTGTGAACTCATACACTCTACATTATCTTCCACTGTGAACGTGTACAGATGGGTCACAGGCCACATTTGCTATAACTGTCGTAGCCTGTCCACAGTGGGGGTAGTCTCACAGCACGTGGTGACATCCCCTTGCCAATTAAACTTGAGCAAGTGTTCAGTAACAATTGATGCGTTTCTAAATTTCAACGTAATATTGCATCAGAATAATGAATATTGTGACCCCTGACCTGACACCAGGCCCATTGCTCTGGCTGGACGTATGTCCCACCCGTTTGTCCACTCCTCTTCCTCTTTCACGTCATTCACCCTTCGAGGCACATTTACAAACTTCCCAGGAGGGCGGTCCCAAAACTTCAAACCTTTTAAACAGGGCCCTACATTAATCATCATATTCTATCCTTGTGCATGATGGCAGCAACATGTCCAGGAGGTGAATGTCAATGTCGAGGTCTGCTGCTGGGCACGGGGAAAGGGCTTCAGGAGAGAGAGGTCGTGCAGTTTTTGCTGTTCCTCCTCCCGTTGAGGGAAAAACAGGAAAACACCCTCCAATTTACAACACATCGCTGAAAAAATTAAATGAGCGAGCTGATTGGCCGGTGTGTGTCTGTGTCGGCGCAGTTCCTCCCACAATCCCCGGCGAGGCGGGCGCCGTGGAGAAGGTTACGGCCGTGGTGGACGGCGCCGTGTCGCTGACCTGCGAGGCCTCGGGGTTCCCGCCGCCGGCCATCGCGTGGAGGAAAGAGGGGCGGCCGCTGGTGCACGGGGGCCATGCACGCATCCTTTCGGGTAACGGCATCGACACCAGCAGCAGTGGCGGCAGCAGCAGTGGCGGCAGCAGCATCGGCAGCAAAATCACAAGCAGTATCAGTCGTAGCAGCAGAATCTTTGGTTACAGTAGCAGCGGATTCATCGGCGGTGTCATCGTCATTATCAGTTGTAGCAGCAGTAGCATTAGTATCATCAGCAGCAGGAGCATCAGTCAGCAGCAGAACCATCATCATCCCAGGTAGCCATGTGTAATGTTTCTGTGAGACACTCGCGCTGTCCCGTGGACCACCTCGGTTGCCGTTTGGACCGTGTGAGTTGCCGTGTGAGTTGACATGCAAGTTGCTGTGTGGACCGTGTGAGTTGCCGTGCATTTGTGGCCGCGTGCAGGAGGCCGCGTGCTGCGTCTGAGCCGCGTGTCGGAGGGCGACGGCGGCGACTACTCCTGCGTGGCCTCCAACCCCGCGGGCGAGGAAGGCCGACGCTTCCACCTGGAGGTGCTTGGTGAGGGCCTCCTGCCGCTCACCGTCAAACTCGACGTAAACACGGCCGTCGTTTGACATTGGTGACCGGGTTAGCATCATCAACTCGCTACACTCGAGAATCCGGTGAATTCGCAGTGATTGCCCAAATTCAAATTCAGTGAAGGGTCCAGTTCTCTAACTTGGCATTAGCCTTTCTGGGCCTTTAAGCCAGGATCCTACCGAACAATACCATCACAAATCTCAGTCTGGCGTCAGCTCCACTCGTCAACTCTGGGGCTCGACAACACAACAATACTGACACCCAAGAAATCCATGAAGTCTCTTTTTCAGGAGAGTCCTGCCCCACAGGGATGTTTGGCCAACACGATTGACATTGTACGTAAACTGGGGGGAAACCCATGCAGAACAGGGAAAGGGCAACCAAAACGCCGAACACAAAAGCGCCCGAGTAACAAGAATCGAACCAAAGTCCATCCTTGCTGTGTGGCGTAAGCGTTACCATGGCACCACCTTGTCAGCACGAGTTATCCGATACAGATACTGAATCCCTACCAAAGGAATGTGGAATTTCCACTGCTGGCTCAGAGCTGCCATTGGAACAAAGCACCACGCGACTCTTTGTCTGGCCACCCATCCTCCTCATGTGCCGTGCCGGCCTTCATAGGTGCTACTTGCTAACAGCACTTTCTCCAACAGTCTGTTAAGGCTACATGGGTGACCTTTGTCCTTGTCTGTGTGCGCTGGCAGTGCCCCCGCGTATACAGCAGCACAGCGACACTGGCGACGTGAAGGTGAAGGAGCATGGGAACGTGACGCTGGCCTGCGAAGCCACGGGTGAGTGTTTTTACCGCGGCGCCAAAGGAGATGGAATCGAACCGGTGGCCTCTGGATCGCAAGACCAGTGCGTTGCTGACCTTTACCCCACGGTAGCGCCCTTTGTTCATAGTGCAGCCTGTCATTTGTAGTTCTGCTGAACAACATTCATCCAGAAGGCACACAGGGCGATGTATAGAAATGTTATTTTACTTTTGTGGTGGTGAAACAGTCCCTTGTGTGTTTATTTATTATTTTGTTACAAATGAAATAATTATTACACTTCGTATATGTGCCATTCTCATAGCACAAGAGTTATCATCAAGGTGTCACATTTCATAGACGTAGTCTGCAGCGGTTTCAGAGCAGGAACGATGTTTGCTACGTGTTTCTCGATGGAGAGTAGTTTGCGAGTAATTTTTTTATTTAGAAAATCTGAAACCATGACGCCAGTGGCAGCTGTCCCTGTACAGCACAAGGTGACTCCGTTTAGCCTGCCAGTATGGGGCAGGCGATGTTGCAATGTTGTTTTATTCCCAGTCAGGTAATGGCGGTGTCTAACAATTTTGCGCAAATTTTATGATGGCCGTGTTTTCCCACTTACCCAGGAAACCCGCTGCCCTCCATCTCGTGGCTTAAGGATGGACACCCAATCACGGCGAGCGACAGGATCCATGTGACCTCGATGGGCCAATCGCTGACCGTCCTGAGAATTGGGATTATGGATGGCGGGAAGTACACCTGCATGGCCTCTAACCTTGCCGGGGACGCAGGAAAAGACTTCTATTTGCACGTCCTCGGTAAATGACTCATCAACACATTTCAAGTTTATTTTGACTAACCAGGTGAGAGCTGAGACCAGGATGGGAGTCTCGTTTGCAAGAGTGATCTCGATCACCAAGCAATAACATAAAGGACAACAATGAGGCAAGTAGGAATCAGTGAAACAAAATACCACCAACATGTTGAAAGTGGTGGGCATACCCACCTGCCGATTGATTAACCCGTGGTGTTCCCACTTGCACTGCTGGAATATGGATTCGAACCGGCGACCTCGACATTGCAAGTCCAGTGTGATGACCATTACACCTGGCCATGAGGCGAGCGCATTCTGATTAACGGCGAACCGTTGTTTGACTCAGTGATGCCGAGCATCGTCGGCGGGGACTGGGCCGGATCCGGAGGCGCAGGCGGGCCCGGGGGGGCGGCCGAGGAGGTGTCGGTGGTGGTGAGCAACCCCACGGCGCTGGTGTGCGAGGCGCACGCAGTGCCGCCCCCCGTGCTCACGTGGCTCAAGGACGGCGCTCCCCTGCAGCTCTCGGACAACATGCGCATGCTGCCCGGTGAGGCTGGTGCCCTGTGGTGAGGCCGAGGCCCTGTTGTGAGGCCGGGGCCATGTGGTGAGGCCAAGGCCCTGTGGTAAGGCTGGGGTCCTGTGGTGAGGCCAAGGCCCTGTGGTGAGGCCGGGGCCCTGTTGTGAGGCCGGGGCCCTGTGGTGAGGCCAAGGCCCTGTGGTAAGGCCGGGGCCCTGTGGTGAGGCTGAGGCCCTGTGGTGAGGCCGGGGCCCTGTTGTGAGGCCGGGGCCCTGTGGTGAGGCCAAGGCCCTGTTGTGAGGCCGGGGCCCTGTGGTGAGGCCAAGGCCCTGTGGTGAGGCCGGGGCCCTGTGGTGAGGCTGAGGCCCTGTTGTGAGGCCGGGGCCCTGTGGTGAGGCCAAGGCCCTGTGGTGAGGCCGGGCCCCTGTGGTCCTGCAGAACCTTGTTGTGTGGCGAGATTCGTAGTCTGGCAGACCTCTGCGGTGTGGTCGTATTCCGGGGGTGTGGGTGAACCCTGTGATGAGGCTCGGCCTGACCAATTAGTGAAGAAATAAATGGGTGGGTGAGTGAGCGGGTGAGTGCTAAATTGGTGATCGAGTGGGTGAGTGAGGCAGTGAGTGATTGCGTGAGAGATTGAGTGAGTGAAGAGCGAGTGAGCGGGTGGGCGAGGGAATAGGTGGGGTATTGAGTGGGTCAGTGAGTGAGCAACAAAGTGGGTGAGTGAGCGGGTGAGTGGTGAGTGAGTAACTGATTAAATGTAGTGTTCCTTAGGAGACATTTTGTGCCTAATTTTGCACTTTTTTGATTCCTTAATTAGCTAAAACTGTTCAAAGATACATTTTATATTTCGTGTTTTTGATTTTTTACCTTATTTTTGTATAATTCGTTGATTTTTATCTGATGTGTTATGTCTGTTACGGAAACGGTGTGTTTTTTATTGATGAAACCCGACTTAAGAGCTTATTAGCTCGCAGGCTACTTCGAAATATACTGCAACTGAAAAACTGCAACTGGCTGGGTATTGGCACGCTTCACGGGTGCTCGCCGTCCTTGCTGGCGTGCGAACGATCTCTCGCTCTGCCGTTGCTCACCAGGCGGGAGAACGCTGCAGATCGTGAGCACGCGGGAGATCGACTCGGGCGTCTACACGTGTGTAGCGACGAACGAGGCAGGGGAAATCCTCAAGCACTACCAGCTGCAGGTCTTCAGTGAGTCTCTCTCCCTCGGCGTACACCACACGTAACTCGCTCGACTATTTTATACGCCCGGGTAAAACCCACGGAACGTCGTGAGAATGATTTTATTATGTTTTATTTTTATCATTTTATTATTTCCCTTCTACGTGACTTTACCGAAAGAACCAAGAAGACTACGAGCTCTTGTTCAGAGGCGACCTGGCCACACGCGGTAGCTCCGATATGACCACACGTCGGGAATTCGTAGCAGGAGTCAAATCTAAATGCACGTTGATTTTAAATGTGGGGGGGGGGGGGGGGGGAGGGCAAAACTGGAGGACCCAGAGAAAAATCTACGTGACCACCACAGGGAGGGAGAGAACACGCAGACTTCAAAATATATAACAAGCATCGCCAGGGTCCGGGATTGAACCCACGGCCTCCTGCGTACCAGGCGAGGGAGATAATACCTGCCCTCGTATCGATTATAACCACCAAATACAGGGTGCTTCAAAGAAATGTTAGAACTGATATGGGACTATCGTTTTTAATGGAAAAAGAACGGACAATACACTGTAACATGATAACAAATGTATGTCAATAACTTCAAAAGCCATCATTGTGAACACATGCCTGGAATCTTCTCCAGGTGGTCTCCAAAGCCCGGAGGCACATTCTCTTGTGGTATTGTTGCAAATTATCGGAAGTGTTAACATTTCTTTGAAGCACCCTGTATATGAATATACCTCGATTCTCAAGAATGAACAAGCGTCTGCTTCCCAAAGTCAAAAGGGCAATCTAGTTCCTGCTCAGGTGCGCATTGAGGCAGTGCTCATCTCCTGTTCACAACCAGGGTGGTGGAAATTACACGTTTCCATGGCAGGGGCGAGTCACTCCATAGGAGAACCACCGTTGAACCCCCCACAATGTGGTGTTTATTTTATCCTGCCCGCAGAGGGATCCTGGGCTGAGTCAACCCCGAGGCAGAATTTGAAACTTTCCCATCGTGAACCTCTCGCTCTTACCGCTGAGCAAGCAACAACGCTTGGGATTCCCCATCACAGAGAGATTTCTGCCGTCTCTCTCTGTTCCTGCTTCGCCTCGCCACGCTCTCCCTCGTGTTCTCTTCATGCCCACCCCCCTTCACTGGAACAAACTTTCCCCTCCACATTAAGTGGTCACCTTGACTCAATAGTTTCTGCTCCTCAAAACTCGCTTCTTTTTCCCAAGCTCACCCCACGACTCCCTTAATCTCACCCTAATAACCATTACCGTTATTGTTCCCTCTTTATATTCTCATTAAACGGCTTTCACCCATTAGCCCCATTCATTAAATCCATTCATCATCGTTTAATGTCATCAATTTCGCTTTCACCGAATTCACTCATCACAGAATCGCCCCCATCGCTTCCTCTCATCTATTTCATTCCAGCTCATCTCCACCATTGCATTTACACGTTGTACCGTTATTAATTCCGTGTAAAGCGCCTTATCCAAGGCGCTATATAAATTATTTTAACATAAGATTTCAGGAGACATTGCTGCTGGAGTCATCCATCGAGAATTAATGCTTTCACCAGTGGCATCCTCAACATCCACGCTGCTGCGTTCCAGGCGTGGAACAAGAGGGTTACCCGCGTCGTGTCTTTGCGTCGCGTTCCCGCAGTTCCGCCGGTCATCAGGAAGGCCGACGGAGCGTCACCGGGCTCGGAGTCGCTGGAGCTGAAGCTGCGAGTGAACAGCAGCCTGGCGCTGGAGTGCGACACGCTGGCACTGCCGCCACCTACCATCGCCTGGTACCGCGATGGGCAGGTGGGTTCGCTGTGGAGTCAGCAGATGGGGGGGGGGTCAGCGAGAGAGTTCGCGAGTGACCTCTGTGGACATTCAAAATGGACGGGCGGTACACGTGGAGAGCGTGGAGAGATGCGTGCTTGGTTATGACATTGAGATAGAAAAGAGGAAGACATGGATGAGAGAACACGTGCAGGTCGATGACAACGTCCAGGCTATTACGAAACAGTGAGTGGGCTTGGGCAGGAAAGATTCATAGACAGGATGATGGACAATGTGTCAAGAATAATATTAACAATATTAGTTGAGCGTCAGCCAAAGCATAGAACACTTTCTCGAGGTTGTTCACTGAGGAGATGGAGCCATGTAATCGGTCCAGGACGGATTTAGATATCGCTCACCATGATGCCCCGTGGCTCTGCTGATGATGATGATGTTACTGCTTAGGCTGCTGATGACGATGTTACTGCTGCTGCTGATGATGCTACTGCTACTGATGATGATGTTACTGCTGCCGCTGTTGCTAATGATGATGATGCTACTACCGCTGCTGATGATGATGCTACTGCTGCTGATGATGATGTTACTGCTGCCACTGCTGACGATGATGAGGATGCCCCCACCGCGCACCCCCCGTGTCCCCCGCAGCCCCTGGAGTCGGACGAGCGTGTGGACATAGCGGAGGGCGGCCGCTCGCTGCGCATCGCCCGCACTCGCCTCGCTGATGCCGGCCGCTACACCTGCGTCGCCTCCAACGCCTACGGCCAGGACGACCTCGACTTCCTCGTCTCCGTTCAAGGTGCCCGTCGCAACCCGGGAGATCTGTGTCGCCCGTCCAGTTTAAATAGTGTCGCTGGATTTTTAACTTTTTTTGCGCGCGCGCAGAATTTTTCACTGCTAACAGCAGTTCGTTGAAATGAAATAAAATAGCGGAGAGCATTCGGCGTTTGCACCGCTCGAATTGCACCAGCTGTAGTGGTGTTACACGAGGGGGGGGGGCGATGTTTTACCACGTGTAATCTCAAATTGAGTACATTTTGAGGCACTGTTTATTGATTTGGCAAACTTGATGGCGACACACGGTGGGCCACTCGCTTCAAGTGTACATCGGGGGATCTTGAACGTCCGCTGCGAAGCAAGCAGCGCGTAGTATTTGTACGAGTTCGTACTCCGGCAGTGATAACCAGGGCGTCCTGCCAGATTCAAACCGCAAACTTCCGCACCAAGACCGACGAAACGGTGGCGCGTCGCCTCTCGCCCCCTCCCCCCCGCCCTCCCGCAGTGCCCCCGAACCTCCAGCGCTGGTACGAGTGGAGCGAGGCCCAGGAGGAGGGCCCCACGCTGGTGTGGGAGGGCGGCCCGGAGACGCGCACGGTCGTGCAGGACGGCCAGCTGTCCCTGCCGTGCGAGACCAACGCCGTGCCGCCCCCCACGCTCACGTGGCTCAAGGACGGCCGCCCCCTCGCCCCCACCGCCCGCCTCATGATCCACCCGGGTAAGGGTGGCAGTGCGGGAGACTCCCGGTTCGGTTCCCGCTCACGGACAACGCCAGTGACGATTGTCTGAACTGGGCCTGGGCCTCCTCTAGGTCGACTCAGCCTCAAATGAGTAAACATCGCCACTGGGAAGACAAAGGCGACCGGGAGTGGTGTTGGCCACTCACCCCCTCGTGTGCCGTGCCGGCCTTCATAGGTGCTCGCGAACAGCACTTGCCCCAACAGTCAGTTAAGGCTATATGGAGGATCTTTGTGCTGGAGAAACCCAGCCTGCACAGCCCCCTGATCCTGGGTTTTCGAATTCGCAATTCAGCCACCCATCATTAAATCACAAACACATTGGCCAATAACACAGTGGCCCTGAAAGGAGGAGAATCAAATAAATAAATATCGGTGATGTTTGGTGCAATGGCTCTTCTGCACAGCCACGGAATACTGCACAATGCACCGCGGGGCCCTGAGAGAAAAATAAGTTTCAGGTTTCCCACGATAGCTTCGTCAAATCGAGGATGATCCTGGAGAGCCCGGGACAGGTGGAAAATCGCGATCGCTAGACACACACATAAAAAAACTCACATGTTTCTTTTTTCATTTGGGCTTTTCCACCCGTGAGAATTAAAGAGTTTAGTTTCAGTGACAACCTGTGGACACTCTTTTCAGGACATATCACACACGTGCCCTGAGCGTGGAGAACGAGGCTGTGAAGTGAATTCCAAAGGTAGTTCTGGAACGTCATCTCTGACATGCTTTGTTCTGATTGGCCAGGAGGTCACATGCTGCAGATCATGATGGTGAAAGCAGAGGATTCTGGGAGGTACACGTGTGTGGCCGTGAACGAGGCCGGAGAGGACTCCATTCACTACGACCTGCATGTGCTCAGTGAGTCCAGGAACGATCGCCATTGTCACCGTCCTTATTACTGTCGACGCCAACATCATCGCGACGTTTTTTTGATCATCATCGACATTCTAAAACAATGTTAAAATCATTGCTCGCATCTCCATCATCTCCACCATCATTGTTGTCGTTATCAACACGTGTTATCACGATTACCATCGCCATTACTGTTATTATCAACATGATTACCGCCTCCACCATCATAATCATCTTCTACATTGTTATCATCATTATCATTCGGGTGATGGTTTTCATCATTATCACCGTCATCGTGATCATCATCATGATCATCTCCATTATCATCTCCATTATCATCACCACCACGATCATTATTTATTTTTATCCCCATCAGCATTATTATTTTTATCTTCACCTTCATCACCATCGTCACCCCCACAGCTTTGGTAACCAGTGCACTTCACAAAATACTCTACATCATGAGCTCAATGGGGAAGTCATCGACTTACGAATACAATTCGTTCCTGAGGCTCGTTCGTAATTCGAACGGTTCGTAAGTCGAAACACAGCAATGTACTTTATATTTAAATACCCACACACACACACAAACATCTCACTCCCAACACAAGGCTGACTCATTTACATCTTGCGGAAGGATCGCTCAGCTGAACAAAATAGTGCCGTGGTATAATTTGCAAGTGAGAGTTCGTGATTTAACACAATGTAAATTAAAAAATATATATTTCAAGGAAGCTGGTTCGTAAGTGCGGGTGTTCGTAAGTACGGCTGTCCGTAAGTCGAGCACTGCCTGTAAACGAAACCAGCTCAGCAAATTCACCGTCCGTTCTACAATCCGATTGTCCCCATCCCATGGACGCAGTCTGGCCCACGATCGCGGGGGGCTCTGGAGGCCTCCCCGTGGACGTGACGGTGACGGTGAACGGCTCGGCACGCCTCGAGTGCGTGCCGGACGGCGTGCCGCCGCCCTCGCTGTCGTGGCTCCGAGACTCTCGGCCTCTGCCGAAGAGCGGAGGCCGAATGCTGACCGAGCTCACGTCCCTGCAGGTGAGACGCGCGGTCGCGTCCGCCTCGTCGGCTCGCGAGAATGCGTCTCGTGCACGCGCGTTCGTTTGCCTGTGCGCACCTAGCCTGGCGCAAGCGCCGGGGTGACGTCACCGCAGTGGTCAGCGCGCCGTTGTTGTCGTCGTCGTGAAGCAGTGGTCAGCGCGCCGCCCGACCTAATCCGGCGGACCGAGTTGGTTCCCGGCCGTGGCTAACGTCAACGGCGAGCGACGTCTGAACCGGTGCCGGGAGTGAGGACGAGTGCCTGGAGCGAGGCATAAACATCGGCACTGGGGAGACAAAGTGGGTGGCCGCCGTGGTGCCGATGACCGGGTCTCCTGTTCTCCTGTTCTCTGGCTTTGACGACTGTGACGACGAAAGGGCCAGCGTCCCCGTAACCCACACGCGGCGGCTGTGGCTTCCTCCGGAGAAAGCAGCCTAGGGTCCCGTTGGCTTGCTCTCCGGAGGCTTTAGCGGCGTGCGTGCGGTGACCGTGCCGCGCTTCGCTCTCTGCCGCTTCCCCTAGATCCACCCCGTGCAGGTGGGCGACGCGGGCCGCTACTCGTGCGTGGCCGAGAACTCGGTAGGGGCGAGCCGAGAAGCTCTTCAACCTCAACGTGCACCGTGAGTTCCCGCGTCGTCCGCTGACTCGAATGAGCGGTTGAGCCGCTGGGGTTCATCTCCCGCTCGCAACCCATGAGCCGCCGGAGGAAATTCCACGTTTGTATAGTGGGGGAGGAGGGGGCTGGGGCGAGTCTATCTATGGGACAGCCACTGTTGACATTCCCGCAATGCGGTGATAATTTTACCGACGATGGGTTGAATCAACCCCCAGGCTGGATTGGAACTGGTAACATTCGAGCACTGGTTCCTTGTGAATTAAACTGAAAATATGTAAATATAAAGATAACAAAAACTATTTTTTACATTTATTTGTTTTTGTATGGTGTAGCTTTTATTAGACATGGCATTTAATGTTTTGAGTTTCTTTTTTGTGGGTCCTACTTCTGTTATAATGGTGATGACAGTTGGTGATGTGCTGATGCTACTGATGATGATGGAGGAAGCTGTTAATGCTGCTGCTGATGATGCGACTACTGCTGCTGCTGATGATGATGCTACTGCTGATGATGATGGTACTTCTATGGCTGCTGATGATGCTACTACTGCTGATGATGATGTTACTGCTGATGATGATGCTCCTGCTGCTGCTGCTGGTGATGATGCTACTGCTGATGATGCTACTGCTGCTGCTGATGATGATTATGCTACTGCTGCTTCTACTGATACTGATGATGCTGCTACTGCCGATGATGATGCTACTGTTGCTGATGATGTTACTACTGCCGATGATGATGCTACTGCTGCTGCTGACGATGATGATGCTACTGCTGCTGCTGCTGATGATGATGCTACTGCTGCTGCTGACGATGATGATGCTACTGCTGCTGCTGCTGACGATGATGATGCTACTGCTGCTCGTGGAAGCCCCGGAGCCTTGAGCCCACCCTCTGTGTCACCGCACCGCTGCTCAGTGCCTCCGTTCGTGGAGGGCCCCAGCCCGGCTCAGGTGGGCGTCGTGGTGAACAACTCGGCGTCGCTCGTTTGCAACGCGTCCGGATTCCCGCCGCCTGCCCTCTCCTGGCTCAAGGACGGAGTTCCCGTGCAGCCATCGCGAGCCATCTTCATCGCGCCCGGTGCGTGGCAGGGGGCGGGCAGGCGGGTGGGCGATCGCCAGGGCACGGTGGCCAGCTGCGTGAACTTGCCTGTAGCTGCTATGCCCCCCACGGCCCTGTAATCCGGAGCTTGTGGAGGCGACGAGGGTTGGCGGATCGTGGGAGCAAATGTTGAGAAAGTCCCTTCGTGCGGGCATCGGTAGAGGTGCCGTACGCTGGCTTGTCAGGGTGGTACAGCAAATGTGGACTCCACGTATTCCGTCTGTATGGGACAGACAGAATACATGGAGTGGTGCTCTGCTTTCCTCCTACATCTAAACACTTAATCATTTTCAATAATAGAGGTTTTTTATGGGGGTTAGATCGCGTAAATGTGTCATTTAAGTCGCCACCACCCGACACAGCCAATTAGATTTGTCTCGTAACTATTGTTTGTGAAAGCCTACGTGTTCAACTAACTCATCAGCAGACCGATAACACCTTGATATGTCGAGGAACGTAGAGCTTGGAGGGGGTTCCTCTTTACAAATATTGTGAATTTAATTTTCACGTCAAGCGCATGCGACGTTACATTTGTTTGGCTGTGTCGGGTGGCATTCAGCTGCACGACACGAATTTGGCCAGATCGCGAAGTGGCCTGGGCTAAATCGTAAGTGTTGTGAATCAGAAAAGAGGTCTCGCTGTCTCTGCAACCAGTTCCCTGGGCCCTCTCCCACGGCATTGTGGACGGCCAGTGGCACGATGACCAAATGTTGGGAACCACTGCCTGAGGTTAATCCCCTATGCTAACCCCGATGTTAACCCCTAGGCTAACCCCTATGTTAACCCCTAGGCTACCTCCTAGGCTAACCCCTAGGCTAACACCTAGGTCAACCCCGAGGCTAACTCCGAGGCTAACCCCTATGCTAACCCCTAGGCTAACCCCTAGGCTAGCCGCCAGGCTAACCCTGACCCTGTCCCGCCACGCTGGCAGGAGGCCGTGTGCTGCAGATCCCGCGCGTCAAACTGTCGGACAGCGGGAGGTTTACCTGCGTCGCCTCCAACGCGGCCGGCCGCCACGAGAAGGACACCCGGCTGAGCGTGCACGGTCAGTGGACATCTGTGAGAAAAGAGTTTCAATGAATATTCTGATTCGGTGCTGTGCGGATCATTCTGTGGCCTCACCAAAAACAAAAAAGGATCGTAACGTCGGCTGCGAAATGCTACGTGTTAACGGCACGTGTTCGTGCTGCAGTGTCGATGCGCCACGCGCGAGCGAACCGCCGTGTCAACGCCATGTGTCGAGGCTGCATGCTGACGCCACGCACGCGAACCGCCTCTCCTCCTCGAGACTCCCGCCCGCGCCTCTGCGTCCCCAGTGCCGCCCAGCATCCGCAACGCGGGCGGAGCGGGGGGCCCCTTGCCGGCAGTGACGAGCGTCCGCGCGGGGCAGCCCCTGGCGCTGGAGTGCGCCGCCGAGGCGTCGCCGCCGCCCCTCGTCGCCTGGTTCCACAACGGGCGCCGCGTGGGCGACTCGGAGGGCGTCGTCCTGCGGGAAGGACGGGCAGCTGCTGCAGGTGGCACGAGCACAGGTGAGAGGCGAGGGGGTGTGGGGGGGCACGCGGGGGGGTCTCGTTTCCGTGGGCCGCAGCGCGGTGCTGACGCTCTCGCGGCCTCGCGGCAAGAGAAAGGGTCCTGGGTTTGATTCCCAACTCGGGGCGCCTTTCTGCGTGGGCTTTACGTGTTCTATCTCCCACCCTGCCGTGCACGGGTTGTCTTTCGTATTCTCCACTTTCCTCCCATGGCTAAACAAAGTATACCACGTCACTGACATCGGTTAAACAACCCGATGTAAAATAATGGCCTGAACATTACTCAATTGGGATCACACACAGCAGCAGCAGCAACAATGTCGTCCCAAATATGAAAAAACTTGGCAAGACCCTCTTGAAAAAGAGTCTTGAGGCTGGGTGAAACTTTCTCAGGTTTAGAAGCGCAGTAGTAAGAGAAGTAGCAATAACAAGTCTGTATCTTGTTGTTCGTCTGCCTTCACTGGCTGTATATTGCTGTGTGGCATTGTCTCGACTGTATATGACAATGAAGCAGCAATGACAATGGCAATGCTGATAAACAATTGATAATGATGATGTTGATGATGTTAACGATGTTGATGATGATCACGATGTTGACGATGATGATATTGACGATGATAATGATGACGATGTTGATGATATTGATGATGATGATGTTGATGATATTGATGATGATCACGATGTTGACGATGATGATGTTTACCATGTTGATGTTGATGATGTTGATGACGATGTTGATGATGTTGATGATGACGATGTTGATGATGATGTTGATGATGACGATGTTGACGATGCCGATGTTGATGATGTTGACGATGTTGATGATGTTGATGATGACGATGTTGATGATGATGTTGATGATGACGATGTTGACGATGCCGATGTTGATGATGTTGACGATGTTGATGATGATGTTGATGATGACGATGTTGACGATGCCGATGTTGATGATGTTGACGATGTTGATGATGTTGATGATGACGATGTTGATGATGATGTTGATGATGACGATGTTGACGATGCCGATGTTGATGTTGATGATGATGTTGATGATGACGATGTTGACAATGCCGATATTGATGCTGATGTCGATGATTACCTTCAGGTGTCACACTCGGGCCACTACGTGTGCAAGGTGTCCAACGTGGCGGGCGAAGTCGACCAAGGCTTCACGGTCAGCGTCAACGGTGGGCAGTGCCGCCCCCTCCAGCGGGCCCGGTCACCAAAACCACCACGGGCCTTGAGTCTCGGTGGTGGGGTGGGTGGGGGGAGTTGTTGAACGTGGAAGCACTATTTCCTCGTTACGCTTTAACTCACAAACACAACCGTGGGGGGGGGGGGGGGGGGGGGGTTGGATCTTCTCGACCAGCAACTGCTCACCAACAGTACCTGTGCCCTGGTTCTATCTCCCCACGCTACAGAAGCCGTGCGGCTCTGATTCCAGCTTCTCACAGCCCATTCAGGCCCTTGTCCTTGTCCACAAGCGGGTTACCGTTGTGGTTGCTATTCTCGGGAAGGGTCGTTTGGGATGTTATTTTCCGATATAAATTCGTCATGTTTTGTATGTTTTGGGAACTCTCACTTTTAGGGCAGACCAAAAAAACAGAGCTCGCTTTTCACAGTCTGGGGACTCATCGAGGATTACCTGAATTGAGATTCCAGATGGTGATGAAGGCACAATTACAATAGCTTAAGGTGCAGCCCTGCAATTACTTGCTCATGTTACTGTTTGCTCTCTAGAGCTCCCCCTATCCTTTATAGCTTGTCTAACAACACCTCTCCCAACAGTTCTGCATTGTCCACACGGGGCTCTTCGTCTTTGTTTTCAGTTCCCCCCAGCATCGACGGGCCCCCGGAGGAGTCTGTGACCGAGGTTTTGGGAAATCCCACAATCCTCGGCTGTGACGCCGCCGGTGTCCCCCACCCCGCCAGTCTCCTGGCAACGGAATGGCTTCTCCATTGGTAAGGGCCCTGATGGAGCAATCCATGTTTTTTTTCTTCTTTCGTTTTTATAAATCCGCGTTGTATTATTATTATGATTGTATATTTCCTTGTATGAGCCCTTGTACCCGGGTACTCCGTGATAAAAGATACCAACCGCCCAGAGCTTCTCAGTGATGGCCGCTGAGCGAGCACGCGACCCTCCTTGCGCAGGAAGCACAAACTCGCTGGAGAGGCAAGTGCTGTCGGGCGGCAGCCGCCTGCAGATCTCGCGCGTCCACGTGTCGGACGCGGGCGTTTACTCCTGCGTGGCCACCAACTCGGAGGGGGAGGCCCGCAAGCGCTACACCCTCACCGTGCTGGGTAAGCAAAGAGGCCCCGCTCCTGAGAAGGCGGCGACGCGGGATCGGTCGTTCATGCTCAAGACCTGCGCGTAGCAGGGCGGTGGTGCGGTGGTTGCGCCGGTGCCTCGCACAACAAAAGCACATGCGGTGCCTGTCTGTGCGGAGTCGGTATGATCCCCCCCTGTTCTAAATGGATTTCCTCAACGTTCTATTATTTCCTCTCTCATCGATAAAAAAAACGAACTAAAATGGGCCAAACATTCCAATTACGAGAAGCCACCTGTAAATGACCCCATCGCGAATGCTGACAATGACTCGGTTGACCGAGACAGAGCGATGATGAACACCACTACCGTACTTTGCGCTGCACGTGCGAAGTGCCGCCCCGCATCTCGGGCTCGGAGCTGCCCAGCGACGTGAACGTGGTGGTCGGAGAGGACGTGCCGCTGCGGTGCTCGGCCTCCGGGCAGCCCAGCCCGGCCGTGCGCTGGCTGCACGATGGGCGGCCGCTCGCCGGCGCCGCTGCCGGCGCTCGCATCCGGTGAGCACCGCGCCGGGAGATTGTCATGCAGCTCGGCGGTCGCTAGCGCCGGGCTGCTTTAAATTAATATCGCCCGCTCCTTGTGCTTTGCTGCGTACGTATGTTTGCTCTGGGTTAGCGTTTTGGGGGGTTAGCGGATCGGGTAAAGGTGAGCGTGAGGCGCTACGTTAGTGAGGACAAAGTTGCGACCGAACAGATGTTGTTAAAAGAACTAATACTGTACCAAAAGCGAACGGGCGACAGTTTCACGACTACGTTTGGAAAGTGGTCCGCAAACCCCTCCTCCATCTGACCGGATTGCAACGGCTCGTACCACTGCGCCATGCGCACGACATGTGGTCTTAGCGTGGCGTCCGGCAAGTGCGGCGCCCGCCGGTTTAACGCACCCCGATCTCCTGCCCAGCATCTCGAAGGACGACGCTGTGCTGACCATTGCGAGCGTGGAGATCTCGGACAGCGGGAAGTACACGTGCGTGGCGACCAACGCGGCCGGCGAGGAGGAGCGAATCTACACGCTGCACGTCCACGGTGAGGGCGGCTCCCCCCCGGGTCTCTGTGCGCGGAGAAACATCAGACGTCGGATGCCACCGCTAAACCACCTGGCGCAAACAAGGGAAGCACTTCGCTCAATCGAATGCGGACGGCCCGTCGTCACGCCACATCTGGTCGCCGCATTCACGAGTGGACGATCAAAGGGAGGCTAGAATGTGACTGCTGAGACCCGACCAAAATCGCAGGGCGCATTGTGAAACCGGAGAACGCCTTTTACAGCACGGCGCGCCTTGCGAATCGCAGGGCGCATTGTAAAACCGTGGGGCGCTTTGTAAGCCACTGCAGAGGTCTCAAATTCATCAGCAGCAGCAGCAACAGCGGCAGCAGTAGAAATTAACTCGGCGTAACCTGAAGCTGCCACGTGACTCTCACACTTGAACATGTACCTTTAAGTTGCTATTCACGAAGCCATAATATTCAAAAAGCAACGAAATAAATTTTACAAGTCTATTTTCTTTTGACATCTTCTGCCATGTTGCTCAACAATAACGTGTGGGGAATGTTTCAATTTGCTTGCGCCTCCATCGTCTGCGACAAAATCACCCAGTATGCACCCACTCTCGTCACCCTAGATCTCACTAGATCCAAAGCAGGGTTCAGGCTGGATGGGTGACCACCAATGCATGCCAGGTCGTTTATAGGTTGCTGCGTGCCTAATGTTGTCAGCAGGGAGCAGTGCAGCATAATCCATTACTGCAGCATTCTCCACGTCTTAAGCAACCCTCACTGACCAGGGTGTTGGTTCAAATAAAATGCATACCCTGCACTGCCCTCATCCAGCAGTGGATTGACAAAGGGGCACTCATATAAAAACGCTCACGTTTAACGTGATGTTTTTGCATTCAATATTCGCCTACCATTGTTTGTGCGCTCGTTCGACAATATGAGATTGTCTCCTCGTCCGTCCGTTTGTGCGTCGATGCCAGTTCCACCGGTGGTGGAGGGGGTCCTGGACCAGCCCCTGGAGGTCTTGGCCCCCCTGGATGGGCCGGTGAGCCTGGAGTGCATGTCCACTGGCTCACCGCCCCCACAGCTTTCCTGGCTGAAGGACGGGCTGCCCCTGCCGCTGTCTGCCCACACAATGCTGCTCTCTGCAGGGCAGGTGCTCAGGTGAGCACCAGGCTTTCTGGGCCTCTGAAAGTTTTCATTGTTTTTGCAAAGTTGCTGAGCACAGGTCCAGAGGCCAGCAACAAAGAGCACGATCATAGTTGTAAATATATCCAGGAAGTATGTTTTTTTAAAGGAAGCTATTTTGACTTCCTGGACCTTGTCTCGATGATGTGTAAAATGAAACATCTTATCTGATTGCAAATATCTGGCTGTGAGGCTTGTTCTTCAACTCACTGATGATCCAGAGCAATAATCATCGGTGTTTTAAATGCTCGTACATGCGACTATTTCATTTGTTTGGATGTGTCCAGGTAGTCAACAATGCAAATTTGTCCCAGATTGTGTGTGTGGTGGCTCAGCCAAAAAATCAGATCTTGCCATTTCAACCCAACAGGCCTTCGGAAAGAAGGCCCACTTCAAGGAATAATTTGCGAAAGAAGGTTTTTCCTGAGGAAATTCTCAGATGGAAAGATCTTTGTTCCCTCACAGTGATTGTAATCAAAATTACCTTTGAATATTGAAGAGCATTTTAATAAAGATGCCCAGAAAACATGAAGGCTCTCAAACCACGAGAAGCCAAAAGTAATTCAAATACATGGCCCCAAACAGTGAGCAGTGAGGAGGAGCAAGTGGGCCAAATGCGTAAAGAAAAATAACCAGATCATGGGACCTCCTTTGCCAGTACAAAAATATACTAATAGGGTATTTCCCCTTTTTTCTGGCAACAAAACTGACACCTTTTGCATGGAATCATGCTTACATTAACCACAATACTTGCAGTCAAATGCAAACAAAAGGCGCACGTGCGCCTTTTGGCGTCATCAGGTCGAACACCATATGAGACTAGGCTCTAAAGAAAGCTGTCTCTGGTGTGGACCAATCAGTTTCAAAGACAATGCATACATTATCAGAGTATTGTTTTTTGTTTGCATTTGACTGCAAGTATTGTGGTTAATGATAAGCATGATTCCTTGCAAAAGGTGTCAGTTTTGTTGCCAGAAAAAAGGGGAAAAACCCTATTAGTAAAAATAACCAGCTTATAAATTCGGGCAAAACCCCACGTCAACATTCTCAATGCCCGTCCTGCGTGGCGTGACCACAACGTGCGCAGGATCGCCCGAGTGCAGGCGTCGGACAGTGGGACGTACACGTGCGTGGCCTCCAACCGTGCCGGCATCACCCAGAGAGAATTCACCCTCCGGGTGCAAGGTGAGCAACAAGTCCCCCATGCTCACCACCAGAGTTGTAATCTACAGAAGCCGGGCCAAAGGCAAAATGGGGCGTCGTGAGGGTTCGTCAAACCAGCATCAACCACGTGGCCTCATTTCCTCCCTTCTCTCTATCCCCACCCCATCTATCTCCACCTACCTATCCGCTGTTGCCCAGCGTCTGATACTGCACTTTCACTGGCGTGACGACGCGCACACTGTCCAGGTGCGACGATTAGAAAGTAGCTAAAAGCTGTGGTTGAAAAAAAAAAATCTGTATTAATTCATTCATACAAGGAATATTTTTTTTTTCATTAGGCACTGTGGCATTAAAAAAAAAAGATTCCGGTTTAGTGAGTCAGATATGTCGTTGGCAACAATCAATGGCGCAGGGCACGTTTAATAGGATCCTCGCTGGCGTGCGTCGTCTAACCCAGGCACTGCCAACACGGGTGGGGGGGGGGGGTGGTGTAGTGCCACTGGAGAGCGGTCCTCAGCCAGCGCGTGCCTCCCCCTTTGCCCAGTGCCCCCTCTGCTGGAGGGCGCGGGAGACACGGAGGAGCTGCAGGTGCTGGCCGGCGCGTCCGTCACGCTGGCATGCGAGGCCACCGGCTCTCCACCGCCGATGCTCACCTGGCTGCACGAGGGCCGGCAGCTCTACCCGCCCGGCGGTGGTGGCGTCGTGTCGGCGCTCGCGCGGCGTACGTACGGTTACACCCGCGCCCCTGCCGCAAGGGGGGGGGGGAGGTGGGGGGGGGGGGGGCACGGCCAGACAGAGAAGAGATAGCTCACTCGTGCACAAGCACAGGGCGAGAAACGGTTCTTTGATTCAAGGGCACCTTCATTTTTGAGGTGGCTCGAGTGAGAGCACTGAACCCTGCAACTGCTGAAGCCTGGGTTCACATCCAAGCAGTCTTCTCTGATCAACAATGACTGCACACAAAAACTTGTCACTTAAAATATGGTTCTCCAAACAATTTATCTGAATTCCGTCCCTCAGAAGAAACCAGACAAATTTGACTGCGACCCAATTACCATTATTCTCTGCAGCTGAGTGGATGGGAAAGTGCTCGCCCCGTCTGTGTGATCTCAAAATTGGTCCTGTGAAGAGCGATCGGTGTGCGTGTGTAATTCCATGCCAGAAATAGTTCCCTTTCATGCCAGATTAGCATAATACAATTTTAACTAAACGTTATTTCCTTTCAGAGATTAAACAAAAACCTAAAACCACTTAAATGGAATGCTTCACCAAACAATGGCATCACGATGAGAGTCTTGAAGCAAGACGTTCGTTTCTGTAATTGCAGCCGAGACCTCGGCCTTTCCTAGTGAAGAGGGCCTGCTGGTGCAGATCGCGAACGCCTCGCCCGCGGACGCCGGCGTGTACAGCTGCGTGGCCGTGAACGCGGCCGGACAGACCAGCAAGCACTTCCTCCTCACCGTGCAGGGTAAAGCCACCTCGCAGCTCACCCACTCACTCGCTCAACAACGAACAACAGCGACCGCCATTTGTCACTAAGTGGCGGTGACGTCACCGCGGCGCATGTGCCAGGCTATGTTCACTTTAAGAGTTTAAGGGCACGTGAAGTGTCCAACGCCCGCTGGCAGGAGGTCACTGGACAGACCCAGGTGCCATGGATTGACTGAGATGACTGGCCGATGCACCATTCACCCACCTGCCTACTCACTCACTCGCACACGCAAATTGGTATTTTATTTAATGGATAAAATACATTGAATGTGTTATTATTCTTATTAGAAATGTCGGAACTTTTTTTTCAAACTATAGATGTTTGGACCGCCCCCACCCTTGGCAGTTTTTAGATCTGCCTCTGCCAGGACACATGGCAAGCTGGCAGCCCCTCGCAATGCGAGAAAACCTCTGCAATTACTCATCCTTAGCCTTCAGAGTTTAGACTCATCGCTGTCACTCTCTCTGTGGTCGCGTGGGGGAGACTCGGTTTGCCTGCTGCGGGCCAGGTGGTTGATTGGGCTCACGGTGAACACTCCCCCCCCCCACCCCTATAAGCTGCTTCTCCTCCTCTTGCCATCAGAGCCGCCGGTGATCGAGGGGTTGGAGGAGGAGGAGGAGGCGCGGGAGCTCAACGTGCTGCTGGGGGGCTCCTTGGAGCTGACGTGCGTGGCCGCGGGCAGCCCCCCACCCAGCCTCACGTGGCTCAAGGACGGTCGCCCCCTGCCTCATGCGCAGGGCCTCACTGTGCTTCCGGGGGGGCAGACCCTGCGCATCGCCAGTGCCACGGTGAGCGGGCGGGCATGCGGGCAGCCGGGCGGGCGGGCGGGCAGCTGGCTGGGCGGTCGGGTTGATGCCAGTATACAGTGATACCTCGGTTCACGAACGCTTCGGTTCACGAACAACTCGGTTCACGACCAGAAAATTTCATAAAAATATGCTTCGGTTCACGAACTCCGCTTCGGTTCACGAACAGGAGCCGCGCCCATTTTTATGCTAATTCCAGGCTGTCACATGGTCGTGATTTATTGTAACGGGAGCGAGCAATGCAAAATCAGCCGAGGGAGTACCCGCCTCCTCCTCCTCCTCCTCGGGGGCTCGCGACACGTGGTGCGCCCGCCTCTTCTGCCCTTCACGCGCAGGCTACACGCGCGCATGCACGCGCGCGGACGCACGCACGCGCACGCGCATGCACGCGCGCGCACCCCGGAATGAGCGGAGAGGCACACATGCGCCAGCTGTGACAGTCATCCCTCTTCACCTAAAAATAAAAAAACCCCGAGCGATGGATTTTTTTCCACGTATTTTCGTCAGCGTTGACCACAGCCCCCCGAAACGATCTCTCCTTGAAAAATCCATTATGCAAAAATGGAATGAGTGCCATGACTTTTTTGAAAAGCACCACCCCAACATAGCTGTCACGAACAGAGTGTTAAATCTCATGAATGATAATGTGGTCTCTCAAAAAAAAGGTCAGAACGGATTAACCGGATTTACATTGAACCCTATGGGAAAATGTGCCTTGGTTCACGACCAATTCGGTTCACGACCAGAGTCATTTCACGAATTAAGTTCGTGAACCGAGGTATCACTGTATTTCAGAGATGTCGGGTGATGCCAAGGGGACAGATCAGTGGACGCGTTGATTGGTCCTCCCAGATCAACGTTATCCAGCAGCAATAGTTTAAGTGGCAGGCTTCTTATTGCCCTATCCAATATCGCTATTCAGGCCTGCAAGGCACTCCAGCCTCTATGCCCTCTTTAAATATATTGTTTCCAATGGGGTTCTATTCATTTAAGTATAGATCACTCTCAATGTACGTTTAAATATGCAAAGCCAGCCTTCTGTTCGCATTTAATATTTTTTGTATCTTGCTTCCTTTGTTATCGGAATGCGGTGACCACAATAATGTGAGTTTGCAAACTCTCAACCAGGTGGAGCACGGTGGCCGTTATACCTGCCTGGCCTCCAGTCCTGCAGGCGACACAGAGAAGGAATTTCTTGTCCAAGTGCACGGTGAGTTGCACTGTCGATCCATGCTCGTAAGTGACAACCGGGTAAACCGGGTGAGACCTTTTGCAGAATCGATTAACGGTTCTGCAATGCAGGCGTCAGGCACAGTTTCCCGTGCAAGTGTATTCATGAATGCACTGATTGGCACGTGTGAATCTACACATGGCACGGTGGCCCAAGTACATCTGTTCAAGGGTAGAGTTGGCACCGTGTAATTGTTTGATTGGTTATGCCACGGCTGGTGGAAGAGCCTCCACTGCAGGCCATTCTCTCCCCATTTTTGTTCAACTGCCACCCTGGGAAATGGAATCAGGCTGGTGACCTCTGGATAGCAAGTCCAGTGTGCTAACTATCACACCATGGCAGCTGCCATTAAAAAAAGAAGTTATCATTGTATGATTATTGCTCTAGACATTTATATCTGCAACAAAACCAAAGTATTGTCTTCTGTTTTTGTATGTCGTTGCCAGTAGTGCAAATGTACTGATATCAACAATGCTGTTTCAGGGTTAGAGGAAGGGACACTCAAAAACGATTGAGTTTTATTTAATACAATAACCAAAATAATGTCGAAAGCATCACGAACAAAAAGGTAAAGACTAAGATGATGGAGGGGAGGCCCAGGATGGGGCCATTTATGGAAATGGCGATGGTACCTCGAATGCGTAAAAAGGGTCAGGTTGAGTCTACGAAAAGGGAATCAAATCCACATGCACCCAGCCAGCGATCCCTGCGACAGAGCCCCCGAGCGTTCCAAGGTAGGAGTCTGCCGTGAGAACCGGGCGAGGGGGGTCGAACCTGTCCCTCCGCTCCCTCCCTTCGTTGCAGTGCCCCCCAACATCGCGGGCAGCGTGGAGTTGCAGGACGTGAGCGTGACGCGCGGCGGGCAGGTGTCGCTCGAGTGCCGGTCGGACGCGTCGCCCCCACCCACGCTCGCTTGGCTCAAGGACGATGAACCCCTGCAGGTCTGGACACTGCCTGGGCTCCTGGCCTGGGCTCCTGGCTTGGGATGCTGGCCTGGCGTCCTGGCCTGGGATCCTGGCCTGGCCTCTTGGCCTCAGATCCTGGCCCAGGCAGTGGCAGGCAAAGAGGAAGGGGGGGGGGGGGGCCTTACGACATCAGAACGCCAAGAGAAATCCCCACGCGTATACTAATAATAATTATCGTACTTGAATTGTAAATGTTGTGGGTTTACTCTCACAACACACCGGTGGGCTGAACTAGTAACAAATTGGCATGTTTTGTTAAACGTGACAAACCTTATTTATTGGCTGTGTCTGGTGGTGGCGGGTTTAATGACACATTTATATTTATGCGATCTAACCCAAAAACCTCTATTACCAATAATAATCGTGGTCGTCGGCCATGATCATTCCACTACTGGGTAACAGGGCACCTCCTTCAAATGCGACACTTTCCATGAATTGCGGGACGCCAGTCGTAACAGGAGAATGCGTTCAGGACGAACACAAATAGGCATCGCAACAACACAGTGTGCTGTTCACAAACATAACATACATGCCGTGTGACCATCACATTGCACGTACAATGCTCTCAGCCTTGTCTAGACCACCAACTCAAGAGATATAGCAACACGCAAAGCGTGTTCGCAAACGGCAGGAAGCCACGACTCCCATTCCTATGCCTCGCTTGTCACGTTGTTATTTCTAAGAAGCACCTCTGCTGAACCGGCACACGTTTCCCGTGCGGTGAACCGACAGTGCATGCTGCCTCGTTACCAGAGGTGGATCTATAAATTTACCAAGAAGTTGCGGTCCCAGAATTTTTAGCTCTTGAAATAGATTACTAAAAAAAAACATTCAATGTATATTCTGTGGTTAATATCAATTAAAAAAACACATGATGGTGGTGGGCACCTTCCCGCTTGTAACGAACGTCCGTCGCCGCGCCCCCGGTATCCGCGACTTCCCGGCACGGCAGGCGTCCCCCCGCGTGAATATCCTCGCGAGCGGCCGCTACGTCCAGATCAGCGGTGCGGACGAGGAGGACGCAGGCCGCTACGTGTGCGTCGCCTCCAACGTGGCCGGCAGCTCGTCGCGCACCTTCACGCTCGCCGTGCTGGGTGAGACGTGCCCACTACCCCCCTCCCCCCACCCTCCGCACACATACCTGCAGGCTACACGCTGTCTCTCCCTCAATCCATTTTGGTGTTTTTCTATAACTTAATCCTACTAAGAACCGTTTTTTTTACGTAATTGATTTTTTTACACGATTGCGAACGCGGGCGCCGTGCGATCGACGCTGCGTCCTGGTTGTGTGTGTGCAGTGAGCCCCAGCGTCGTGGGGGGCTCCGGCGAGGTGAGCGTGCGTCTCGGGGGGGCGGCCGTGCTCCCGTGTGCCGCCGTGGGATCCCCGGCCCCCACCCTCAGCTGGAGGAAGGACGGGGCCCTCCTCTCGGACGACAATGCCAGGCACGGTTTTGGAACCTCGCCCCACGCGACGCTTGTTTTCCTCACGAAGATTGAAAATTATGATTATAGTAACTTACAGGTGTTTGTCAGCCCACTGCTGTTTGAATAATACAATCATTCTCTCAGCTCTCGATAGGAATTACTTCGGCGACATTCAAGCAAATGCCGTACTCTTGCGCGCATCTCGGAGTGTTCTCCGCGTGTAAGGGGAGCGGCTCTGCTCGGCACGCGAGAGGCTCGTTTAACGAGCGCCGACGCTCACCCCGACGCCGCGCGTGTGCGTGGCGCAGGTTCACGCTGCTGCCGGACGGATCGCTGGAGGTGATGTCGGTGCGAGCGAGCGACGCGGGGACGTACGTGTGCGTCGCCTCCAACGCGGCCGGATCGGACCGCCTCACCGTCACGCTCACCGTGCTCGGTACTCGTTGCCTCAGGCTGGACCGCGGTGTTGATCCGCGATGGCCCCTGCAATGTGGCTTCCGAAACCACTGACTCCCCCACATAACGTTCACATTTGTTTGTTTAACCTGGCATAGAACTCAAAAAGGCCAGGGTGAGTGAGTTTCATATGCAAGTGTGGGCCAAAATGACAAAAGCAATCAAGTAAAATGAAAGTACCGCAATGAAGCAAATACAAATCTAAGGAAAAGTCAATTATAACGTATGAACATTTTTGAACTGCAGCAATGCATTTAAAATCTGAGCCATGCCACAATGTTTAAACTTTCAAAATATGTTTTTCCTCTTTCCTTGTCTCACTACTCAACCGAGGTTTGCCTTCTCAGTGCCCCCAGGGATTGCACGAGGCCCCACGAACGTCACGGCCCTGGTGGGGGGCCAGGCCACCCTCAGCTGCGAGGCCTCCGGCCTACCCAAGCCTGCTGTCTCCTGGAAGAAAAACGGCCGCCCCTTCGGTGCTGACAGGCTGCAAATCACGCACAGGTACCCTTGCCAACGTGTCGGCCTTCAATGCCAAACAGTCGGCATGTAACAAATAATTGATGAATTAATAAAAGTTTATTTTATGCTCACGATGTAGATGTGGAATCTTGCGTGGTCAGTTACTGATAGTTTCCCAAGCTTACATTGAAACTTAACACTTAGGTTATCACGACCAATATGATTCATATTTGATTTTTCGAGTCCGATCACGTGAGTAAAATGTGTGTTGTAAACCCTCCTCCACCCAACACGGCCAGTTCATGAAGCTGTCACTTGATAGTGGGCTGCGTCGCCTGGAGGAGGGTTGATAACACACATCTTACTGATGGATTACATGATCATGTATCTTAGTGAAGTTACAAAGATTAGGCTGAAGTGATGACACAGACAATATAAATGAGAACATTTCAATGAAACAAATGATAATTCTCAAATTGAATTGTGATCTTCAATTCAGACAAGTGATTAAGTCACAGGGGCAGCAAATTGTTATATGCCTGCCAGATAGTAAATGTTTATGAAATGTAAAATGTATTAGTGGGAATGCTTTCTTTTTCTATTCATTAAAAAAAAACCTCACCATAGATATTTAAATTACAGAACCATGTTTATTGTGCTCCAGGCTGCTGTCGACAGGATCACTGCATTTCGCGTCGGCAGACCCCGAAGACACGGCTCAGTACGAATGCACAGCAGCTAATGAGGTCGGGGAAGAGCGGATCACCATTGACTTCACCGTGCTAGGTATTAGGGCATTGTATCTTCTCCACAGGCACAAACAACACGTCGGAGCGTTAATAAGGAACATGATAACGGAGTGTTTTATTTAAATTTCTCCCTTCTCCCACGGTTATTAATGTTCCTCCTGCCTACGCTGTTACCACCACTGCCATCCACTTCCTCTCCTCCCGAACGGCCGCCTTCTTTCCTACGAGCTGCAATGCTACCCTTCGTAATTGTCTCACCTATAGCCCCCTTTCACATGTACATCCCCTCCACCGCCCTCCTCCCATCCCCTCTACCGCCACCCACTTCCCCGCTGCTTCCAATCACTCCCGCCCGCCTGCCTTCCCGCTGACGCCGTCCTCCCTACCCACCCCAGTGCCCCCGTCGATCGCGGACGAGGCCGACGACCTGGTGGTCACGCACGGCTCCCCCGTGCTGCTCACGTGCCACGCGAGCGGAGCGCCCGAGCCCAGCGTGCACTGGAGCAAGGACGGCACGCGGCTGCCCAACGCCGGTGACGGATTCGCCGTGCTGTCCACCGGTAACCGTGGTGACATCTTTTTTATAACAGCAGTGGCATCTCTGTTTAAACGGCCATCACTCTGAGGTCGATGAAAACGATGTTGGTGTGATGTTATCTTCCTTGCCTGGTATGCAGGAGGTTGGGGGTTCGATCCCGACCCTGATGCCTGTATATTTGGAGTTGTCATGTGTCTCTCCTTGTGGTCGTGTGGATTTTTTTCCGGGTCCTCCGGTTTTTCCCTCCACATTGAAAACATGCATTGATATTAATCCGATTATTTTGGTGCTATAAATGTCCAAATGATGGGCCACTTTGTTGAGCTATCATTTTTGGCCATTTCGTTTCTGAAAAATAAGTTAGCACCTCAGTGGGCTTTGCCTGGTAGGATGGGGATGGTTTAGTTTTATTTGTTTGTGTTTGTTTACTTTGTACTTTGCACTACTGTCATGTTTTTGTATTTTTTGTTTGTTGTAACGTTCTTACCCCGTGCCCCGACTGGACATCTGTGAAAATATCTTTAGAGCTCATCAAGTCTCGATAAAATGTTGTTGTCCTTGATGTTGTTGTCGCGCCGTGTTCCCCAGGTACGGTGGAGGTTCCGGCGGCCACGCCGAGCCACGCGGGCCGCTACACATGCACCGCACGCAACGCGGCGGGCACGGCGCATCGGCACGTCTCTCTCACCGTGCAGGGTCAGTTGCCGCCGCCGCCACTGGCAGCCCACAGCACGCGCGGCAGGGATTGCCGGGATGATTTTGATTCTTTATCCTGGAATCCTCAAGGGCTCGGTAGGCAAGGTGGCGTGCCCCTAGGACCCGCCCCTGGAACCTGCCCCTGTAGTCGTTCGTACAAACATATTCCTTCAGCGGCGATTAAATAATTACAGAAAATCACTCGGTCAATTAAATGGGGCAATCTCAGACAAGGACCGGCCAGGTGGCTCAGTGTTGGAGTGAGCCGCTCGCATTGGAGAAGGTTGGGAGTTCAAGTCCCAGTTGGGAGTTGACTCGGCCCATCATCCCTCCAGGGTTCATAAAATTATTTCCACCTCATAAGGAAATCAACAGTGGTTGTCCTTTGGATAAAATCGTCCCTGACACAGAATTGTGGAATTTACAAAATTGGCTGTAGATGGAAATCGCTTTGAATCACAGGGCAGTCCTGTATAAATAGCTCTTGTTATATAGCTGCTTATTGTTAGGTATTGTTAGTCACTTGGTCTGTTTCTTTTCATTTTGGAGTTGGCCAAATATAGCAATATAGGACCACAAAACTTTGGAAATTGTTGGTGCCGGGTCTGGCTGCCATCCTGCTCGTCTGCGTTTGCAGCACTCGCAAGCGGCGCTTGCTCCAACAGTCTGTGAGTATGGAGCCGTTAATCAAGGACGCATTTGTCTTTGTGCCGTGCCCCCCCCCACCAGGGCCCCCCATCGTGACGGTGCCCCCCTCGTCCGTGGAGGCTACGCTGCACTCGCGCACCACGCTCTCCTGCGAGGCCTCGGGCAGGCCGCAGCCTATGCTGTCCTGGCAGAGGGAGGGCGTCGACATCGTTAGCGGTGAGCCTGAGGGTTTTATCGGCATGGAGATGGTGGCGAGAAACGCGGTTTTGTTTTGATGTCCTATCCAGGATGATGTGTTTGTGTGCATTGGGATGCTTTTGTGGGGAGAGGTAGTGCAGTGGGTAAGCGCGCTGCACTACGAACCCGGCAGCCCGAGTTCGATTTTCACTCACCATCAGTAGCAGTGGCAAATATTTGAACCAGTTCTGGGCCTCCTCTAGGTCGACTCAACGTTAAATGAGTACTTGGTGCAGTGCGGTAGAGCGTGGTGGTAGCTTCACCACCACCCTTGTGCCGTATCACTGATGGCACTTTCCCCAACCGTTTGGTAAAGCTACATTGGGGAACTTTGTCTTTGTCTGAGCATGGCAGGCGGCCGGTTTTTAGTGCAGCCGGGCGGCTCGCTGCACATCTCGCAGGTGGCGCTGTCCGACGGCGGCACGTACGTGTGCGTGGCGCAGAACGCCGCCGGCACCGTGCAGGCCAAGGTCAAGCTGCTGGTGCACGGTGGGTGCCGCGTCGCGCTCACTCACACCACCCACACCACTCGCACCACTAGGACCATGCACCCCACTCATCCCACTCGCACCACTCACCCCACTCACACCCCGCACCCCACTCACCCCACTCACACCACTCACACCACTCACCCCACTCACCCCACTCGCACCACTCGGACCACTCGGGCTATGCACCCCACTCACACCACTCACCCCACTCACTCCACTCACACCACTCACCCCACTCACCCCACTCGCACCACTTGCACCACTCGCCCCACACACACCACATTCATATTCCTGCCAAACCTACCGAGTCAAACGAGAGGCTGCCGACTTTCAAACTTTTTTTTCCCGCAAACTAGTTTTAAAAGCTCATCGTACGATTTCACTTGCTTCATTATAACGCGGCCGCTGAGCACAGGCCCAAATGCCCGATCTACGCGACAACGTAATATGTTCGGCTCTGTCCGGCGGTGGTGGCGGTACGGAGGATCGTAACGTCGCCACCTGATGCTGCCCGCAGTCCCCCCGGCGATGAGGCCCTCGGCGCGGGAACCGGTGGTCGTCTCCGGCGCGGTGGCGATCCTCCCGTGCGCTGCCGAGGGCAGCCCGGCACCCGAGCTGGCGTGGCTGGGCCCGGACGGCCGTTCCGTGCGGCGCGACGGCACCCGTCACCGCCTCCTGAGCAACGGCTCGCTGCAGGTGGGGCCGGCGCGGCCCAGCGACGCCGGCCGCTACACCTGCACGGCCTCCAATGCAGCTGGGACTGCCAGCGTGGACGTGGTGCTGACCGTGCACAGTGAGTGGCCGCTCCACGTTTCTGCGCGTTGATGCATCCGAAAGGATGTCCGCTGTGAGGATGGAGCAATGAAATCGGTTTGTGCGCAGGTGCCGGATAGATTATTGTATCGCAAGGTCGTAAGAGGTAGCAGTGGCCAGGGAAGGTTTTCATCCATCAGTAGATTGGCTGACGGTGATGACTTAGTTTAGACGCTGTATGAATCTACATTTTATTGCACTGCAAGTATGAAGTTCTATGTTGAGCCGCATGTTGAGAATTTCATCTCTCCGGCTTTCTCCAGGTACTGCTTACCGCGGGCATCTTCAGATGTCTAATTCGATGCCCGCAGTAAGCAGTGCATGGCAAAATGCTCGAGAGTAGAAATGCTGCTCACGCAGTCCGACCCCAAATACCGTCACTTGGATTACGAGCGGCCGCTAAACGTCCCGCTCGGTGCGGCTCACGTGAACGTAACCTGGTCACCGCCTCGCTCCCCCGTTGCGCCAGCCCCTCCGAGCGTCCGCGGCGCGGCCGGAAGCAGCGGTGGAGGCGGTGCGGGGGCGAGTCTCGTGGTCACCGAGGGCTCACGCACCGTGCTGCCCTGCTCAGCCGACGGGAGCCCCGCGCCGAAACTGTCGTGGCGACGCGACGGCGATGTCCTCCGCGAGCGGCCGGGCAAGTTCACCGTCCTGCAGGCCGGGGACCTCATCCTGGACGACGTGCAGGTGCCCGCGTCGATGCCTCAAAGTTCTTGTTTTTTTTTTACTTTGAATTATAGGCCCAAGTAATGCTACATGTCCAATGGTTAATTCAGTGGAAGTCAGCAGGAGGTGGATGTTATGATGGGTGGGACACGTGTGAGGGGGCGGAGGAGGGCAAGTTACCGAGACGTTGAAGCCCAGAGGTTCGGTGACAAAGGGGAAGGCTGAAAGCCAGATGGTGGTGGCGGTGAGACTGGGGAGTGGTAGTGCAGCGATTAGCGCGCTGCCCGAAAAACTCCGTGCGACCCGAGTTGAATTCCCGCTCACGGCCAACACCAGTGACTATTACGTGAACCGGTCCAGGGCCTCCCCTAGGTCGATTCAGTCTCAAATGAGTACCTGGTGCAATTTGTAAATGTCACTACCCCCTCGTGTGCCGTGCCAGCCTTCATAGGTGCTCGCTAACCGCACTTGCCCCAATAGTCTGCTAAGGCTTTACGGGGGATATTTGTCTTTGTTTGACGATGAGAGTAGGCGCTAAAAGTTAGGTCTCCACTTTACAATAATTATTGGATCTAGCAGCATCCAGGGCATTAGCCATGGTGACCTCTTGGCTTGAATGATCATCAATTAATCACAATACATGCATTGACAATTGTCTGCGTAAGACCCTAATTGTGTTCCACAAGAATTGAGTCTTTTTTTATTGCATCGCAACCCCAAAATCGCAACAATTTGTTGAATCTAAACGCACGACTTTCCCCCAATACGAGTCGGGCACCGTTTCTCCGCGTAACCGTCGACGTCAAACCGTGGACCTCGCGAGCATCAACGCCACCGCCCGCTTCGATCGCTTGCCGGCAACGATTCAGATACCCGCCACGGGGGCTGCTCGTGAAGCCGGCCACCGTGGCGACGCGAAACACACATCGCAAATCGACGACCAACTCTCCCGCCACGCGCGACGGCAACAACAACAGCAGCAACGACAATCATCGTTCACGTTCGCGAGGCGCATTTCATCCGTCCCGACGTGGGACGCGTGTGCCACAGGTGGGCGACGGCGGGGAGTACGCGTGCGTGGCGACGAGCGTGGCGGGCAGCGACGCGCGCACCACCCGCCTCGTCGTGCACGCCCCCCCGGCCTTCACGGAGAGGCCAGGCGACGTGTCGGTGGGGCGCGGTGAGCGGCTCACCCTCACCTGCGCCGCCACGGGAATCCCCGCGCCCACGCTCACCTGGAGCTTCAACAACCGCGGCCTGCCCGGTGAGACCGGGGGCAGCACGGGGGCGCGCGCGGCACCTCAAGGTGGACACGTCGATAATTTGAGATGGAGTGGAATTGGTGGGGACTGGCCACGATGGTGACCCAGGTCGCTCCTGCAAATGAAACTCATCCTTGTCTCCTGAGTTCTCACCTGGTTCAACAAAATCAACTTGAACTTCACTAGCTCAGGGTTAAAGACGAATGCTCACACGTGACAAATAGTCCAGGTGGCAGAAAAAGTGTAATTGTGACCGTAGGATCGTGGCTACAAGGACATTGAGACAAATGTGTATTCTAGCTTCACCCTTGTTATGCATCATCAGTCGCAATATAACCACCATTGTGACTGTGTACAAACCGGTTGCTGTAGACTATGTGGATTGTGTAGTAGCAGTGATGCACGTGGCAGTGGCGGCAGCAGCGGCAGCGACGGTTGTGGCAGCAGCAGCAGTGGCAGCAGTGGCAGCAGTGGCTCGGTTCTATCTCGTCTGTCGTTTCCCGCCCCCCTCCTCCCATCCCCATCATCGCCGTGGCGGCGGTGGCCGGGGCAGCGCGCGTGGACGAGGAGCGCGGGGTGAGCGAGGTCACGATCGAGCGCGCCACCAAGGACGACTCCGGCACGTACGTGTGCACGGCCGAGAACGAGGTGGCCTCCATCCGCGCCATCGGCTTCGTCTACGTGAAGGGTAAGGGAGGCCGCCGCCCGTCCCGCCACCTCCCGCCCAGCGGAGCAACCTTCTCCTCGTGCGCCATCGACGCCGGCGTCGCATGTTGGGCTCCCGGTGTAACAGGCTAAAATAACCCCTGCCCCCATTAAACCCGGGTATAGTGTGGCCCAGGCCAGAGTATACCCGGGGGGATAAAGTGTCCTCGGCTAAACTATACCCCCCGGGGGTTTAAACTCGACTGGGCCAGACCATACCCCTCCAGGCCAGAATATGCCCCATGTGAAAGTTCTAACGAATTTCAATCGATATCTAAAAAGCATATAAATTGAAGTAATAATCTCAATTTGATCAATTGAAACATTTTTAGGGTTAGGGATAGGGTTAGGGTTAGGGATAGGGTTAAGGTTAGGGTTAGGGTTAGGGATAGGGTTAGGGTTATTATTAAAGTTTTTCTGGTTGAAGCAATCAAAGTCTATGTGTTTACAGTTTTAAATAAAATGTTGGAAAAATGTAGTAATTCATGTGTATATCGCTCAACACTATTACTATCATGAGGGTATGATTTGGCCTAGAGTATAAATTGGCCTAGGCCATAATATACCCGGGCATAATCTAGCCTAGGCCGTTTTAACCCCGGGTATACTACAAACTGTTACACCGGAAAAACGGCTTCAAGCACCTCTTGTTGTAACCCGTTCGCGCTCTCGCGGCCCTGTTGAATTCAGCTTGCGTTGCGTCGTTGCGGATGCCGCGGTCGATATGTCCGGCCGCGCACGATGCGACCGCGTGGTTTGATGCTGCGCGGTTTGCCGCCGTTGTCTTTGCCCGCCGGCAGAGGCCCCGGTGTTCCGGGGCGACCTGCACCCCAGCATGGTGGAGGCCATGGGCGGCAACGCCATCCTGGATTGCGAGGCGCGGGGTGACCCCCCTCCCAGCATCCACTGGAGCCGCATGGGGGGCTCCATGCCCGGCAGCAACCGTGTGCGGCAGCTGCACAACGGCTCACTCGCGATCTACGGCACTGTGGTGCGTGGTGCCGTCGTGAGCGGCCGCGGCTGGTGGCAGTCGAGATTACAACCGCCGGTGTGACGCTCGCCATCGTTGTCATCGCTACCGATAGGAGAAGAAGAAGTAGCAGCGGCATCATCTTCTTCAGCAGCAACAGCATGATTATTATATTCTTGGTTCTTTTGGTAAAGTCACGTAAATTGAAAAAAAAATCTAAAAATTAAAATGAAATATAAATAATAATATAAAATTTCAATGAAAATAATAAAAATAATACATATTAAAAAATATATAAGCAAAAAACCCATGATGTTTCGATCGCAACACGAGCGGTCTTCTCTCCACCTAAAGCAGCATGATTGTTTAACAGTCGCGTTATAATCCCATCATGATGCATTTACATTATCCTCATAGCTGTTACAGTTGTCAGCGTCGTCCATGCTGGTGAAGGTAGCAGGCGCAGCAGTGTCTCGTCAGATAGGAGAAGAAGGGTGCAGCTTGCCGTGCATGACCTCTGCACTCCACCCCGTGTGACCCCGACCCTGGCAGAGCGAGGACTCGGGCGACTACAAGTGCTGTGGCGACCAACGACGCGGGCGCGGTGGAGCGCATGGTCACCCTCACCATCCAGAGTGAGTGAGCCGACCCGCACGGTCGAGCAGGCCGCCACCATCACCCTCACTACCATTCACCGTCGCTTTCCATCGGCGTCATCGTGTGTGACGTAACGAACGCCGTGCCGGGCGCTTCCGACGACAGGGGCGCCCTCGTTCGTGGCCGAGCCCAAGGACGAGGTGGTGGAGGCCGGCGGTCGCGTGTCCCTGCCGTGCCGCGCCGACGGGCGGCCGCGCCCCGCCGTGGAGTGGACTCGGGACGGCCACCCCCTCCCGGCCGGCGACCCCCACGTCTCGGTGCTGCCGGACGGCACGCTCGCCGTGGAGGCGGCGCGGCCCGGCGACGCGGGGCGATACGAGTGCGTCGCTCGCAACCTCCTCGGATCGGCGCTCACGGGGGCCACGGTCAGCGTGAGAGGTGCGTGCGAGTGGGCGAGCGAGCGCCCCCCATCATTATTGCCGCTTGCCTCAACCGTCTGCTGAAGGCGATATGGGGGGGGGGGATCTTTGTCTTTGTGCTCGTGCGTGCACATGGGGCTTCCCCTACACGCATAGGCGAGCTCACTCCGGCAGGTGAGGCCACGTTGGCCGGGGCCGTGGTGCCGGCAAGCCCAGAAACTGCACCCAAGCAGGTTTTGTTTGGCCGGACAGAGGGGGAAAAAACGGTCATGGCAAAGGCTGGATTAGAGGTGGGTTCAGAGTTCGAACTCAAATTTTTCCGCTGCAGTGCACGGCGCCTACTCCGCGTGGCAAGAGTGGAGTCCGTGTACGGCGACGTGCGGCGATGGAGTCCGCGAGCGCGTGCGGTCGTGCGACAACCCCGCGCCAACGAACGGGGGACGCCGGTGCGACGGCCCGGCCTCCGAGACGCAGCCCTGCCATCACGCCCTGCCGTGCCCCGGTGAGATGGGCCAGGCGCCGCCATGCCTCCATCACCGCCTGACACACGCACCTCCGATTAGCACGGTTGGCTTGCGTACGGTGCGAAAGAAGTTCAACACGCACGCATATCATCACTCGCTCACTCACTCAATCACTTACTCGCTCATCTATTCGGCTACTCACGCACCCCATTGACGGACAACCACCACTCACTAAATTACTCCCTCGGTGACTCACTCACCCACTCACTCGGCTATTCACCACAGTGACACAACTTTCCACGGACGCCCCCATGCATCCACAGTGGACGGGCGGTGGAGCGCGTGGGCCGAGTGGGGAGACTGCTCGCCGGGCTGCGGCCACGGGGAGCGCGAGCGGAGCCGCACCTGCAGCAGCCCCGCGCCGCAGCACGGCGGCCGGCCCTGCTCAGGCCTCGCCCTGGAGGTGGCCCCCTGCTTCACTCGGCCCTGCCCCGGTCAGTGCTGCTCACCCGCCAGTGACCCGAAGGACCGCTCGGTTCCCGTAACTGCCTCCCGTAGCCTCAGAGGTGCCTCCTTGAATTCGTCCTATAGATTTCATTTGCTAAAACTTTCTTTTGGTAATTTTTTAAATAAAAATTCCCGTGATGACCCTCGCGGCGCTCATTCACAGCTCAGTTCCCTCCGCTTCACTTCCCCTTCTTTATTTGCCAGTTTAAACCAAACCACAGCGAGCTGGATCGCACCTCTTTTTTCTTTGGAGCCTCTTTACTCGTGCATCTTTGCCGTCGTCTATTTTCGGCCTGTGCCCGCATTTAGTTTACAACCATCTTCTTGGTTCTTTCGGTAAAGTCACGTAGAATGGAAATAATAAAATAATAAAAAATAAAACATAATAAAATAATTCTCACGACGTTTCGGCCACAACGCAAGCAGCCGTCCTCAGGTGGAGAACAGGTCTGTCGAAAGAACCAAGAAGATGAATCCTTGCAGTCACGAAGGCTTTAAATCGAAAACACCTCGTTTGTCCGTCGCGCAAATATATCTTCTCGAGCTCCCTGAACTAGGGGGTCTTTGTCTATGTTTTTCTGCTGCGGCTGCTGATGTCCTCACATAGCACCGGTGGATTCTCCCGTGGAAAATAACCGGGCAGTTGGCTGAAAGGGATCATCCGTGTAACAAATAAAATTGACTTAAATATTGCTTTTTTATGTATTGAACAAATACGCATGTACGATACAAATATGCACGTGCAGTTGTTTTTTTTTCTAAGTGCGTTCTTGAATCCTTCAATAACATCCGTGTTTTACAGGCAAAAAACTGACTCCCGGTAGAATTACTCACTGAACTCTTAAAGTCAAACGTTTCAGACACCGTCGCCTGATTCTCATGATCCCGTCATCGCTGTCTCGTCCCTATAAGTTGATGGCGGTTGGGCCACGTGGGGATACTGGTCGGCCTGCACTACTTCCTGTGGCGGAGGAACACGGCGTCGGCAGCGCACGTGCTCAGCCCCAGTGCCAAAGCACGGCGGATCGCTCTGCGCGGGCAGCGATTCCGTGGTGGAGCCGTGCAACGAAGATTCGTGTCCCGGTTGGTTCCAGTGCGACCGTTTACAAACATCGTCATATCCCGTCCCCACTCGTACTAAATCATCGCCCGTTACTTTATTTACTCGGCCACTCGTGGCAACAATCGTGAATCCCCTACTGACAGACGAATGCCCACTGCCGAGTTACCCCTTGTTCCACACAGGGACAGCTGCCACTGGGGGGGGGGGGTACCTTTTGAAACCTGTTAAAAGGAGATGAAAGTCGCTTACCGCGTGTGAAACGCTCTGAGATGACCCCGGAGTAAGGGGGCCGCTCTATCGAAGTGAATCACTCTCCGCATCGAGTCAACCTCGTCATAATTCTCCTCCCTCTTCTTCCCCTCCTCCCCCTCCTCTCCCTCCTCTCCCTCCTTCCCCTGCTCTCCTTCCACCCCCTCCCTCTCCTCTTCCTCCCCCTCCCCTCCCTCCCTCGCACTCCTCCTCGTCCCCCCGCTTCTCCCACCTCTCCCCCCGTGCAGTGCACGGCGCTTGGGCCCCCTGGCGCGAGTGGGACGAGTGCAGCCGCACCTGCGGGGGTGGCGGCACGGCCCAGCGGCGCCGCGCGTGCGACAGCCCCTCGCCCGCGCACGGGGGCCGGGCCTGCGCGGGGCCCGACACGCAGGCCCAGCGCTGCGCCACCGAGCACTGCCCCGGTGCGTCCGGACACCGCTGAGACGCGACTCATCACTGATTCTTTTTTTGGCCGTACCTAACCATAAAAAAAATAATCCATCGTGAATCGTGACATTGGCTGCGAAACCTCCGTGATAAGTTTATTGAAAAAATATTTTGGCCACCAAATCCGCTTGATTTACCGACAAAAAAAATACTCAATCGGTGAAACACAGCATCTAGACGGTAGTTGCGCGCCATAAAAATAGCACAAGTAATTGAACTTGTGATGTGAACAATATTAGTACAAGGGAGTGTTTTCACAAGCCTGCATGTGCGCTGGCGCACACGTGTGTGCGTGCGCGCGTCCACGCGGATGTGCATTGTGCGTCGTCGGCGCGTGTCTGCGCGTGTCTGCGAGCAGTGGACGGGAGCTGGGGAGCGTGGCAGAGCTGGGACGAGTGCTCCGCTTCGTGCGGCCGCGGCAAGCGGTCGCGCGTGCGCGAGTGCGACGCTCCGCCGCCCGCCCACCACGGCCTTCCCTGCGCTGGCGAGGTCCTCCAGGTGTCCGAGTGCAACCCCCGGCCGTGCCTCGGTACGCGTCGCCCCGTGTCCCCCCGCCGCATGGGTTCGAGTCCCAGCCGTGGGCAACATTCCGCGTGCAGTGTGGCGGTGACGTGGCCCCCGGCGGTAGCGCGTCCGCCGCTTGCTGCGGGGGTTCGTGGTTGGAAACCGCGAGGCCGCCCTGGTTATGACTGCGGGTGTATTGCCACGCGAATACGCGCTGTCTGCTTCACTCGCAGTTAAAGATTTCCTTCGAAATGAGTAGCCCGTTTTGTGCTGCATAATGCTCAAACTTTGCCAAATTTGGAATCGAATCAGCCTTACATAAGCAACTGCTTTGGTGAGTAACTCTTTGCAATGGAGAAAAAAATGAAGCCAGGTGTGGTGTTGACTACACCACGCACCGGTGTGCCATGCCGGTCGTAACAGCCCCCTGCAAAAAGCACTTGCCTCTGCATTCTGCAAGGCTGCACGTGGCATCTTTGCATCTGTCGTGTGCGGCTGTGGCCGGGCTGTGGTGTGGTGCGCCCAGATTACCCGCCGCAAGTGCGGGGCAGCCTCATCGGCCAGGTGAACGACGTGGAGTTCGGCGTGGCCCAGCTGCTCGCCAACGCGACGACGGACGAGTTGAGTGGCACGCGGATCGTGGAGGCCTCCATCTCCAACGTCCCGCCCGCCATTGGTAACGCTCGCCCGTGGAAGCAGTTTCCCTTCGCCAACAACAACGTTGTCGTCATCATGAGCACAGCTGCAGAAACACTCGCAGTATCACCAGCATGAGCTTCATCGTTAGAAGCATAAAAAGCATCGCCATTGATCATGAGGATTATCATCATCAGCATCGTCGTTAGCGACAGTAATAACAGCAGTAGCATCGCCAGCAGCAGCAGCATGCTCATTATAAAAATCGCCATCGGAAGAATTATTGTCATCATCGCATGCAGAAGCAGTACCGTCGTAACTGCCAGCAGCTGCAGTAAAAGCAGAAGCAGCAGCGTCACGGCTGCCGCAGTCCGTGCTCTGCCGCGTGGCACAGGCCCGGCGCTGCGGGTGCTGGTGACGGTGCTCAGCTCCGTGTACTGGACGTCTGCGTTCGGGAACGAAGGCGCCCGGAACGGATTCCAACTCACAGGGGGCACCTTCCGCCGGGACAGCCAGCTTGCGTTCTCCACCGGTGAGGCTATGGCAGAGAGCGTGCTGTCCGTAGTGAGGGGTTGTATTCGTGGTGTTGAGTATGCAATGAGTATGTGAGGTATGGACACATCTCCCTGGCAGGGTCAGTAAATTGGCTAACCAGGGTTCTACCGCAATAATGTGGAGTTTTCCACCACTTGCTTCGAGTTGCCAATAATGAGGAGCACTTCCATGCTCGTTTGAGCAGGGAGACAGTTTATCTTACTCTTTGGGTCTTTCGGTAAAGTCACGTAGATAGGAAAAATAATATATCACGACGTTTCAATCGCAACACAGGCAATCGTCTTCACCTGAAGACTTCACCTGAATGACGATTGCTTGTGTTGCGATCGAAACGTCGTGATCTATTATTTTATATCTACGTGACTTTACCGAAAGAACCAAAGAGTATGAATTCCTGCAGTCACGAAAGCTTTGAATCATAGTTTATATTATTATACTGCAACAATTATTGCAAGAAAACGATGATAAGGATGATGATGGTCCATTAAAATTAATATTGCGGTGAGTGTGTTGGAGATAGTGATAATACTTTTATTCCCCCTTAACAATCATGTGGATGATAACCAATGACGGATGATGAAGGTGATGATGTCGTTTTTGTTGATGATGTTGTTGATGATGCTGACATTGACCATGGTGTGTCGGTGGTCGCGATGCTGCAGGGGAGACGCTGCGGCTGACGCACGTTTCTCGGGGACTCGACGCGGACGGGACGCTGCTGTTCGATTTGGTTCTCAACGGCTACCTCCCTTTGCTCGCCTCCTACGACCAGCTCTGCCCGTCGGTGCGTCGATTACCGTTGCTGTTTGTTCCCTCTCCAGTTTTATTCCACTCTTGCTATCGCTGGCGCCGTCACGAGAACGAAATTGGGCCAGATCGTCGCGCGGCCCAACCAAAACGTTGATAATTATTAATCACAATATTGGCTGTGAAAACCTACTACATGTCGAATGCCGGTTGCATAACACTCCGCTCATCCTCCCTTCACCCGCATCAGGAATTCAGTGAGGAATACATCCAGACGGGGCCCGGCAAGATCTTCTCCTACTCGGACGGCTGGCCCGGGGGCCCGGCCATCGTGAGCCAAGACGAAGCGGCGCCGGGCGGCGACTCTGATGCCGAGTCGGGCGTGACGTGCGCGTGGAACCACACGACGGCAGTTCGAGCCCACGCTGGGCCTCATGACGTCGCCCGCGCAGACGCTGCGCGTCTCGGCGATGGACTCGCGCTACGACGCCACGCGGCAGCGGCTCGCGTTCTCCCTGCAGGCCACGTTCGGCGAGGGTGCGACGAGCCAGCAGTCACGGCCCAAACGCCATTAGCTTGCCTTCTTGTCCGATTCTGCCAGACACGAGTTTCAAAGGCGGGTCAATGAGACAGTAAATTCACCCTCAACCAGGAGTTTATATCATGGCCTGGCTCAGGCTTGGCTTCGGTTCAAGTGAGCTGACTCAAAGTCCACGCTTCACTTGAGTTGGCTCTGAGACGGGCCCCAGGCACGGTCAGGATTTCCCTGGAGCTGAGCCTGAGACACACCACAGCTGAGCCACTCACTCGCGCAGCTTTGGAAGCAGCTGAGCGGCTCAAGCCTGGGCGGAGCCTAAATGTTAGAGGCTGAACCAGAGCAGAGCCTTGACTAAGAACACGACCCTGAGTGACTTTCCACTCGGCTGATTTACCATTATTATTAGTCCTTTTATAACTGCCTGGAGAACTAAGAGCAGCAAGAACAACAACAAAACTGGGGAAGAATACTTGTTTTGAATTAAAATGTTGTGTTGTTTTGGCAGGAGAGAGCACGGATGGGTGTCCGCGTGGGTTTCTCTTCGACTCAGAGGGCCCCTATTGTGGAGGTGAGTGGCTATTATTTGACCACGATGGTTCTTTCGGTAAGTTGTCCTTATCCTGGGCTGTATGTATGCTGCACGTCGTTTGCACCGTACGTAGTAAACCCCACTAATCGGAGGATTGATTTACTATATTCCGCAAAATCTGTCCATTTTACATCAACTCGAGTTTATTCTCAGAAGCCATCAACCAATTTCTTCAGAGTAAATGAAATGGTAACTCGCAGTCCCAGTTGAAACAATGAGATATTCATCAAATGTGTAGATATGTATATATGAGCTGCTTCATGGCGTTAAAGACATCGATGCCAGCGAGCCCGTTATCCATCTTTCTAACCCTCCTGTTTTTCATAGCCGATGCATCATGTCGTGATGCATCGGGCCCCGCACATTACCTCCAATATATATGTTTTAAAAGACACTGATGCAATACAAGGTGACATTCTCTCACCCCCCCACACCTTGTTCCTCTTTCTCCGCGCGTCCCCCCGGCGCAGATGTGGATGAGTGTGCGCTCGCCCCTCCGTGCTCCCACCTGTGCCAAAACGCCGTGGGCACCTTCTCATGCACCTGCCCGCGCGGCTACATTGTGGCTCCCGATGACCACACCTGTGTTGGTAACCACCCCCCCTCTCCTCCCCCCCCTCCTCCCCTGCACGCTTCGCGGTCCGCCAGCAACGTCTTGTTGAATCGCGTATCGGCGAGCATTGTAAAAAAAAAAAAAGAGGGCGACTGCTGAACCGGTAACCGCCTTCAGAATCGACGACCGCTTCGGAATTTTAGGAACCAGGAGCCGATTCCACTGGAATCTTGACAACGAATGCACTGATTGGCACGCACAGACGTACAATGCCCTACGCCACGCGCGACCTACATAGAGGCAGCAGTGGGAGGGGGAGGGTGCGTTGAAGTAACTTTGCCCCCATTGTCTCAACTGCCGCCACCAGGAGATAGACTGCAACTCCAACGCGCTAACCACTAACACCGTGGCAGCTGTAAATATGTTACATTTATTGTTAGAGACGTATCCGTGTGTGCAGCAAAGCAGACACTTTTTTGGTACTATTTTCTTTGCATTCCGATACCCGGTAATGCAAGAACAAAAGATATTGTTTTACCACTGTGGTTTTTTACTGGGGGTCAAAACGGCGGCTCGTGACTCCAGGTCGAGGAGGCTAAAGAGTTCCCCAGATTTTTCCAGTCTCGGGTGACGAACCCGGGTGGATTAATGGAATACGTGGAATGCAATGACGGTGGCTTCATCGGTGATTTGCTGCTCCGATGAGCATCGAGGCGGTGCTCTTCTTCGATTTCCTGAGCCAGTGGTGGAAATTTGACATTTATATGGTGGTGAGTTTTATCCATAGGACATCTGCTGTTGACTACCCCACAAAGTGGTCACTCCATCTTATTGACCCCAACCAGGATTTGAACTCGCTGAGCCCGGGATTGCCATCTGGCCGGATCGAGTGCATGAAATTCAGCCCAACGCCGGAGCATCATCATCATCATTATCATCACGATCATCAGCTTTTTAAAAACGAGACGCAAGCCGCCGTTATGTGTGCGCGTGTGTGCGCATGTGCAGACGTGGACGAGTGCGTGGCGGGCACGCACATGTGCCACCTGGGGCAGGACTGCGAGAACTCCGCCGGCTCGTACCGCTGCGTGGTGCGATGCGGGCCGGGCTTTACGCGGACGCCCGACGGCACGCGCTGCAGAGGTGCCCCATGCCCACGCCCCCAGGCAACCGCCCCGCCGTGCAGCCGCCCTTACGGGCACCGAGCGTGCGATGATGATGATGTGACCCCTTCTCTCCAAATTTGATCTTGTTCCGCAGGTCCCGCCCGTCTGCTCAGTAGCGATGATCGGGTCTGAGCGTAGCCCGGCCATTGCCGTCTGTCGACTGCCAATCTCACGGCTCGGCTCGTTGATCAATTCCCTCGGTTCTACGTCTTTCTTCACGTCGTCAATCAAATAAAATTGTTGTCTGCCCCTCCTCCCCCTGAATCCCTGCACTCTGCAGTGTATGTAGTGTACAGTGTATCTGCAGTGTCTGTGTAATGGCATTCTGTCAGGATCCACGCACTTACCCTACCCCACGTGACCAGCTGATTGACTATTCCTGCTGAACCCCATTCATACTACCGGGTGAACAGAGGTGGCGGGGGGTAGGGGGGGTGGATTTCAGAAACTTGCCGCTTATTTCAACCGCCGCGCCGGGAGATGGAATCGATTTGGCGACTTCTGCGTCGCAAATCTGGTGCGGGCTTCTTCTCCCGAGATGCCCACCAACGCCCCCCGCCCCACCCCCACCCCCCCAGCGAAGTGAAAAATCCCCGTCCCTCGTGTTCCGCCTCTCCTAACGTGCGCCGCGCCCTCCCTCCCGCCGTTCGGCTTCTCCGCGACTGCGGCCGCCGCCGCGCCGCCGCAGACGTGAACGAGTGCGAGGAGCTGGCGGAGGCGCCCTGCCAGCAGCGCTGCCTCAACGTCCTCGGCAGCTTCCGCTGCGCCTGCCTCCCGGGATTCCTGATGAGCGGCAACAAGTGTGTGGGTGCGTATGCGCACATCGCCACCGCTCTTCTCGCGCGGAGGCAAATGCGTAACGGTTAGGGTTACCGTTGGTTAATGCGGTTAGGTTGGTTATGGTTAGAGACAACGTTAGAGCGAATTCATTAAGTACGGTAAAGCGCGGAAATTTGTGAATGAGTGAGTGCACCATTTAGCGACTTGCCGATCGAATGACGGAGCAAATGACGTGCGGTCCCCCCCTCCCTGTCGCGCAGAGGTGGGAGAGTGCCGCGGGGGCCGCTGTGCCTCCAACCCTCTGTGCAAGGCGGCACGTGGCGGCACGCGGTGCCTCACGCCCTCCTCCTGCCCCGCCGGGACGCTGCGGGACCACAACGGCACCTGCCAGGGTGGGCGACGGGCGGTCACGGCCGTGGGGTGGGGGGGGCCCACTCATTGTGTTTGCTTCAACCAGCATCTCCGACGTGATGAGTTATATTTTATTGCTTCCGCTGTGCTGCCGGCGTCGTGCCCTGCATCTCTCTGCGTTAGAGAGCCCTTCCCGTGACCCTTTATCCACACAAGGGGCACCTCACTTTCCCACACGCCCTGCTGTCGAGATGTTAATTGAGAATTCACTTTTTAATTGTCAGAGCTGGATCCTTTGACATTGTGCTGATGATGATGTTGACCGTTATCATCATCATCATCATCATCTTTACTCAGACCCATGCATACCCACTCAGACCACAATAACAACAACAACAATAATGATGACGACATATCAACGGTAGTTTCCCTGTGACTATACTCATCCCTGCCATAAGAATTTGGAGTTTGCACCACCACTTCAGTACCTTTCGTCCCCATGCTCACATGAGCATGGGGACTCTATGACTGTCGCTTGCTTCGTACTATTATTACATTTTCTGACGGAGCTGCGCTGCGTCGAACGACGCCCTGCCTGTGGTTGCTCGTCAGACGTGGATGAATGCAGGGAGGGGACGCACAGGTGCGCCTACAACCAGGTGTGCGAGAACACGCACGGGGGCCACCGCTGCAGCTGTCCCAGGGGATACCGCTCCCAAGGCTCGCGCTCGTCCTGCGTGGGTACGCTCGCCACTTCAGGGCCCCCAGACACCCACGCTGCTCCGTCGCTGCGACCGTAGTCATCATCGTCATCATCGTCGTCATCATCGTCATCAACACCGTCATGATGATATGTGGATTATCATCATGTGGCTGCCATCAATTTCCACGTGATGATAAGCCGTTTCGTAGAGCTATCATTTGTGTCCATGTCACTTCTGAAAAAAGAACTATATAGTTCGGTGGGCCTGACCTGGTAAGGAAATTTCAGCAATGCGTAAAAAAGGCACGAAAAAAAACACGTTTAGGATTCTAGATTTGAAGCTTTCGTGACTGCAAGAATTCATCCTCTTTGGCTTTTTTTCGGTAAAGTCACGTAGGTAAAAAATAAAATAAAATAAATGAAAACAACTAAATTAAATCACAACGTCGTGATTTTATTTGGCTGTCGCTTGCTTCGGATATAATTTAGTTGTTTTCATTTATTTTATTTTATTATTTACCTTCGTGACTTTACCGAGTCCGTTTAGGATTCTTAATAGTTCTGCACATTCTTTTTTGCTGAGCGTCATTCATACAAATATATATTTTTTTTACTTTTTTTTATAAGAATTTCTAACTCGCGCAGTTTTTTTTACGCACAGAGGCGTGGGAAACCGTGAATGGGAAGGCGGCCAGAATCGGCGCCAACAAATGCCCAAGCTCCGTGGTCCTATATTTGGATGTTTGACCAACTCCATTTGTGCGCGTTGATACTTGTGGGAGGAAACCGGAGTGCCCCGACGAAAACCCACTCGTGTGAGGAGGGGGGGGTGAGGGGGAGCAACGCTCGATCCCTGCACATGATGGAAATCCATGGCATTGTCGGGAGATGGGCAACATCCACCAACCCTCACCGTCACGGTGTCTGATTTATAGTCGTGCGTAGCCACCAGCGCCCCAGCAATTTTGGTTGTTTGTTTTACGAACGTCAAAGGGCTCCCAACAGGTTAATGCGATACAGGTTTTTTTGGGTTAGATCGCGTAAATATTTAAGTGTGTCGTTAAACCCGCCACCACCCGACACAGCCAATTAGTAAGGTTTGTCACGAAAACAGAACGTGGCCAATTCGTTACTAGTACAGCACACCAGTGTGTTTGAGAGCAAAGCCACAACATTTACAATCTGAGTACGACGGTTTAACAACACATTTATATATTTACGCGATCTAACCCAAAAAAACATGCATTACGGATGACATTGGCCGCGAAAGCCTACGTGTTCAACAGGTTAAAGCAAGTTTATCGACGATCCTTAGGGTAGCGGCAAGAACATCCCAAGCCGCCCCACGCGGCTGCCCTGTCGATTTCCTTAAAACGCAAACTGCCATGCGCCACCTACACCGCCTCCTTCCCCCCCCCCCTGTACCCCACCACGTGTCCAGACATCGACGAGTGCCATCAGGCACCGCGGCCGTGCAAGCACCAGTGCCGCAATTCGCCCGGCAGCTTCCACTGCGTCTGCCCCCCTGGTCAGCATTTGCTCCCCGATGGGCGATCCTGCTCTGGGAGGAACGGCGGTGGCGGCGGCAGCAATGGAGTGGGTGGCGTCGTGGACGTCCCAGCGGCAGGTGAATGATCCGTTTGTTCTCGTGGCCGCTTTGTGTACATTGCCAAATGTTTTTGCCCCGAGCTAGAAATGAGGTCATTGTTACGCAGAGGAAAGAGCAAATGTAATCTCTCCTAAATGTTGCTTCCTGAGAAAGATGTACACATACGCATTTGTGAGATGTTCAACAAAGTCCAGGCTCAGCGGATGAATCCAAACATTCGGTGTTGGATTGTCTGCTCATTCAGGCTTTCAAAGGACATAACGTTTCTTCTATCACAACACTGCTAGGCGACGCATAACCCTGAGAACCTAAAACGCCATTGTGCCGTTCTGGTTGAAGTGTGCTGCCTCATCCTCCACACAGCCGTATCTGGCACCCAGACGTTAATCTGGGTGGCTCATTAAAGGGATTATTCATAACGAACACTTCCTACAATTGATGAGAAAACCCATAACAATAGGAACTGAAAACACAATGTTTGGTGGCCTAAGCAATAATACAGCCACTCCTTCATCTCCTTTGAGCCGATGGCTTTGACAGGGCCGAGGGCACTGTGCCGTGCAGTGTGGTGGTCACGATATGGGGGCCGTACCTTCCTGCTGTTCGTGAGCACACTTCTTTGCGTGTTGTTAAATCTACATCTGCACAAGAGCACACTTGTTGTGATTATTATTCCACTTGTTTAACCAGGAAAGCCTCGTTGAGTCTAAAGGCTCTTCTTCAGCAGAGTCCTGCCGAGTTTTTCGCAGAGGGGGGGAATGTTGCCATTTGTAATCCCGATTAAGTAATTTGCAGGCAATTTTTAAGCATTGAAATGTTTGGTTCAATACAAGTTGCATTGTTTTTTGTTTAGCGATGAGAGGAAACCAGAGGACCCGGAGGAATCCCATGCAGAACATGGGGAGAACGTACAAACTCCACACAGCAGAGTGCCTGAGCCGGAATCAAACGCAGGCCCTTCTTGCCGTGAGGCACGAGTGTAACCGCTGCGCCATGCTGCTGTACAAAAAATACGCCTTAAAGAATGGCCTACGTGGGCCACACTTTGAAAAATTACACTCATGCACAGGACGCTGTTCGCAGATCTCTGCGTGGTGCTGATGTGTGTGTGTGGGGCGTGTGTGTCCGGCGCTGATTGTGTGTGTGTGTATGTGGCGGGGAGTGGTAGTGTCGTGGTTAGCGCGCTGCACTATGAACCCGGCGACACGAGTTCGATTCCCACTCACGGCCAACACCAGATCACGGTTATTTAAGCCGGTCCTGGGCCTCCCCTAGGTCGACTCAGCCTCAAATGACTACCTGGTGCGATGCGTAAAAATATTACCACTAGGGAGACGAAGGCGGCCGGACCTGGTGCTGGCCACCCACCCCCTCGTGTGTCGTGCCAGCCTTAATTGGTTGCTCGCTAACAGCACTTGCCCCAACAGTCTGTTCAGGCTATACGGGGGATCTTTATTTTTGTCCGGTGCTGATGTGTGTGTGTGTGCGCGTGGGGTGTGCGCGGGGCGTGTGCGGTGCACGCAGTGTTGACGGTGCGGCAGGACAGGGGCGACGTGGTGCAGCTGCAGAACGCGGGGCAGCTGCTGGCGCTGCTGGGCTACGGCACGGGCGGGGGAAGCGTCCGCTCCGTGTCCACGCGCACCGTCGCCGAGCAGTGCCCCGAGGGGTACCGGGATTACGGCACCAGCTGCCTCGGTACGGCGCGCCTGCCACACGGTGCCCCTCGCGCGGCGCTCCTCTGAGCGTTTCCTTGCCGCACGTGCACAGCCCCCTTGATGATAACTTGCGCTGAGCGCAGGCCCAAAGTCACGTGGGACAGTGAGGGATGGCAACAGCTTGAGGAGGGCTTTAATCGGCAGTGGATTGATCATGGCCGATGATGAGGATGATGATGAGACCTGCCTTTAACGTGGGAATGTACTTTCGACACAACATTTCAACCACTAACTCTGGGCTTCATGTGAAAAATATTGAGGACAGATAGCATCATGTGCACAGTTTGTGAAGCACTGGTCTAAAGGTCCACAACATCTAGTAGCCAGCAATAAACAGGACAATAGAAATTGTAATAGATAAAAGATATGAGATATTTCAATAAGAGCTGATGCTGCTGAAATTGTGAACTTTCAGAACGCTGTGTAGCTAACAGGATCTGTAAAATACTCTATTTTTTGCGTGAAGGGAATGATACGTGACGGACGGCATTTAGTTTGCTTATTTTGTTAGATATTAGCAGTTGGCTGTGGGACTCAAACCGATCAACTCATCAGTATACTACCATCACCATCATCAGCCATGATCAATCTATTCCTGGATGAAGGCCTCTCCGGTAGCCACCACCGCTCATAAACCCGCAATGCAACGGTCTATCCGGCACATGCACACACACTGATCTCATTGCTCCATCTCTTTCAGACGAGTTCCATTCCTTGGCTCCCACTTCCTTCATTATGCTTGGCCATCGCCCAAGGGTGCTTATCCGAGTTAGGATGGTGTTCTTAACCCACGCGTGTTCTCTAACCCGCATGGGTCCTCTCTCTCTCAATGTAATCTCAAGCATCCATCCTCTTCCGTGATTGTCTTGCACATCTTTCAGTTGTTTATTCCTCCACTAACCACCGTGTTCCTGAGCCAAGAGTCGCAGGCGGGTGTCCTACGAGGCTGTCGCGTACAGACGGTGGGTGCTGCTGTGGCTCTCACCATCCTCCGCCCCGATTTTCTGCAGACGTTGATGAGTGCCGGGAGGCAGACAGATGCCAGCACGAGTGCAGGAACTCTCCCGGGAGCTTCTCCTGTCTCTGTCCTGGCGGCTACCGCCTCGCCACCAACGGCCGGACCTGCCAGGGTAAGTCACAGCAGCAGCAAAGACGAGGAAATGTATTCACTTGGGAGTTGTTTTGTTGTTGTTGTTGTTGCTTTAATGTTGAGTATTCGTGATGTATGAACGAGTGTTGATTTAGGCCAGGGGTCGGCAACCAAAATAACAAGAAGAGCCATTTCTTTCCAATTCGGTAAAAAATTCAGTATTTCAAGAGCCGCAATGCATCTGAGTACATACGTACTCATCGTCAAGAAGCAGCCCGTAAAGAGCCGCATGCGGCTCCGGAGCCGTAGGTTGCCGACCCCTGATTTAGGCCAAAATGTTCTAGCACCCGCCCCCCCCTCCCTTACTCATGACATAGTCAAACAAATTAAATTGTCACGCGGTTTACGAGCTTTTAACTGCGCGCCGCTCATTATAACGTAAAAGAACGGAGGTTAATTTAAATATTGGCCGAGCATCACCTACAACATTGGTCCAACTTTACTTGTTTACTGGGAAATATAGCAGGTTTGAACATTGCACTATAGTCCAATTAATCGATCATACAAAACATCCGTGCATATTGGTATCGGTGTGTTTCCCTGTGCCTCCGCTAGGTTAACCTCAGGCCTAAAATAACCATTCTCGCAAATGTTCCAACATTAGAACTGCAGATACAGCGGCGTTCGCTCGCAGCACTCTCCGCAGGAGTCTACGCGAACAATGTGGGGGTGTGTTTGTCTCTGCTGCGCATTTCATACGCGTCAATAAGTGAACGGGGTCATCTATTGACGCGTATATGCATGCAGAGCAAACACGTGTCCGTGGCGTGCAGTAAGCCAGCAGTTCTTAACCTGGGGTGCACGCACTCCCTGGGGGTGCGAGATGCCCTTTCTGAGAACCAATGGAGTGCAGGCTACAGTAAAGGTGAAGAACCACTGCAGTAAATTAACGGGGGGGGGGGGGGGGCGTCACCTGTGTGTATCGCCAGATGTGGACGAGTGCTCGGAGCAGAACGTCAAGTGCGGACCCAGTCGGATGTGCTTCAACATACGGGGCGGGTACCAGTGTGTGGACACGCCCTGCCCGTCGGGATATCAGAAGGACTCGTCCTCCAGGTGCACAGCACTCATCAGCACGTCACCTGCAAGGAGTGATACTCAAGTCATCAGTTCGTGCTGCTGCTGTGCACGGACATTGATTCGTTCACCCCGTGTTGTGTCTCAGCCGTACTGTGTTCAGCCACTATACTGCATATCACAACAACACGCAAACTCGCACGGTCACCCACCCACTAACTCACCCACTAACTCACACAGTCACTCAGCCATTAACTCGCACCGTCACTCACCCACTAACCCACCCAAGAATTCACGCAGCCACGCATCAAAAGATAAAATAATGTTTAATTATTTTTTATGATAGCATATAGTATTGGCATCAGTATGACGTAAGTATACCAAGTTTGCAGTCGATACCACATTGGGAAGTGGGTTAAGATTTGAGGATACAACAATGACAACAACAACAGACAGAGTGAGGGGGTGGATGCCCAGCACTACGCCGAGCCACCTTTGTCTCCCTAGTGGCAATGTTTACACTTTGCACCAGCTACTCATTTGAGGCTGGGTCAACCTAGGAGAGGTCCAGGACCAGGTCAGATAATCATCATTGATTAATTATCTGAACTTGATTGCAGTGGGGTTTTAGAGAATTTCGGACTGCGTGAGAAATGTTCAGAGCTTACGCACCTGATTCAGTATCAGATAAAGCTGATTTACACCCAATTCTAAGCTGCCGAACACCTGCACATCAATTAGTACCTACGGTCTTTGGATTCCAGATGATTCATTTAATTAACGTATTTTTTATGCTAAATTAAACTGAGTGTGCCCCATACCCATTCTTATAGCCCTCACGTTGACATTGCCTCCCTGTCCCCCTACCCACTGCAGCCACTGCGTGAGGTCCTGCCCGAGCGCCAGCGACCTGGAGTGCACCTTCGTGCCCTTCGTGCTGGAGTACAAGCTGGTGTCGCTACCCGCCGGAGTCCCCGCGGGCACCGACCTCATCCGCCTGAGCGCCTTCACGCGCGCGGGCCGACCCCACACGCGCACCTCCTTCTACAGCATGGAGCACGAGGCCACGTCGCCCTTCGGCGTGCGAGAGGAGGGAGCCTCCGTCGCCTCCGTCTCGAGCTTCTTTGGCTCGGCCAACGGCGGTGGGGGCGGCAGTAACGGCGGCGGCCGCGCGATAATTTTTGCGCGCAAGGCCCTGCAGGACAACCGCATTTACCGCCTCAAGGTGCGAGCGTTGTCCTTCAGCGAGACGGGGAAGGTGGACCATCAGACCACGTTCGTGGTCATAATATCCGTGGCTGCCTTCCCGTACTGAGGTCGTCAATGCCACGCAGCCGGATTCTCAGGAGCTTGCGACAGCATCAGGAGCTTTGTTGCCGCAAAGAGTGGCATGAATGGCGTGGTTTTATTGTAATTTGTGTCATTCACGAAGGGAGTTCTTTATTAAACTCAGAAATTTTATTATGAGTTTGAGCGCTCCGAAAATGTATTCCTTGAAACACAATTGACCTAGAAATTGTAATATGACAAAGAAGTATCCCTGACACTAGGGTATTTATAATTAGTGCCTTTATCATGTCTGCCATCGTGTATTTTTTATTCTTTGAAACCAATTACTTTAATTGGTGTCTTTATCATTTATTTTTTAATTCAATTTCATTTTCTAAAGTTTTATATGAAAAAGAAACCAATGTGATGAATGGTGTAAAAGTGTTTATATCCTTTTAAATCCCAGGTTACAAGGTGACATGCCAATTTCACCATTCAGGTTTATTAATGTATGCTTTTACTAAGTATTAGTGGCTTTCGTTTTAAAATTGTGCTGTGCGTTTGCAATGGTTAAAGTGGATGGGCAATAGGAGCCTCGGCTAACCAAGGGGTGACCTTTAAGCCAAGTCACCTTGGGTACTACTTGCAGAGCCCACTTCCCCCAACAGTTTCAGTTTGAACTCTAGGCTCGCCTCCCAGCCCATTGTTTCTATCCAACAGCTTTAGTTTGAACTCCATGCCCACCTACCTGCCTACACCCCGCCCCCACACTCACCCTGGCTCCTCCCCCCCTCTCCCCCGCAGATATATCATCCCTCGTCACAGCCATCTCTTAGAAATACTTAAGCGATTGTTTTTTCGCTGTGTTTGTCCCCACCTGAAGACAGACGCTTGTGTTGCGCCCGAAACGTCGTGATTTAATTTAGTTGTGTTTATTTCATTTTCACCTACGTGACTTTACCGAAAAAACCAAAGAGTATGGATCCTTGCAGTCACGAAAACTTCAAATGTAGAATAAAATCTAGAATTACTACTCGTAAGTTAAGCAGGGGATGGCACACAGAGATATTGTTTCGTTCATTTGAGAGACTTTGAGGTAGTGCTTATTTAATTAATGCGAATCAAATTTCGATGTAAAGCTTTCGTGACTGCAGGGATTCATCTTCTTGGTTCTTTCGGTAAAGTCACGTAGAATGGAAATAATAAAATAATAAAAAATAAAACAATAAAAATAATTCTCACGACGTTTCGGCCACAACGCAAGTAGCCGTCCTCAGGTGGAGAACAGGTCTGTCGAGGAGACAGCATCTGAATGACAGACCTGTTCTCCACCTGAGGACGGCTACTTGCGTTGTGGCCGAAACGTCGTGAGAATTATTTTATTATGTTTTATTATTTTATTATTTTATTATTTCCATTCTACGTGACTTTACCGAAAGAACCAAGAAGATAATGCGAAGCACATTTGTTTTTTCATTGAGGCAATGCGCCGGACCGTTACATTATGTCGTGACGCTCGTACACACCGTCAACATTAACTAAACCGGTTGTGGGGAGCGGGGGAATGGGAAGATGGGGAGCAGAGTCACTGCCCAAAGTGAATCACATTTTTTTTAAAGACAGCTCGTGCAGTGAAGGGTGATTATTGTATTTTTTTGTATAATTACCATCTTATTTACCCAGGAGAGCCCCATTGAGTCAAAAGGCAAGGTCTTATTGGAAGATTGTGAAATCTATTTCAAGTGATAATTGTGTTCTTATATGAGGAGACAGGAGTGCCTGGAGAACACACACAAACAATAGAGAACATCCCAAAATAAAACTACGACCTCTCTCGTATTTTCACTTTCAGCCTTTGCTTGGTCTAAATCGGTCTTAGAGCAACCCTCTAAATACCGTAAATGGAAGAGACAAAAACACTAAAAAGTCCTTATGTTGGCGTGGGGAGGAGGCCAGACATTTGTTGAGTGGAGCACACAAGCCAAGCAAATGCTGGTAACCCTGTCTCAATTAGCCACACTCTGCAATTAGTACCAACTCTCCGACCCTCACTTATCTCGCTCCTACCTCCACCTCCACAACTTTTTCGTTTCCTTTTCACTCGCAGCGCAGACGTGGTGGGATTGTCGTATTCACATGTGGCAAAGACGCGTTATTGGTGATAAAAGATGTATTCAAGTCCGGTTATGGCCCACTTTGAACCCCAGCCACTGCAAGTCTGCAATATGTTTTACATTAATGGTGCTACGGATTATATGACGGATACCCCAAAATATTAATTCATTGTATCTTTCTTGTATAACTCTGCATGTAACTGATACAAATCTTGATTTGTTTATGCATGGAAATGCCATGAAGATTTTCTTTTTTTCAACAGTCTCCGTCTTATTATATATTTTGCACCAAATGAGCAAGGGACATTATTTCGTCATGGTGAAAGGTCTCACCAGCATCACGTGAACCATTTGCTAACGGCTTCCTTACAGCGGTACCATTTTAAAATGACACTGCAACAGGGAGACAGCCTTCAGAGGGACCAAACAGGTCAATAACACCGGTCAACACACTTTTTCTGGCATAAGGTATTCCAACGGTTTTAAGGCAATTTTGGGGTGCTGATTCCAAATCTGGCATCAGTTTTTGAGATATCAAATATGGCATTTTCAATAAAAACTGCAGAAGAAAAATATTAAATAAATGTGGATATCTACATAAAATTATATTATAAACACACCATCCTAAAAATACAGCACCATATTTTAACAATAAAGCAGTCACTGACTCGCAACAACTTGCAATCATATATGACAAAGTTAATTTCGGGTAAAATAAATGAAAATGGGGTATGCCGATAGCATAAAGATGATGTGATAGAGCAAATCTGAGATCAGACTTGGAATCAGCACCCTGAAATTAGTCTAAAACAGCTGCAAAAGTCCAGGCCAGAATATTTTTTTTTGTTGACCAGTGTAATAAGCAGAGCTTGCTGGATATGGGCCTGTGTGGTGGTGAATGGGGTGGCACAGGTCCAGCCAAATTGCCATGGCCTCTGATGTCCTTTGGCTTGCGAGTGGTTCGGAGTTGATGTTGTGAGTGGGTGGGAGGCCTCTTGCCATGCGGACACACGTGCATGGGATTCGTGTCGTGGAATATCTAGGACTTTGCATCGGTTTTATGGGAATTAATGAATTGAGAAAATAAGTAAGGGAGGCATTACTTTTCGGCTATTGTAATATAACACTGTGGAATTTCCCCATTGAATACAAGGCACAGCACAACTATACATTTTTATACATCATTTCATTGTAACGTGGAATTTGTATAATATATTGTTCAGTTACCATGTTTATGTCTTGTTTTGTACCTTTAATAATGGATATACGTGTGGTTTGTAATATTAAACACGCTTTATTGTTTAACGTTGATGTGTTCTACTGTTTATGCACTCATTGAAGTTTAAACAATTTTTTGTTCAAATGAGCAATGTGGCGGTGTTGATCTGCTGTTGTACAGCCCTGAAAGTGGTGGGAATTCTACATTAGTATGGCCGGGTGCAAGTCTATCCATAGGGCAACCACTGTTGACTTGCACACAACGTGGTGTACGACTGTACTCCGATTTGATAAAACACGAAGATTGCGTAAAACTGTTACAAAGTCACGGCATAGCATGGGGACTTGCACCGGAATGGGTGTAGGTGGCAGTGCCTACACCGAACCCCCATATCTCTTTAGTGTGCTGTGGCTATCACGTGGGCACTAAGAACTAAGGGGCAATGCACATCCACCGGAATCGGTGCACTCCTTCGGAATTGGTGCACACCGCTAGAATCGGTGCACACCGCTAGAATTGGTGCACTCCGCCGGAATCGGTGCACAACACTGGAATCGGTACCCACCGCTAGAATTGGTGCATACCGCTAGAATCGGTGCACACCACTGGAATTGGTGCACTCCGCCAGAATCGGCGCAATCCACCGGAATCGTGCAAGCCACCGGTATTGGTGCACACCACCGAAATCGGTGCACACCACTAGAATCGGTGCACACCACTGAATCGGTGCACACCGCTAGAATCGGTGCACACCGCTAGAATCGGTGCACACCGCTAGAATCGGTGCACACCGCTAGAATCGGTGCACACCACTGAATCGGTGCACACCACTAGAATCGGTGCACACCGCTAGAATTGGTGCACTCCGCCAGAATCGGCGCAATCCACCGGAATCGTGCAAGCCACCGGTATTGGTGCACACCACCAAAATCGGTGCACACCACTAGAATCGGTGCACACCGCTAGAATTGGTGCACGCCACTAGAATCGGTGCACACCACTAGAATTGGTGCACACCACTAGAATCGGTGCACACCACTAGAATCGGTGCACACCGCTAGAATCGGTGCACACCACTAGAATCGGTGCACACCACTAGAATCGGTGCACACCACTAGAATCGGTGCACACCGCTAGAATCGGTGCACACCACTAGAATCGGTGCACACCACTAGAATCGGTGCACACCGCTAGAATCGGTGCACACCACTAGAATCGGTGCACTCCACTGGAATCGGTGCACACCGCTAGAATCGGTGCACACCGCTAGAATCGGTGCACACCGCTAGAATCGGTGCACACCACTAGAATCGGTGCACACCACTAGAATCGGTGCACACCGCTAGAATTGGTGCACTCCACTAGAATTGGTGCACACCGCTAGAATTGATCCACTGAAATTAGTGCAATCCACCAAAATCGGTGCATACCACTAGAATCGGTGCACACCGCTAGAATCGGTGCACACCACTAGAATCGGTGCACACCACTAGAATCGGTGCACACCGCTAGAATCGGTGCACACCGCTAGAATCGGTGCACACCACTGAATCGGTGCACACCACTAGAATCGGTGCACACCACTGAATCGGTGCACACCACTGAATCGGTGCACACCACTGAATCGGTGCACACCGCTAGAATCGGTGCACACCGCTAGAATCGGTGCACACCACTAGAATCGGTGCACACCGCTAGAATCGGTGCACACCGCTAGAATCGGTGCCCACCGCTAGAATCGGTGCACACCACTAGAATCGGTGCACACCGCTAGAATCGGTGCACACCGCTAGAATCGGTGCACACCGCTAGAATCGGTGCGCACCACTAGAATCGGTGGACACCACTAGAATCGGTGCACACCGCTAGAATCGGTGCACACCAATAAGATCGGTGCACACCGCTAGAATCGGTGCACACCACTAGAATCCGTGCACACCACTAGAATCGGTGCACACCGCTAGAATTGGTGCACAACACTAGAATCGGTGCACACCACAGAATTTGGTGAACTCCACTTAAATTAGTGCACTCCACTGGGATTGGTGCACTCCATCGCCTCTGCCGTTGCCGTGGTAACGCTCAGCGCTGCACGGCCCCTCCTCTCCCCGTCACCGAATCCGGGAGATGCTCTCGTCGTGACGTCACCGGCAGGCGTGTTGGATCAGCTGTCCACAGGGTGGAGGCGATGCCTGCGTTGAGCATCATCATCATCAGCAGCATCAGCACCACCAGCACCATCAGCACCACCAACCCGTGTCACCATGCCGGCTCTCAGGCGACCTCACCGGCCGGACGATGATTATTAAAGGCCTCGAGTGCGTCATCTTGGTCGTGTTTCTTTGGTGAGCACAGCGCAGTCATATTTACACACACACACATACACACACGCGCACACACCTCGGATGAATATAGTCCCCGTGTTGCATTGATGATGATGGTGCTGATGCTGATGATGGTGGTGATGCTGATGATGGTGGTGATGCTGATGATGATGGTGGTGATGATGATGGTGGTGATGCTGATGATGGTGGTGATGCTGATGATGGTGGTGGTGATGATGATGGTGGTGATGCTGATGATGATGCTGATGATGATGGTGTTGTATCTTACGGTGAGCCGTTTGCAGAAATGTTGAATGTTACGATTGCGTGCGGTATCCGTGCTGTTCACATCACGCCGTGTTTAAGCCAGTGCTTTAGACATTGTGTTTAAGGGGCCGGCCATAAATGACGTCACGCACCTAGGGGGGAGGGGGGGTCAGACATTTGTGACGATGTGTGACGAGGGGGGGGGGGGTGAGAAATGTGACGTCACATCAAAATGCGCAACTTTAAATAAATACAGACAACACGTTCTACTTAATTAAATATACTTTTTAATAAATGTTTCCTCCTACAACATCAGAGTGCA